TAATCATTTCACGTATTGCAAGCATTACGTACGCAATTGTAGGAAGTCAAATGGCTGGTTTCATTAGAGAAAAGGAATTTGAGGACTATTTATTAGTATACTTAGCTTTTTCTTCGTTGTCACTAGCCTCTTGCTTCTTTAATTGTGTCCTGGTTCCTTCAAGCTTCATCAATCTCATTTTCACTTCAATTTTACAGCTTCTTGAATTTAATTTTCTTAACTTTCAATGTTCACTCAGAAAATTTTTCATTTTTTTCTTCACTTTTAATTTTTTCATCACTTTTGGCTTATTTTCACTGTTGCTTCCATTTTAGCACTTCACTATCACTTTTATCTTGAACTCCACTTCTTTTTAAGCATTAATAATGTCAAGTTCCAATTTATTTGCACCGATTTGCAACAATATTTAAAAACACGTCTTTAAAAAATTAAACTGAAGAAAATTGTGAGAAAATTGAAAGTCAAAGGTTGCTGAGAAATTTGACCTTTTTTGACTGATTGTGATTTCACATTTTTGCGTTAATTAAGGGTGTATTCAGCTCGAAAATTATCAAAAATATATAGTATTAATTCAAAATTTTAAAAGCTTATTTAGGTTTTTAAATTAAATTTAAATTCTATTTGATTTGATTGTCAAATTGATTCTTTTGACAATAATTTCCGTTTGAAATTTAATTCTTTTTGGTTTTAGAACAATTCTTAAAGTACGATTTTAACTGGTCTAGCAATCTAGTGCGATTTTTTGAGACAATATTATTAGAGATTGAAAAGTTACGTTCAGCTCTTGTAGATGTTGGTGGATTCCAGAAATATTAATTTCCAGCACGTTTTTTTTATTTTGGAAAAATTACTTTAATCCAATGTCAATTAAGTTTATTATTTTATGGACATCATACATTTAAAAAATATTTTTAAATACTTTTTCTCTTCGTTTTTCATAAATATATGTTTTTGATTTAAAAAACATCAAATTTGGTGTCCATCAAGTAGAACGGTTAGGCTAGATAAAAATATTTCGTTTATTTTATTTGATTAAGAAACATTTGCGCAAATTACTGACCAAGTTTAAACAATTTTCGTTAAGCCTTGTCAGATTTACAGTCGAAAGTGTTAAAAGTAAAAAATCGGCCCTAGCACCGTTTTCAGATGCTCATATCTCAGAACTGGCAACTTCACAAAATTTAAAAAAGTTATTTTTCTGCTTTCACAAAATAGCACAAAAAACCCATATATAGCCCATCACTCAATTCGTTAGGTCACCGTTCTACTTGATGGACACTCAAATTTGAGTTTAATATTTCAACTCTTAAATTCCTTAACGTATGTTTTCATTATTATAATTTTTTTCTTTAAATTGTAGTTTTTTTCATGGAAAATACAAAATAAAAAAAAACTAATTTGAATTGTCGGATAATACCAATCAAATTCCGATGATCATAACTGGGATGAAGGAAACGAATTTGACTAGACTTTCTTTAAGATCAAACCAGAACGTTACAATCGATCGACAGATTTTCTAACCAATTGAATCACTGGTATTTTGAACAAAAAACAAAAAAAGCTTCAAATTTCAAGTTTTTGAAACAAGAGCAGCTCTAAAATTTAACTTATGTAAAGCTATGAGTTTTTGTTAAGAAAATCATTGACATTTGATCAGAAAAGCTAGAAAGAAATTTAAAGTTTCTTTTCTCTGAGAATCTGAATTCTGAAGCACTGCCAAGAGAAATCAATACACCCACTCCAACTCACATGATATTATGTTGTAAAACACGCTACTAGAAAAAAAAATTAGCTTTTTAAATTTTATTTTCCTTAAGTCAGTAAATATGTGCAAAGAACTACAATCAGCCGATGTACGTACGAATGACTTGTGCCAAAATTTAAGAAAAAAAAAATCCTTTCAACTTCATTTCCTCAATTTGTATGATAATAAGTGATATGAATAAAAGAGCAATAAACGAATCTCGTGCCGCATGCCATTTGAATCGTGTTGCTTGCTCAATATCGAGCATATATGTGCAATTTAAAATCATAATGCTCAGCAGCATGTGTGTGTGTTTTATTGTAGTGCAAAGAAATGAATGATTTAAAATATTTGCGAGCTCGTTTCGTGTTTATATTTTTCTTATTTTTCTAGTGAAAAGTATATTAATGTGTATTAATAAATAAAAATAAAGCTGACTGTGTTCTATGAGTAGCAAACACACATATATATCCAAAATAATCACATGTATATCTTGCTACTATGTGTAGCATATTTCATCTCGTCTTTAACTCTCTGTATGTCTTATTACTTTCCCGTTGTTTACGTTTTTTTCTTTTTGTATATTTTTCGTTCAATTACACTAAAGTCCCACACACAACTGTGACACTTTTTCGTGATCTCATTCTTGTTGCCTTCTCTTCATGAACTTGAATGTGTATAAATTAAAATAATTTTTTTATAATAAGTATGCGAAAACAGAGATTTTTTGGAGGTTCATGCGACAATTCGCGCACTTGACTTTTGATCATAAATTTTAAAGATATATAACTAGTGTGATAACAAATGATATTACAATGGAGTGTCACAGAGTGTCAATAGAACTTAAATTCATATCCAATTCATAATAAAGGCTTAATTAAATTAAATGTTTTTATTTACTCACGGAATTCTCCGATATGACAATGGAATGATGTGATTGTCTTCTGTTATTGAGTCCAACGATGACGATTCAGGTACGGTTGAGTCATTCGGCGACGATGGAGCGAAGCAGGAATGATTTTTGTGACCACGATCGTGAATCTGATGATTGATAAATTTAATTAACATTGAACTTGATTTGTGGATTTTCTTGACACTTTTCATGAACTATCTACGATGTGTACACTTAGTGTCAATGGATTTAATTATTGTGAGATTCATATATTTTCATTATTGTCTTTTTTTTGAGTGAATAATTAAAAGGCACTTAATATCACTTCTGCTTGCCGTTATGCGATAATTTATTGCCGATATTTCGTGATCATATTTAATTTAATTAACTGATTATTTTCACGAAAATTAAATTAATTGTGAAGTATATAATGTAAGCAAAAAGAAATTTTTTGAGACTTATGAGTAAGAGATTTGCGCAATTGTAGTAGTGTTAAATATGTTAAACTTATACAATTAAACAATTTAGTGATCATAAAAAACCTATATTTAAACTTTTTTATCGGTCTCTTTTTCGCAATGACTTAATGAGTTCCTTGACACAATTGACTATTATTAACTTAATTCATTCAAACATCTTCGTAAATCATCAAGTTTAATTCATTAATTACGATAAAACTAGATAAAAAAACCGTTAGCAAAATGTTTTAAATGCACGCCGCTGAGATAAAACTTTGTATTGTTTTTTTTCAAAAATATTTTAACCGTTAAACTTAAACTTTTTAAATTGCAATTAAATTGTAATGAAACGCCATGCATGACATAGAACAAACAGTAAAATTATAGATCTAGAGCGATATATTAATAAACAATTCTCATTGCCAAGATTTTTTCATGATTCTAGACTATTACTAATAAAATAATCATTGACTTGAGGCTATCTTAAAAACTATTGAGTCATCTCATTTATTGACATAGACTGTGGCTAATATTGTGGCTTTTATGGATATGCGATATTTATGCATCACTGGATTCTATTTACATCTCAAATAAAATTAACATGCACTCCTAGTTTTTTTCGTGTCACTCGAGAAATATTACATGTCATCTTGAGACTGTTTTTTTATTAATACTTATAGTAGGTGATGCAAATATGATGCAAATAATTGAGATATATTTAATGCATCTTTAGGACTGACTGGCTTATTAAGGTGATTGTTGACTTTGTATAATGTTTTGACGCGTAGATTTGCATGATCTCACTGTATTAATTTCACTAGAACTGCTTAGTATTTCGTAGAATACGATTAAACTGCCCTTAATTAAAATTAATATGCGCGTGGATATTGAAATTTATAATTCGTAAAATCATAGTTTTTAAATTTTTTGAAAAAAATCGTTAAAACAAACTTACACTATTAACATGAAAAATCCCATAATTTTTGAATTTCCACTTCATTTTGAGCTAGTCCTTAATAGCACTTTGTATTTTGAATTCTGTTTTTATTACTACAAGTTTTTAAATCATCATTTCCATGAAAAATGACCTTGATTTAATCTTTTAAAGCACACAAAAAAACTTTTTCGTCAATTTTTAATACTTTCAGGATGTATTTGAACAACTAATTATCGAAAAATGACACATCAAGTGATCATCAATGGAACAATCAACAAAAATAAATCAGTGTTTAATGTTAGAGACGCTCAAATGCTACTGAAAGTAAATGAAAACACAATGAACGACATAGAAGCACGTTAGCATGTGTGAAATTATAACTATAGGCTGGCTTATGACAGAACTCATTATTATACACCGTGCTTTCGATTTTACAAACAGATTTTATGTACATTGAATGCTGAGTTTTTATGCATTATTTAGCATGTTGCTGATAAAGTCATGCAATGTCAAAACGACAATTAAAATACCAATATACATATATATATATATATATATATAGGCAGATTAAATGTCCATGATGATGATCTTGATTCTATATTGGCGTATTTATCTTGTTTTACCAGTTTTTTTCTTCCTCATATTAGTAAGGTGCGATGTGCTCTTGTGTGTATTTTTTATAAGAAGATTTTAGAGAGACCGGCTGATGATGTAAACAATAGTATTTAAGTAGGAAAATTTCGCATGGCTTGATAAGCTTTTATTCGTATGAAGTTTTTTAACGATCTTTGTAAAATTTAAATTTTTAACGATTTTCAAAAATTCAAATTTTGTTCCAAAATTTTAACGATTTTCAAAAATTTAAACTATGTTCTCAAATTTTTTTCGATTTTTTCTAATAGTTTTTGACAGTTAATTTACAATTAATTCCACCAGATTTTTATGACAAACAGAGTCAATTAGAGCTTACTTATATCTTAATTAAGAAGCGTTTTAAAACAACACGTCATGCCAAACACAATGAAGCATTAATAACTATAGTTATATATTTTCTATAGAATATTCAGGCACGACATCCAGTTGAAGAAAATTCCCATCAAAAGTTTGCTTTAATAATTAATTAGTAAGCCAATTATCAAGTTCATAAAGATGTTTTAAAGCCCTGAATTCTTTTCTCATATTCTCTTTGTCTCTCTGCATTTCTAGAGCGCGCCTATTGTTATTATTCACTTAGTTTTATGTTAAAAATCGTAGATTGAGTTGATAGCTCACATTTTTGTGATAAAAATGTCCCAAATGGAATTCGAGGAAGTGAGTTTAGTGACGGATGAGACAGAGGAACTACTTCCGAAAAAAAGTAAGACGAAATTCACGAAAAACCTGAACAACAACAGAAAAAGAGATGTTAATTTTTTTAACCTTCACAGCAGAAGTCACAATAAACGAAACAGCTGAGAATGGAGGAACGACGTCTGATCGCTATATTTCCGATGTTATAAAAGTACAAATTATTCCAGAAAAGAAGGGCAATTTCCTAAAATATACAGCATATTTAGTAAGTTTTGTTTACATCCAGTGAATGACTCAATTGAGAGAGCAGCTCTAGTCATGCTTATTTTCTCATTGTGATAATGAGTTGCATTGAATTTCAATGCATGGGTCACATAATGAAATGACATGCTGATTGTTCGGATTTAATTTTTAATCTCGCGATTTATTTTTAATCTTCAGGATTAATTCTTTAAGACACAAAGTTGCGATCAGAACAATAAATATCAATTCTAGCTTATTTTTCTCTCTCATTTCATCTTCACAGATAAGGTCAGAGAATTATAAATGCAGCGTTGAGCGACGATATTCAGATTTTCTTTGTCTGTATGAGAACTTTTTAAAAGTATATGAGTATCGAGTCATTCCAAGATTGCCGCCAAAACAGTTTTTATCTGATACAAATCTCGAACCACGAAGAATCAGTCTTGAACGATGGCTAACAATTATAAGTCAACATCCAATTATTTCGAAAGATATTATGATGAAACATTTCATGACAGAAACCACATTCAGGCTTGCAATCATACCAAGTGAATTTAAGTCATTTACGATCCAAAAGGATGAAGCAATAAAGTTTAGTGACATTGATGAAATATTCAGTAAGAAGAACATTGTTAAGCGTGTCCTTAATCACATGCTGTCGATAAAGAGAATTATGGATGAACATTACAGTCGAGAATGCTGTCAAGCTGCAGATTTTGTTGAATTAAGTGACATTCTTTATGACTTAATGGACACAACAAATGACGCTAGTCTTAGTGACTTTACAGTTTGTGTGAAGGAAATTATCAATTCTTGTGTAAAAACGCCACCAAAATTAGCTGCCAAAGAACGTTTAGAAGTGGTAATTTCAGTCCTTACTGGATATATCGATGGATGTGAAAGATTATTTAACTCAAAAGATGGTGGAAATGATTCATTTCACGGTCAACGATTAAAGAATATGTTTCGTGCCAACGTGACTTGTGATGATGAAATGGAACTTCACAGAAAGCGAATTTCATTTGGAGTATATTGCCTAATCGAGGAATTCAAGCTAGTCAAGCGATATATCAAACTACTTCCGTCGATATTTCTTAAATTTGCATTTCTAGAATCACAATCATTTTCAGTAATAGCCAAAAGCCTCAAAGACTTTATCGATAAAGAGAGCGATAAATTAAATTAAATTAAATTTTTTTCAATGTCAATGTCAAACGTTTAATTATACACTCAAATTCTTTTATGATCACAATATTGAATTTCACACTGGATATACTCACATCTCTCTTAAAGCAACATGTGAAAAATTTCATGATTCTCATCTATTTTTTTTTTGTTTGCTTTAATTCTGTATTATCATCTTCAAAAAACAACACACACGTCTATACGCGTAAATTGTTAAAATCGATATGTTAAATAATACTTTTAAAAAAATCGGAAATAAAGAAGCTTTGGCTGATTTCTTGTTTTCTGTGTGCTCATGCAGCTCTTTTTGGATATAAACAAGTTCTTTTTTACTCTTCTTGAGGGTGTTTAAACACACTATTTTTTTATGTATAATAATTATTTTGATTATGCACTGTTCTTACTCGGTGGCTGTAGACTTACTGTTTTGCGATGTATGCCTAAACAGAAATGTTAACTCAGTTTTATTTTTCATATATTTTAAAACTAATAGTGTGTTGGAGCTTCACGTGAATGAAAATTGTAAAACATTTTGAATTTATCGAGTGCTGGTCATTAAAGCGATAAAAGATATTTAACTAGTGCAAGTTATGGTGAATAATATTTGGCAGTTGAGAAAAAATTTGAACTTAAACTGTCAAAATTAATTTAAAAAAAAATATTTTAAGCTGTTCAAAGAATTCAAATTTCAAAAATACGTTAAAATTAAAATCTGCAAATTAATGAGCAGAAATATTGAAAATATCATTAATAAGGCATGAAATAATTCCTTTTAAATCAAAAAATTTAAATGGTTGCATCTCTCAACTTAGTTTTATTTGCTTAATTTAAACTTTAAAGTTTAATACAAAAAACAAATTCATTGAATTCAATCTGATTCAAACGTGAATCATACTGAAAAATCTAATGAAGTTGAATCATTAGCTAATTATGATGTAATTAAATTAAAAATTTGTAAGATCTTGTAAACTGAATCTAAAATGTTGTTTGAAATGTGATAAAAAGCAACTTATAAATTAAAAAATTGCAAATTCCGTCCCTAAGTCAACAACTCCGCATGAACATCCTTAAACTTAAAATTAATTCAAAGTTGTCATCTCAGCTTTGAAAACAAATTCTCTAAAGCTAAACAAACGTCAGAATTGTATAATTTCAATGAAGCATGAAATTACTTGGCTAATTACCCAACAAGTCTGTACAACAGTAATCTTCAATTAAATAGAAATAAGCACTTCCGAAAAAAGCGATAAAAATAATTTTTGTATCTCTGAAATTCTTGAAAACATTCAAAAATCAAATAAATAACAATTGAACATTGACCTTTGAAGCTATGAATATTTGAATAAACGAGAGTAATAAAGAGAATCACAAAGCAAAACAGTTAAAGCCACATTAAAAAAGCTCTAAAACGAAAAAGGATCAAACAGTCATCAACCAATGAATGAACTGCATTAATTACAATGTGCTAAATAGTAATTTTTAACAAATTAGTGTCCCTGGAAATACAATCTACTATAGGGCAATTCTACGAGTAAAGGGAACTGCAGAAATTTGCATTGTAAGTTTTCGCTACTTGCAAAAATTTAATTTTTTTTTATCCGTTATATTTCTTGGATAAAAATATTGTGTTTCTTTTTATAAAGTGTATTTCTCCATTATTGTTACGTTATTCGTTCTTAAAGTGTAAACTTTAAGGCAAAAAGAGGCATGAAAAACTAATTGAAATAAGTTTTTCCATATTTAAAGAATATTATAGAATAAAATTTCAACGGTAATTAAAAATTTAAATTTTTGTAAGCGCTTCAAGCTTAGTCGAAAATATGTAAAATTTCCACCGATTGACACAGTTTTTGACAAATTTTAGCTTAATTAAAGCATTTCTGCTATGTTTTAAGTCAAAGGTTTGTTAAATTTGTGAATTCAAACATTTTTTGGGTAGAGACATAAATCAGAAATGAGTGTTTAGTGAAATATTTAACAAATTAAAGTACATTATTTTTATAAATTCCACCGATTGACAGTAAAAAAGTTAAAATATCTCCTCACACAGCCATTTATTGCAAACAAGTACTATTCATAATGATAAACATTCTCTTTTTACATAATTTTAATTAATTTAAATGTGTAAAAAGTCAATATTCAAAGTTTTTTTAATAGAATAAAGAAATTTTGTAATTTTTTTCACTCGTAGAATTGCCCTATAAACCTTTCAGCAATTGCATTAATGACAATGACAGTGTTCATGCATTGCCATCAACTAATAGAATCCTAGATAGATCGAGGCAGCATAAAAGTTTGTTCTCTTAATTTATGTAAGAACTTAAAATCGAAAAATAATAATAAGGATCATAGCTTGAAGGCAAAGGCTTACCCACACACTGTCTAAATACACGCACAATAAAGCTTTCTCTTAAATCAAGGAAGCATTGAAAAATTAAGTAAAACAAATCCGATCACGGATTTCAAAAATCCCAAAATATTGCCAAAAATGTCTTCCTTACTTGATTTTGTTCCTTTTTAATATCAGCTGCTTCTATTCACTTATATATCTTCACTTTTTAACATTTAAAATGATTAAATTCACTGAAAAATTTAACGACTTTCTCTGTTTGAAGTTTGAAATAAAATGAAGAAATTATTTTTCAATGGTGACTTCGATTAATTTCTTTGAATCTAGTTCCTTCAGAATGTTGATTAAGATTGTGTTGATTCTTTCAAATAATTCAGTTGGATCCAAAACACTGAAATGAATTTAATTTAAGCTGTTAAAATTAAAGAATAAAACCGTTAAAAATTTGAATTTATTATACACAATTCAAATTTAATTTGACAGTTGAAAATCACGAGGAATCAATAAAAGGTGTGTCTTCATTAAATATACATTGTCTTTATTTTCTTGTCATAATATTTTATTATTTTAATTAGTAACATTGAAATTTGCTGGATTTTTGTTTCATTATTTTTGAATGGAATCGAAAGAAATTTGTACAATTTTAATTCTTATTTATTTTATTTCATAAATTTGAAGGAACTTTGAGCTTTTAAGCTCCGATCGATCAAAATTACATGAATTTAACAGAAATACTGAAACATTAATTGTGGTAAAATTTGAACAAAAATCAGATCTAATAACTTTTCATTAATAATCTTGACCAACGAGTCTTAAAGAAGCTCAATAGCCCGACGATATATCAACGGAATACTGAAATTTTTCTCATTTCTACTATTTTTTAATATCTTGAATTCTTAATTCATTTATCATCGAGATTATGCGAATACCCAATGTTTCATTCTTTGAATAAATATCAGTTTTCTTTTTGCACATGATATACGACATGATATTTCTCTTCTAGAGTATTTCAAAATAATAATAATAATATTGTATAAGCACATCTTATTTAGCATTTCTAACCTCATTTTTGAAATTTGTTTAAACTTTTTTCATTTCACTTTATTATGTTGCATATAAAATATAAATGATAAAGGTACATTTATGAAAGCGATCAATTGTCATAATCAGTAAAGAACTTTTTTTCAGCTTATAATCAGCACTTTTTATCAGGAATGGGAAAGCTTTTAGAAAATTATTGAAGAAATTCAAAAAATATTGAAAAATTAACTTCAACCTTTTTTTGAAAATTTAACAGACAAAAAGCTTTAAAAACCAAAGATTTATTACAAAACTTTCCCAAACTTTTAAATAATGCTTGAAATAATAATCATAACACTGCTTTTACTGCATATTTCATTACAAACAGTTCCGTTCTAAAAACTTTCTTGCTCCTATATAAATCATAGCTTTTCAATTTAAAAATGATCACAATTTAGTTTCCTCGATGCGAATAGAGAAATTAAGTTGAGAAAGGAATAATATATGTCAAGCATCTTTAGTGATCGTAACGAGTATTTACAAATGCACGTGATTAATAAGAAGTCATGCAATTATTTCGAGTTCTTTGCATAGCTTTTAAAAAAATTTAAAAAAAAATAACTTACACATTTTTGCGTGGAAGTTAATAATTTATTACATTTTACATTAGAGGTATGGAGTTGGGTGGGTCATAATTACTTTTGAGAATGCGATATTAAATTGAATTTGAAAGCTTTTTGAGCTTTTTTGTTACGTCAATTTACGTACGTACTTTCGTTTTACGCACGTAATTTTTCTTGCATAATTTCATTTTACGTCCGTACTTTCCTCTGTAATTTTATTTTATGTACGTTTTTTCCTACGTCTTACATCAATTTAATTGAATTTTAGAGCTTTTCCGTCACAATATTCAAAACAATCAATTCCCAAGGGGCCGTTCTCTTATGACGTCCAGGAGGGGGGGGGGGGGGGGGTCAGCAACAAAAGTTCAATAGAAATTCCTGGAAATCCATTGTTCTCTTTTGAAAAATGACCGTTATTTTCGGACGTCATAAGTGAACGATCCCCAATCAACTCCAATCTCCAGTTTTATGCACCAAAATGATTTTTCTTTGTCTTTCATTCGATTATATAAAAATTAAAAGTAAATAATTAAAGGATATTATGTGTATTTCGTAGAGAGCTTATAAATTCTTAAAAAAATAACGGAATGGATTTAACAAAAAATATAAAAAAAATATATAGGAATATTGCAATAACAAGTAAAATAATTGTGTTATTTGGTTCTTATTGGAATTTTTCAAAGCTAGTTTAAATGTTCTGCTTAATTTTAATGCGAATCTTATTATCGCTTCTTTGAGTCGATGACGACGTATTAGTTGTTGGAGTTCCAATTGCACTACGATAATTAGAAGACGTTGAGCTTGTCGGTGACGACTGATATGCCATTGATTGTGCAATTCTATTATCATAACGATTAATGCTCGTCTGATAGCCATCACTACGATCTGAATCTGGTGAACTTATTGATGAATTTTTACGTATCGGACTATTATTGTTGCTATTACTATTCCCAACTCTCAATGGAATTTTTGATCGATTTGCTTGCTGTTTATTCAATGAGCTTGTATTTGAGTTTGGTGGCATTATTGGAATGGGTGGAATTGGTGATTGATATATTACTGTCTGTTCTGCATCACATGATAATAATGGAATGCACTCGCTCATTGGAGTGTTTGAAATTGACTTATTTGGTGGACTATTCTCATCATCCTCATCAGCCTCAGTTCCACTTACATGAGGTGGTACCCGATATTTATGATTATTTGAGCTACTTTTTTTATTTACACGATGATTTGGTCGTGAATCATATTCGTCGTCAATCTCATCATCAGAATTAAAGAATCTATCATAAGATTTAATTGAATTATCATTATTATTTTCTATAAGTCGTCCAGCATCGTCATACAAAAAGCGATTATCCTTCCTTTTATCCTTTAAAATGTCATAATCAAATGGACTATTCTCACTGCTGCTATGCTTACTCCTTTCATTACGTCGAAAATTATTTGAATGTGATGTTGACTTCTTTATTAGCAACTGATGCTTTATACTCGAATAGTCTAAATCCTCGTTTGGATTATCCAAATTCTTATAATTATAACATATATTATAATCACTTTTCGGCTTACTACTTGATGCTGGATATTTATTATTGTCACTTATTGTTTCATGAATATATAATAGTGAATTGCTTTCAGATTTTTTTGCAAGTTCCTCGAAACTTGTTAGGCGCTTGATCGGTGATCCAATAATATTATTAATTATATATTTATTATTGCTACTTGTCGTACTTCCATTTATCGAATAATTCAATGAATTTTGCTGTTGTTGCTGTTGATCAATATCATTAACATTCTCTTGTGACTTTCTAATTCTCATGTGATCACATTCAATCACCAAATCTGATTCTATTAATGGCGATGGAGTTTTCCTTGACATTGAGCCGCGTCTTGATGATGACGATTGACTGTTCATAGTAGCTGTTGTTGTTGTTGTTGATGCCGGCTGATGAGGATAGTAATAGTATTGTTGTGGACTATTCTTATTGTTATTATTATTATTTGTTGAAGCACCAGGAGACATTTTGTTGCTTGATTTTGGCTGCGGATAAGTTCCATTACTTTTAGTTGGAGATAATTTATGATTTGAAAATGTTTCGTGATCTGGTGACTTGTCATATGGTAATGTTTCATATTCTACATGAACAATTGAACTTCGGTTAGAGCATTGACTTATTTCATCATCGTTACGATCACGATGATATAAAAGCATTTTATCAGGTATCATGTCGTCGGCTGGCGGCACATAAATTCTCACAATATCGGGATTTATTGCATCTTGTTGCGATATCGTTGGTGTTGGAGTATCATTTGAATTACTATTGTTACTGTTGTCTGCTCTCGCGTCATTTAACGGTAACGATGCGATCTCAGCTTTCACTGTCTCAGACTTCTTTTGATAAATTTGTATTGTTGATGAACTTTTCGCAATTGAACTAAAAAAGAGAAATTCAATTATTATTAAAATGGCAAAGAATGAATGAATTAGGCATGATTTAAGCTGGTAAAGAAGCTACTTGGATGATTTGCGACAATTTGCTTTATGAATGTCTGAGTTTAAAAATAGTTTTGGAAATTTGTTTTTATTAAGGAAGTAAAATTTAAAAATCCATAAATGGAAACAAGCACTTAATATGTAGAAAATTAATAACTATCTATAATGAAATTGTATAATCTACATATTTATAAATAGAGTGCAGTTTTAAAAGGAGAAAAATTGTAAATTGAAATAATTTTTTTTTTTTTTTCTTAAAGTCTATTTAAGGAAAAACTAGAGATGGAATATAATTTTTAAGAGGTTTGTTCACAAATGACGACTAATTGAAATAGTCTTTGAACAAGAAACTTTACTAGAATGTAAATTCGAAGGAATCATGAATATGAAGCATGAAGGAAAATTCAGGGCAAATTTAAGTAAATTTTACCGTAGAATCTAAAACTCCCACTTATATGAAGCCAATAAAATTACAAAGATCTCAGGTTCATAGAGATCACATATTCAACTATTACTATTAAATGATCATTGACATGTTGAACGCATTTTACGCTCACGAAGCAGACAAAACATTCTCCAAAAAATGCAAAGTACCAAGTCGTGCAAATTAAAAGAATGAATTAGAAATGAAAGAGAAAAAATTTCTTCTTTTTGTGTGCAAAAATGGCCTTAATTAATTCCTATTGTGCAACACGAAATGAAATTCTATAAAAAGTAAAATGAGAAGAAATAAAGAAGTATCAAAATAACTCACTTTGGACTACTTTCTCCATTCTCTTCATCTTCACCAACGCCAGCAAAGTTATGTAAATCAATGTCACTACTGCAATGAAGTTTCTCATTTGCCAATAGACTATTTTCGATCTCATAATGATGATGTTGTTGTGAAGCTGGTCGTCGATCACCGCCCGAGAAAATACTCAAATCAGCTGTCGATGTCACGGATGTATCGGCTAATGATCTCTTTGATAAATTCAATGATCCACCGTCTTCTGATTCGGGTATTTGTACTAAAAATTTGTATTGTTGATTGTTGTTAACAACATTGTTATGCATAAAACATATTATGAAAGTGAATCGTCGAGACATCATGAATGAAATGAAAAGAAAAGAGAGAATAACAGAAAAAATTGCATGAATGAATTTTTAAAATGTAAAAAATTGTTTAAATTGTTATCTATGTAAAGAAAGGTATATAACTATATATAAAAATAAATTTATGCAAAAAAGAAAGAAGAAAAAGCATTGGGATTGTTGTTAATTATTCAAAATTATTACATCAACAGAGTTGGTTGATTAAAGTTGAAATGATTTTTCAACGGTTGACAAAAATCCAAAATTTCCTATAAAAATACTTTTGAAATTCTCAAAATCATACAAATCATCTTGAAAACCTTACAAATTCAGTTTGAATTCAGAGAGATTTTTTTATTAAAATTCAAAAAGTCATCTTAAACCAACTTCTCAGCCTGCTCATATACCGAAAAAGGTGTGAACAATAAAGTAAAAACCGCATAAAAATGAAGCATAAAATTACACTTTTTATAATATTGCATCAAATAAATCCAGGAAATACACAAACACATATTTAATGACTCATTTGCTTTGTTTTTCTTCTCTCTATGTCTATATGTAATAAAATATTGTATCAATTAATGTATATGTAGCAGAAACAAAAAGAGATAACAAAACAACAATGAACAGTTAATAAAGAAAAGCAAAAGTAACATGAAATCGAGAAACATGATGAGAAAATCATTAATTTGTGATCATCATCATCGCCTATTATAGTGTTAAACGATTCAAACTAAATATAAATTTTCTAAAAATCAAATAGCTTTTAATTGACTTTTTTCAAGCTTTTCAACAATTGGACTTTTTTCAATTTTCGTGATGATTTTCTAATTTTTTTTATGAACACAAATTTATAATCCTGTGCATAATTATAGCGAACAGAAACAACGAAACGCAACATGAATGAAACTTTTAAAACACTTTTATGATTTAGCTGATCAGTAATTTTTTTTTAATTTTGACTTGTTTTTCTATCTTCTTAAAATTCAAAGGACTAAAGTGTAATGTAGGTCAGGGTATCAAGTAATATATTTCATTTAATTATTTTAATTGTCGATAAAAATTAAAATTTTCCATTTATATTAATTTTGAAATCATCAAAACCATATAAATTTTCGTCAATATTTCAACATGTGTACAGTTTTGATTGTTCTAAAACTTAAAACCATTCAAATTCAGTTTGAAAATTCAAAAATTTCATTTAACGACTTTTGACATTTCATTTGAACCAAACTTTAGGATTAAGCAATAAATCAAATACCAAATTCATATCAACCTTAAAACTCTTATCAAAAGCTTTGATTCGGTCTAAATTGATTCGGCAATAAAATCAAACACAAATCCTGATAAGCAACTGAAAAATTTACTGCATGATAAAAGCAGATAAACTTAAATTAACACACCCACATTCAATTAAGGTATACATTAATGTTTAAAAATCCAAAAATAGATTTAATTTTCAATTCCGAATAAACCCATACAAAAAATGCGGTAGTTTCTGAATAAACAGCAATGATGACCCATTAAGAGAACAACATGTTTGGCGAGAAATGTGCAAATCAGCAAGTATAATACTTTCAACTGTGCCATAAGAAGATAGCAAAACAAGATTGTCCAAATATTCAATGACAAGACAGATTCAAGTTAAATAAATGAAACTTTTTATTTATTTTTGATGAAAAGGTTCAAGGTGAGTTCACTTTGGGGGTAAATGAGGGTCCATTACTTTGAGGGTCTGAGATTGCATCCCTAAACCATCAAATATGGTGACAATAAGGCAAAAAAAAAATCTAATTTTAAATTAACGTAATTATTAAATTTCGAAAATCAATTGACAGCATGATAAACAACCCCCCAAGTAGCCACACCTTGCGTCATATATTTAAATAAAAAATTATTCAAAAGCGAACATGAAAGCGAATTAATAATTTTGCAAAAACCGCTATAAACATATGTACATAGGAAAAAGGTAGTCAATCTAATAAGAAATAAAGAAGTAAAAAAAAAGTTTTTTGCTTAGATTGTTAAAAAATTCTCACAGTTTGTAAAATCACACAACAACACGTGGCAGAACTGAGAGAGAATTAAACGAATAAAGAAAAAGAAATTAACATTTTGTGTATCGAATGAAAAACAAATTGAGGGAAAAAAATTTCAATATTTCTGATAATAGCAAAAATAATACATTGAGAGAAAACTGGTGAAATGATTGTGGAAGAATCAGTTCATGGTCGTTTGGAATGAACACAAAACTCTTTTTTTTTATCATTGATTGTGCGAATTATAAATATTTTTTTATGGCAATTTAAAAAGTAGAGAAAATATTGAATAGCATATTCACCTGTATTTAATTGACTATTTGATTCGCCTAAACCAATTTCTGTTATTTGAGATTCTTTTTCTAATTCGGCTGCCATCTCTTCTTGCCTGTAAGAAAAATCATATACATTACTCTATAATTCATAGCACTCACATAACGGAGATTAGCTTCTCTTTTCATTTTATTTAACAAAAAAAAAAGAGTTGAAAAATCTGAATGAACAGAAATCTATATTAAGTCACTATTGACACAACGGAGTAGAGCGCACTTTTCAATCAAATCAAAAAATTAATGAAAAATAACTGTCACTTAAAATTTGAAAAATAACGATCAAATCAATTTTGAATTTTGAAACTTTAGTTCTAAAATTCAAAAAATTAAGTTATGTTCTAATATTTCGAATAAATGTAGACCGTTATTATTATAAAATAATTTCAAAAAGCTTGTAGCAGACAAAAGGCAGACAGTTTCGTCGTATCCAACTGTAAAAAAGATGCGCTCTATATGATACATAAAAGAAACTCTACTCACGTCTTTATGACATTATCTGTGACTTCCTTTTCTATTTCAGTGAAACCAGACTTTCTATGGCCAATCTTTTCATCTTTTGTTGGCTCCACAAAGACACCAAATGGTCTTTGTGGGAATTCATTATCACTAGGTGGTGGCGGTAAATCCATTTTAGCCTTCCTCAATTCTTCCGAACACTGCTCGAGTGCTTTAATCACATAGTCATCGTCATAGCCGAAATTTTTGGGAAGTTGAACTTGTAAAAAGTGCACAATTGAGTCTAAATCTTTGAGTTTCATTAATTTATTCTTATGAAGTTTTAATACTGTAAATGCCATTGATGTCGATACTCTCTCGCCTTCTAATAAATACACATCCCATACTCGTAAGCACAAGCTAAATGGAATCTGTGGAATGTAAGCAATTTCTCTCATTAAAAATGCGCGATTGCTGATTTGACTTGACTTACCCGCTCGCAAAATATGACAAAGAACCATTTCAATGAATAAAGTATCGAGTCGAGATTACATTGATCGAAATGTCTCTTCAGCTTTGGAAGAAATTTCGTTAAAATCTTGTCGTGGTGCGCTAGGAATCGCGTTAATTTTGGAAAGCCCAAAATAAATAATCCATGCATTGCGAATTTTTTCTCGGTCAGTAGAATATTCAAAGCCCAAAATGTCTCCTCTTCGCCCAAATACATAAGCAGCATGCCCGCCAATGTACTCATTCCTTGACAGTATGAGACCTACATATTTCGTCGACATCAATAAAGATGATGATGATGATGATCGTGTGTTTGTAGAATGGAAAATAAAATGTAATAAAATATATGAAATGAGAGATGCGTCATTAAAGTAGCTGATAAACGCATTTAATTTGCCTATAACTGAGTATCAGTCAGCTAGTTGTAGCAAAGTGATGTAAATATATTACTCATTAGAGAATTTACATTTGTAGCTAGCCACATACAATACAAAGGCAGTAATGACATTATGCAAATATTCTATGACTATCTTTAGCAACATTACCTCCATATTATACATTGAATATGCAACGAGAACATTAAATAAGCTCCTCTGTCGCTGGTTATAACGTTCACGAAAGAAAATATTTTCACGAAATTGTCGATTAACATCGGAATCAATTTGTCTAGCCTCGGTGCTATGATGTTTAGCCAGTTCCAACATTTCCTGATATTTGTTACCCTTATCGCTCATGACTTCAGCGAGATTAAGTAATTTCGTCCATACAAATGCGCGGACTTTGTCTGGAATTCCTTTATAAATTCTCTTCTGTAATTTCTCTTTCGTTGATTTCGAGTCCCACTTTGACAGCATTTTAACCCATTTTTTCTCACGTTGTGCGAGCACTTCGAGTTTCTTTTCTAATGTCTTTTTATCATCTTCGGGTGATTTTATTTTCTGGTCGTGAATGAATCCAAAACTTTTAAGGAATTGAAGGGAAAGAATAAGAAGAACAAAAATTATTCATAAAGCACTCGAATTGAGGCGCACTAAATGTCAAAGGTTGCAAGCTAGCAGGAACTTGATATAAATAATAATGTAGGCGTAAAAATGAGAGGTGGTGAATTTTCATCTCATTTATGCTGCTGCTGCTGTGCGTGTAACTTGTTGCAAATGCGATGGATTGGGAAATAAAAAACTTATACAATTTTACTTACCGATCAATCATTGAATAGACATTATATTCTGGATCTTCCCACGGATCAATTACTCCCTGCCTGCCTAATTCATAGCGTTCAAATATTTTCTTCCTTTCATCATTACTTCGTTCGATTAAGTCTTGCGAGTCCATTTTCATTTGTGGGATCTAATTTTTCACTACTTTAAATTAATTATTAGATGATTTGCAAACAATGGACTCGTAGCCCCAAAAATGATCTTAATTATACTAGATTTCACTTGAAAAACAAATTAATTAAGCGCATCTTTTCATCATTTTTCACTTATTGATTGATTTTGGATCATTGCAGAAAAACAGTTACTTCTTCATAATTTACACTGTACTCCTTGATGTCTTTTGACAAATTTTGATATCTTAACACTATGAACTTATGCCTTTATTTTCACACAAATTATTGATTCCAATTAAGCCATTCTACTGTAATTCAATAAAAATTTCTCCGTGTCTCTCACTTCAACTCTTTTTTCTTCAATTTTTATTTGTACGACTAGCACTTTGTGGACTGTTCAGCATGTCAACTGTGTTGTGTATTATATTATGACACTAGTCTCTTGAAATTTGTTGTTTTAAATTGCAATGTTTACTTTTTATTTTTGTTGATTTAAGGAGTCACGTGTTTTAATGTCAGTTGAATTTTCAAATTTTTACTAACACCATCACAAAAATTCTGCAAGAAAGTTTTAAATTCTGAATTTTAATGTTTTAAATGAAGATTCTCGGTAATGTTCTGCATAAATCCTTCTATACATTCTGAATACATCGACAGAAACTGCTTGATGAGCTTAAAATTGCACAATGATAGACAAATTAAGGAAATTATAGCTTCTAAAATGAGTTTTTCCATGAACTTGCTTCACTGACGCTGGATTATGAACAGAAAAGTGCGAGAAAACAAAGAAAATTAATTGAAAATTCCTGGAAAACTGTTATAACACAGCTTTTTAAATAATTTCCTGTCAAATTTTACAATCAACTTTCATCCATAATCATGAAAATCTTTTATTTCCAATATCAAAACTTTAATAATATTAACGGCAATTATAAATTCAAATATCAAGTTTAGAGCTTTATTGTGTAACTAGTCATGAAAAAATTCGTACAGTAAACTAAATTCACTTTTAAAAAGCATACAGGCAGAGTCAGATAATAATTTTGTGTAGAAAATAAGCCCAACAGAATGTTTCAATCACTGAAACAGAAGATTGCTAAAGAGACTGGACAGGACATAACAAGAATTAATTTTAACAGATCGACATCGTCAACAAATAGTAAAATTTTATCGTCAAGAGACTCAATTTGTAGCAATCAGTCACTAGACAACTCATCTAAGGATGACTTATCGCCATACGATGAGAAAGAAGCGGAAATTAATATATTAAGACAGGAGCTTCTAGTCGCACAAAATAGAATTAAGACATTAGAAGTTGAATTGGAGAAATTCAAGGAATCACTGAGAGTCAATCAAGTGTCTAAGGACTTAATGTTTGAGGAAACTGACAAGATCCATAATGCACAGCACCATGAAATTGAGAAATTAAAAAGCTTATTACTATTTCGCGAGCAGGTAAATAATTAGTGCATTTTATGGACATCCAGTAAGCAAGTAACATATGATTTACAGGAATCGCTAGATCAATTGAACAAATCCAAGAATGACGAGAGTCAAATTGAGAACCTCAGAGGTGAAATAACTAGAATAAAGAATATTGAGGAAATGTTTGAAGAACTCCAGGTAAAATACCTTCTTTTTTTTACACCTCTTATCAAAATGTGTTCATTCGGGTATTACAAATTTGTTCCTGTACTTTCTTTGCACACGAAATAAGAATTTTTAAGTTGGTGCTTACTTACATTACATTATTTCCTTATCAAACAACTTTGTTTCCATTATTCATTCTCCCTTGAAATCCAGTCATATGTGTTATTGTGAGTTTTATGCTTATTATTATTTATATATTATAACTTATATGCTGTTAAGCACGTGAGAAACTTTCTTATCAATAGGTGAGTTAAAGCTTTGTTTGCTCTCATTAATCATTTTATATTATTTTTTGTTATTCACGCTTGCTTGTTTTTGGTGTAGGCTCGGAAATTAAAGTCCTTAATTAATGAATATTGATTGACATGATTGTTTAATATCCTTTTAGGATGAGCATGAAAATCTACGCCGTGCATCACAGCTAGAAAAAAATCATTTAATTACAAAGCTCTCAGCAAAGGAAGAAGAAATTCGTCATTTGACAGCAAAACTCGAAATATCAGAACAACGTGCATATATAACAGCTTCAGATTCAGATAATGATAAAATTAAGTTGCTATTACAAGAGAGAAAAATGCTCGAATCAAGATTAGAAGAAGCACACATTCATCTTCATGAAATTAAGAGCAATTGGACTAGTCAGAATTTAACTTTAGAGAATCAATTGGCAAGGTTGTCAAGACAAGTTGCTGAGGAAACAGGCGAAAAAAGGAAAATTATTGAGGCTAAAGAAATGCTGACTGAGAAAGTTAAACAGCTTGAATTTGAGATGTCAAAAGCTAGCGAGGAACTGAAAGTTCGAGACAATAAGGTAAGCTAGTGTTTGTGAACCATACAAAAGTTTTTGGGTGCTGTTGTAAGGTTATGAAGAATTTTCAAACATTTGTAGGGTTTTTATCTGTCTTAACAAACACTTGTACAGTTTAGATCAAATTTTATAAACATTTGTAGAGTTTTAAGTGAAAGTTCAAATCAAATTTGATCGTTAAATTTTGAATAATTAATGACAGTTGAAAATCAATGAAATTTATTAATTTATTTCAGATCAAATTAATGAACGAGGAAATCGACGAGCTTAATTCATCATTGCGTGAAATACGTTTGGAAAACGAAGAAGAAATTGAATTTCTTCGCAGCAAAGTCGTGAGTACATCAACCACATTGATTGTCTAGTTTTCCTTGTTCGTCAAGGAATTAACACAAACATTTTATTAACATGACCAAAAAAATTGGTGATTTTATGTTTAATAACAGAATTTATTTATTATAGCATGAAAAAGAATTGTGATATAAAGTGCTTTTATCAATTTTTTTTTAATTTTTTATTCTTACTTCAAGCATGCGATTTGACTATAAAAAATAAGAATGAGTATTCTTTTCTTTCACTTATGTTGTGTGTCATTGTGTTCTATTAAAACAATAAAGTATATTTAAAAATATTTAAATTTTTTATCATTTTGCTGTTTTTCTTTTTTGCTATTCTCATTTAAAGTTGTAAAAAGGTAGCACCAATGGTTTAGTTTTATTTGATTTACATTCTTTTTTTCCTACTCAATTTTGTCATGTTTTGTCACATAAATAATTGATTTATATTTTGTCTGTAATTAGGCTTTCCAAGAGAGTGAATTGATTTCAACGAAGGAAAACGTATTGAAATATTCAGAAACGAGTGACGAGTATGAGGCACAAATATTAGCACTTCAAAAGGAATATAATGAGGCTCACGAGAAGCTCCGTGATTCAGAGAACAAAATTATTGAAATGAATCAGAAAATATCTGAAATGGAGCAAGATAATTTAGCAATTAATGATCTTCAGGTGCAACTTGATAGATATGAGGCTGAAGTTACTGATAAAAACAAAGTAAGATTTTAAATTCTAAGAATTTTGTGATAAAATAATTTAAATCAATCTTTTAGGCGATAAAGATTTTAAATCAGCGATTATTTGACGTAAAGAAGACTCTGCAAGAAGAGATTAAGAACAATAATAGTGGAAGTACAGGATCAATGACAAGCAATCAGCCTGCGATTTTGATACCTGTAAATGTCGACAATAATTCTAATAATCATACGTTACCGTTCAATTTAAAGAAGTCTAACATATCTGGGCCAATTGTATTGGACGAAGTCAAATTTTCGTATTTAAAACACGTAATTTTTAAGTTCTTGACGACGGAATCAAAACATCTTATACGACCGGTGAGCACACTTTTGTATTTAACCGATTCTGAGGAAAAGCTTCTTGAGGAAGTGTTAGAATATCGAAAAAGTTGGTTCGGTAAACCGCCAGCGATGTCATTTCTATAATAAGGTAGAGAGCTCTATAAATTATACACAATAGAAATTTTATACATAAAGGCTGACTAAATATAACAAAGCAGTTATAATTGATTTACATTCTTTAGCATAAAAGTCACATGTCGTTCATTGAAAGTATCAAGCATTTCTAAAATGCACATTTACTAGGTAAATTTTCCTTCATAATATTATAATTTGCATTTTTTTGCTATAAAGAAAAATTTAAAAACATTTATTTAAAGGAATTTCCAAAGAAAAATACAGTATTTAATATTTAAATAATAAAAAACACTTTATTCAAAAAATTAATCATAATAGATCTTAATCTAATTCAGTTACTCTTAAAAGGTTTTTTTAAAAAAGAGCTTTTTCAGAAGATTAAAATTTTTAACGGTTTTTTATTCAAATTTTTTAGCACAAAGCCTTATTCTACAAAATTTAAATTTGAAAAGTCTGTTAAAAATTCAAATTTTAAAAATCCGTCAAAAATTCTCGCTCAATTCCATTAAAACTGAAATTTTTATTGTTTCATTAGAGGAATATCACTATTTTTTTAATATCTTCAACCAATAAGATTAACATAAATAATAATAATTGACTTCAACAAAGCTACCCGCACAAGCTATAAATCTATCCACTAACTTACGTAGAAATTTGAATTTAAAAATTTATTAATTACATTGCCTAACTTTATATGAAAGCTGAAATATGTCTTTTGATTTTCATATTCCTTAAAATCGAATCTCATTGTTGTTTATTTTGTCATAGACTTCAGGTGTTAAAAGCTCATATTCGTTAGTTCTTGTGTTAAGGAAGTAAACTTTATCAGTTATGATACTAGGATTAAATCCATCCTTTTGTAGATCTAATTTCTTAAGCTTACATGTTCCAGTCATGTCTATTTTCTCCAAAATTCTAATAAATTGTGGACGAGCATAATTTGGCAAGGATTTCCTCAAGTTTGCATTTAATGTTCTAATTTCTAAAGATCTTTCTGGATCTACAATAGCTGCCATGCCAGCTCGACCTTCTACATTTGGAATCTCAACACCATACACAACACAATCTCTATAATCAGCTTCATTACTAACTTGTGCTTCAATTTCACTTGTGCTACAATTTTCGCCCTTCCATCGGAAGGTATCTCCTGTCCGATCAACAAAGAATAAGTTTCCTCTATCATCAGCAATTAAAAGATCACCGGAGAGAAAAGCTGAATCACCCTTTCTAAAGACATCATGTATAACTTTCTTTTCTGATGCTCTTTTGTCGACGTAACCGAGGAATGCTCTTGATGGATTAGACGTAATTTTCCCAATGAATACACCGGGCTCATTTGGATTGCATACTTGGCACAAACCATTTTTATCGCGGATTGGATCTCCTGTATCTGGATCCGCTTTAATAATAGATATTGGATAGACGAATGGAAGAATTCGTGAGACAAAGCCAATTGCACCGACTGTATTGTCAATATTAACTATGCTAGCATTTCCTTCTGTTGCTCCATAAAATTCAGCAACACGCTTAATATTAAAGCGCTTAACGAATTGAGGCCAAATCTGTGGTCTCAAACCATTGCCAAACATTAATCTTATGTTGTGATTACTATCAGTTGACTGTCCGGGAGTTGAGAGACAATAACGACACATTTCTCCAATATATTGTGCGATCTAAAAATGAAAGAAAAGAGTCAGACATGAGAAAATGTAGTCACGCAATTGCAAAATAAATTGCTATGTTAATTTCGTCACGAAAAACTTACAGTAGCTTTGAATTTTGCACAATCGGCAAAATAGGCTGAAGCTGAGAACTTTTTACGAAGTGCAACGGTCGATCCAAATATTATCATTTGTCCAACACTCATACATCCACTAGCAGTATGATATAGCGGTAGTGGACTATAATAAATATCACGTGGTGTAAAACCAGCAACAATGTGTATAGCAGCTGCCAGATAAAAGTATCTGTTATGGGAAATAATTGCAGCCTTTGGCAATCCAGTGGTTCCACTTGTGTAAATATACATCAATTGATCATGTTGATCAGGTTTCTTGAATGTTGATTGTGCTGGAGGATCTCGTGGAACTTGACTCAAAAGAGTGTGCAAGTCTTTAGCATTTCCATAAGTTGGCAAGTTGATATCATCATTGAATTGATATAGAACCATTGTAGACGGGATTTGGTCTTTGATTTCTGTGATGGCTATAAGAATAAAACATTTGTATTAGTTGCTGACGCAAAAGAGTTTCAAGGTCAAGATTATATGCTTACATTCTGTCAGCGATTCTCCAAATATGACCGCTGTACAATTTGCGATCGTTAGGGAATGAAGCAGCGATTGCTTTCTTAAATTGTGATTTATTAAAGGAATTACGACACCAATTTTTGATAATCCCAACCATATTGCTACAAATTCCGGTCTATTTTCCATTAATAAAGCTACTTTATCTCCATGTTTAAAGCCATTCTGTATGAAAAGATTCGATACTCGATTCTTCAAGTCATTGATCTAGAAAGAAATTTAAAAGCTTCAATAATTATTCAGTTCATGTCAATATGTGTTGTTTGACATACCTCCTTAAAGGTAAACTGACGATCTTCCATCATCAGACATATTTTATTCGGATGTTTCTCAACTTGCGTCTCAAATAAATCAGCTGCTGAATAGTTTTTACTTGCAAGCTTTCTTATGAAAAGTAAAAGTTTTATGAATCTCGTCACAGCTCTAAAAAGATTGATAACAAAGAAAAGATAAATAAATCAGTCATTGAGTCAGCGGATTGTGATAATAAAAATGACAGAAGATATAAATAGCTTGTAAAAGTAGTGATAAAGAAGCTCTAATTATTATGTATGCGTAACCTTGATCTTGCAAGCGCAAATAAAGAACTTTGTCGTTTTTGTGAACCGGAATTGGGAATGACTTCGCAAGAATATATAGAAACGGGTAGAAACTTGAAAAATAGTGGCTTAAAAAGCTAATAATATGTGAATTAGAAGAGCTATTGATTGCATATTATTGACTTTTAGTTGAAGAAAAAGACATTTTTGGATTTGAATATTATTTTTAAAAATGTCAGAAGATGTTTAAAGCATTTGCTGCTTAAACACTTGTTGGTCGGGACTCGTCTTATAATTGCTATACCGCCTGATTCCAACTAAGATTTGTGGGTTGGCTGAAGATTTTGATAAGATTGCAGCTTAACAGATTTATCTGCAAAGGTTTAACTGATCTAAATCAAAAATGATGAGTATGTGATTTTTCAGACCCTTAATCGTCGGTTTAGATCTTTTGGTGCTCAATCTGTGCTTAGCACAAATTCTTCAAAAACATTTCATTGGCAAGAAGCAGTAAAAAATTAAATTTTTGTAATATCAAATGTTATGTCGATAGCTCTTAAGAAATACGAAAGTTAGTAGCTGCAGTTTTGTCATTGATGCGACTTTTCTTGGATCTGCTTGAACATTATCTACGTAATTTCATCAAATTATCACAATAAATGTTTCCATGACAAATTAAACATTGAGTTTTAAAAAAAGAAACTTCGCATGAAATAATTAAGCGCTCAAAACCAGATTTATAGTCATTTAATAAGTTTTTTTGCTAAGCTATTCGAGAATATCAAGCTTCAATTATACTTCTTTAACGTTAAACCTTCATCTTCCAAGGAGTTGTGGAAAAAAAAATGTTGAATTGAAGTTTGATCCCGCAAGGTCAAGTATCTTAGGCAAACATTGACTCTTTTTTTTCTCTTCTGTTAATTACATTCATCTTCGACAAGCACAAAAAAAATATCTTTTTGATGTGCAGATAGTTATTTCATAGTTTATGTCAATTTATGTCTAATTAAAATTCTATTTAAAAATTATAAAATCGTGCATAAATATTGAAGTTCTGAATGTCTAATGCACAATATTTCAGGCATAAATTAATTATTAATAGAATTTGCATGTAACTCCTTCACTTCACACTTTGAAACCCGCTTACTTTCTCTTTAGACATGCCACATGTAGTGTGCCTTTTCTCTCTGTCTAACATTCACCAAACATGAAACGAATCGTTTGTTATTCAACAACTTCGGCCGTAAAAAACACAACATCTTAAATGTAAGTTGTGATAATTTTTGCGTAATCATATATCGTCATTCAACCGCAATGGGAAATTTTATATGTGTTATATACACACTTTTAGCAGCTTTGCACTATTGTTAGGTGACTACTTATGAAGCAGTTTGCTTGAGCAGCTGTATAAAGTAATTTTTGTGGTTTTTCATTTGCTGCTAGAGACTTGAGGATCGATTGTTTATGACGTTTGTCATTAGAATTATCTCTTGGCCCTATGTCCCTCATGGAGTGTTCCAATCCAATCCTAATATAGCACAACATAAGCAAATGACCCCTTATCATTGTCTTACTTGTTATTCTTTAGATAAGACCTTGATAACAAATCTTTCTGACGCTGATTTTTAAGCTCCAAATAATTTTGGTCACAACAATTTAATGCCATGCATGGATCAGGTCATTTGCGCTTCATACAACCGGTTCAAAGAAAATATTTGGCACGCTATCAGCAAATAATGATTAAAAACTTGTTCTGAATTCAAATTAACTCGAAAGAGTCTCAACAAAAATGCGCGCTTGTCACGGAACAGACGGACGACAACGATTTCATATTCGAGTGTCGCTTTGTTTACCGTCATTCATAAAAAATATGCATTCGACACATTTATGGATTGAAATGTAATAAATTAGGTGCATAGTGCATATTTAAATGCACTAATACAAGCTCATGAAGAGAAAGAAGAATTAATGGAATTTAAATTAATATAGATTACGATATATGCGCGTAACGGCGATTGTACCACTTTCATGTAACTTTCAATTAATAATAATACTTACAGAATATCTCTTGGAGCTGTGACTCCTGCAATGTAGAACCATTTGTTTAATCCAGTGATGAATATGATTATCAAAAGTGCAACAAATGCAGTAAGTAATCCAATATTGTAGTTATCCATGTATATTGCGAATAATGAGGCCAACGCTAAAACGATGAGCGAGCCAACTATCTTTAAGCCAAGACTAAAGTTAACTGAAAACAATTTCTGTTCACTGCTGCTGTCAACGTTTATTAACTCGTTTTTGCTGTTTGTTTTTATTTCATTCTCATTGTTGTTGTATGTTTTACTATGTATGTATTGTTGCTTTATTCCTCTCTCAACATCATCACACTTAAAATAATAAGATTTACTATTAAATCGTCGACTATACTTCTTAATACTATAGGCGAGTGAAGATCATCTCGAGACTTTTGAAGCATTCGAAATGAGAAGGAAATTTTTGAGAAACATGTTGTCGGAATATTATTTTTTCTGTTTTTGGTAATTTTATGCACTTGTCAGTCAACACACAAAAGTCGCTCTCTCACTCTCTTTACAATTTTACTGAGTATTTAATTTACTTAAATTCAACCAAAGAGTGAGAAAAATATTTTGTAATTGAATTTCTTTTTGAAGTTTTTTTTTTACTTCCTCATCAATTGACGAGCCGCCTAATTAAGTTAATTTATGGATCCAAATGAGGCACTTTATCGCTTTGAATTGAATTTGAATTATTTAAACTTTCCACACACAATTAAATCGAAAATAATAATTTAAAGAAATTCGAAAAATTAAGTTGAAGAGAAATTTTCTTCTTTTTCTGTCTGATCAGCTGTTTGGAAGTCTGGAAGATGTCGCATATGCGCATGTGAAAAATATTTGAAATAGAATTGAATCGTTATATAATTTCAATTGTTTCTTTTCATGAAGGTTTAAAATTAAAATTTTGATTATTTTGAACTAAACTTCAAGTCAGTTTTTTTGATCACATTGAAATGAGAAATTAATCAAATAATTTTGGAGATTTCCAAGATAATTTGTAACAAAAGCTATAGGGTCAATCTTTAATATTCACTATAGTCAATAAGATCAAAGCCAATTTCATTTCTATATGAAGTAAATAACTTAATTTTTCAATTTAGGATCAAAAAGAGAGTTTAAAGTCTATCATTGGTAGCAAAATGAAGGAATTTAAAAATTCTATTAGGTATTGACGTCATAAAATAGACGTAATGACCTCAAATTTTTCATAAAAGCCATTAAAGAGCTATTAAAACTGATTGAATCTACACAAAAGAACAAAGTTTTAATTTGCAAAAAAATTTCAAATTTGGCAACAGCTTAAAGTTAAAGTTTATTTTAAAAGAAATTTCATTAAGTCATTAACTGTAGATTTTATGGAATAATAATGAGATAATATTTTTGAATAAATTTCTTTTGAATATTTTCAAGTCTTAGCTTTAAGAATTTCATTGATATTGTTTTTAAGCTACTTTTCTGGAAAGTCTTTTTTCAAGAACTTAGATTCAGGACTTAAATAAGGATTTTGATGATTCTTCAATTATAATTAATGTAACATTAGAATTGGAGCTTAGCTTTCTAGAATAAGTACTTAAATAACAAAAATTGAAGCCTTTCCACATGAAAGTTAATTTAAAACAGCAATTCAAAAAGTAATTTTCAAAGTTAATCCTCTAAAATGTCTAAAGATCAATTTACCGCTCTCTTAAATCTCATCATTATTTCATTATTAATTAAAGCTTCAATATTTTTTATACATCCAAATAAATTTGCTCGTAACTCATTTTAATTCCTCATCGTTTAAAGAATATTAATACTTAAAAGCATTTAATTAAACTTACTGTTTATGGTCGATAAGCACAATTATGTTAACGGATTAAACATTCTTTGCATATATTAATGTATTCTAAATTGAGATAATTTATTAATGAGTTTGTGAAAATGTGACGAACTTTGAGTATGTGCAATTAATAATGCGTTTATAAATGAACCGTTAACGGGTGTTTTTGCACGTACACTAAAAATTCTTCTAAAAACAATCAGTTTGTTCTAGCTAGACGTGATATTTTGTTTATTCGTATGCTAATTTTTAAACGGATATTAAATAATACTTTGTTTTTAAACATTTTCAAGTTCATGATACCGATGGAACTTGGCATTCAAAAAATATCGATGTCACATTTTATCTCCAAAAAACCAGTTAATTTGCATAGCTGGATTATTATATATTTTTTGTTTAAAGACGATTGTTGCAGGAAATCCAAGAAAATATTCAAATAAAATCCTTCATCGTTCATTTAAGTTCCTGCCAATTTATAATCTATTAGCATTATTAGTTCTCTCTTTGTTTGTGCAAATTTATAAAATTTATTAATCTTTGCAACGAAAATAGAAGTGACAATAAAGAAAAAACCCTGTCTCGCTTTGTGAAACTCGTTTGATTGCAAAAAGGAATAGAATCTTAAAGATTAAGAATCACACGTCTTACAGGCAAAGCTTTAGTTCGACAAGAAAAAGTCTAAATGTTAAATTATTTTTTTTGCTGAATAGCTCTTACGTAAATGAGTTTAACATCAAGAAGCAAGCATTTATAAAATCAGACCAATGATACAGCTTTAGAAATTTTAGAAAAGATAAATATGGGTGGTTGTTAAAATAATTTTATGATTTTTGTTTGATCAATTCTTCAGTTTTGTCTCTTATTTCAATGGATTTTAGATTAAAAGTGGAACAAGGGTGGCGTCATAACCTAAAATCTTTTTAATGACCCATATGCAGGTAAATCTGCCAATGTAACACAAAGGCTTTTGTTGTTAATCTGTTCGACCGCAAACTGAACATCTGTTACTTATCTTTTTAAAGAAGGTGTGAATTTCCTTCGTAAACTGATTTTTAAGTCAGTAAATACAATGTTGTTGACTTAAGTCAAAAATATGTCATCAAATTGATGTTACTAGAAAATTAAAATTTGAAAATACAAAATAAGCTTTCCAAACTTAATAAAATATTCTGATAAAAGTTGAAATAAGAATATCGAACCCAAATCAATTGGAATAAAGCAGATTCAAACATTTTTCATAGCAAAATTATTATTTATTGTAAATATTTTGATTCTTTGATCTCTTATTATTAATCTATTGTAAGCTAAACAAGAACGATTATTTGAACTCTACGGGGCATGAAGATGCTCAACATTCATAGGAATTAGTTAAGATTGAAAGTTTTGCCAGTTTATCAGCAATCAGTCAGTTGAAACAATATTGAAAACTGCTTGAAACAGAAGCAAAAAAGTGTCTTAAGCTGTAAATTTTCTTAATAAGATCAAAGATCTTTGAAATAACCGGCTTCTTTATTTTTCGAAGATTATTGTTTTAAACATTGAAATCCGATTGTTTGTTGATTTTAAATATATCGTATTTTTGACTTTAAACTTGACTTTTATCAACTGATAAACTTTTCATCACATCTAGTTTTTAAATGCTAATTGTTGTCATCTTTTAATGTCAGACTTATGAAATCATCCTTAATTTGCAAATTAACATAGCTTCTTTTACCAATTTTTCAATTCTTTAAATAAAGTAAGTTTTTCAAGCCAAAAATTGATTATTAATTGGAATTGACAATGCATGTCTTTAGCTACCTTTTAAAAGTTAAAATCCTTAGTCTCAAAAATTAATTTTTGGAAAAAGTGGCAATTTGTTCATTCGTGCTCATGAGGTTTCTTTACAAACACTTTTTAGAAATTTTGCCTAAAGTTACTCTCAAAAGCGAGGTCGATTTGGATCCAAGGATTTGATAATAAATTGAATTTATTTTTCGATTGCTTCAAAGGTCAGTCGTAAAATTAAAAAGAAGAATTTCTTAATGCATAAATAATTCTCTACAATGACATCATGATGATTAATCAGTTTCTTCAGACTTTTTGGGATTTCCACTTCGTTTACAAGTCAATTTGCTGATTTATTTGGATTTCTTTATTTATTTTACAGGAGATAAATGGTTTATTTACCTTTTGACGTCAGATTTTAATTGAAAAAGAGTAGATCTGATTCTATTAAGCAATCAAATGTTTAATTAGACAAGTCTTCAAAAAACTTATAAGTTCCTTCCTATGTACATTTATTTTCAAACTTTCTGAAGATTCTCATCTGGTCTCATTTTTTAAAAACAATTTTGCGTACTTTAAAATTTTGTCGTCACTTTCATGCAATAAGAAGAATGCAACTTAAATATTGACTATTCAAGGTCGCCGAATATTTAGTAATGAAGGTAAATAAATACATTGTGCAAATTTACTTCGCAAATAAAATATCATACTGGTATATAATATCACTCATTTTAAGTTGGTTGAAAGAAAAACAGAAGCAAATTTGTACAGATATTATGAACCTCAATTTCACGTGCGAGAGTTTCGAAACTCACAACTTGCATGAGCAAAAAAGAAGAAGATGAAAATTTCTCTACAAAATTTATGAGGAAAACTTGACGAAGTTTTTAATTGAATGTGGAAATATTTTCTTTATAAATAGATGAAGTTTATTGTTGTGCAACATAAATTGTTGCAGATAACTTTATGCTACGAAACTGATTTTTTTCATTATTTATTTTTAGCTTTAATGTGTGGAAGTAATATACTCAGAAATTCTTAATAAGTTTTTTAATCACACATTTTGCAACTAGTAATTTTAAAAACCTATGTAAATGTGAATAGGTCACGAGAACTTGAGAATTGCCTTCAGTTTACATTAATCGAGGATTATGAAATTGCGAAAAGTAGAATTAGGATTATCATGGAGGACAGAGTTCAAAATTATATAATTATGATGCATACTGTAAAATTACATTTTAATTCTTCAGAAATCTATTGTCATTCCCTTAATTCAAAGAATATTTTGTGATTAACAGTAAATGGAATAAGCGGGGATTTTTTTTCTTATTATTCTCATAGCTGTTGTTAGCTCTAGGAGTACATTTGCTATTTAATTAATAACTTCGTGATTTTTATTATTGCTCAAGAGAAATTTAAGAATATAATTTATCAAAAGATTAGGGCCATTGAACTGATGAAGTCAATAAATCTCCTTATCGATTCTATAATAATTAAGAAATGGCAATACTTAAAATATTACAGACATTTTGATAGCGATTTTTAATTTGTTTTCTACTTAAAGCTTCAATTCTTATTAATCTCTGTTCAAGTTATCGCATTCATTGACATTCACAGAGGTTAATGAATTTATAAAGAACCTGTTCCTGTAATTCTTGTGAGATTAAGACAAAGACAAAGAATTCATTGTCCTCAATATTACTGAATCTGCATAGCGGTTGTGGCATATTTGCAGAGTACGAAGAGAATAATTCATTATTGACATTCTGTATTTTTCCACTATTGCTAAGTCTGTACGCTGACCAATTATGAATTAAATAGATCATGATTATCAGGTTTTGTTTAAATTCTTCAAGACTAAGCAATCAAAGACATAATTCTGTGGTTTATCAAAATTTTATATTTTTTTTAAATCTTCATGCTTTATAATAAGCAAAGATGATCGTGAACCTAGTTTAAGCATGACAATAATTTTTTAAAATTACTAAAGTTGACGTGAAAAATTTTAAGGTAGGTTGGAAAATCAATTTGTTTTTTATGCTAATTCAGATTTTTGAATTAAGGAAAACGTGAAGGGCTTGATATTTAAGAAAGATATAATCATATACAAACGTATGGTAAGGAATAACTAGTTTTGATTCTCTCATAAAACTAAGCTAATTTCCGTTGCTGTATAAATTGCCTTTACCGGGATATATCAATTCAAGCTTTAAATTGTAATCATTATCACATATTCACTTCCAACTTGGTTGTTCTCAATAAATCTAATCAACATTATGTTTCATGTCATGCTTATGAGCCTGCCATGTCAAAAGTCATGAAGAGTAGCTCAATCTTACAATTTAAAAACGCCGCTACATTAAAAATTTAATCAAAGCAGAAAATGCATTTTAATTCACTCAGAGGCGTAGCTAGGAAAAGAAGTCTTAATTATCTCTTTAAGGAATTTTCTCAGCTACATCTCTGATCTCACTGACAGTAAATGAATACAAATGAACCTCAATGAGTCATTAATAATAAAGATTTTGTCATGCGAAACTCTAAAGTACACAACTTTTCGTCACTTCTAACTGAACATGCAGTTTAAAATTTTACGCAATCTTCCACAGTAATTTTATTTAATTTGCCACAAACATACGATCGATTCACATTGGCAGATTATCACATCGCAAAATGACATTGAAAATGCAAAAATCTTGATTTGTCTTGACATAAATAAGGTAATAAATGGTGTTGTTTCAACTACAAGTGAATCCACAGCATGACTTTGACTTTGACTCTCTTTTTTTTGTTATTTAAAAATAAACAATAATATTCATACATATCAATTATCACGCATATGAGCTTCATTTCCTCCGTATAGACAGTTAAAAGTTGCTTAATTCTGATTTCACTTCTGTTTTGAATTTATATTTAGATTATTGAATTAATGTTTGGGTCAATGAGAAGCGATAATCTTTGCGAATCGAAATCAAATTAATTAAAACTATAAACTTGCACTAAATTCTCCTTTCACTTTGTTCCAATTCCATCTAATATCAAAAAAATTATCATCGGCAGATGACCTTGCATTTTTAATAAAATGAGAATAAAAAAAAAAACTAAAATATAAATTCACGTTTTCACAGATTTGAAAATCTAGTTTATGCTGAAAACTCACATTTTATTTTTATAATGACAAGTTTCTCAATGGATTTCCTTTAACCATTTTTTTTTGGTGTCTATAATTTATTTTTCAAAGTTTTTAAAACAAGAATTATTTGTTTTCAAAACTCTCAAGACATCATTTTTTATAGTAGAGTAGATAAAGTGAGGTCAGTGGATGAATTTTTTAAGTTTTTGACGTTGTCTGAGGGCAATAAAAGCTAGTTTGTAGTGTAAAACTCATTTTCATTTAGCACAAAATTTGTTTTTAAAACTTTAGAACATTTGACTTTGTCGAATATTTCAAACGAATTCACAATAGGATGTTTTATTTTTAAATTGTCTTTCAATTGACATATTTTGGATTTTAGTGTAAAAAATTTGCTGTGTAATGTTATTAATTTTCTATGAGAACTATTCACAATGGTTATCTAATTTGAATGAAATATCAAACAAATAACATTTGAATAATAATTAACTACAAAGTTGCAATTCTATTAAGAATCTAAAGCAAGACACCTTTCAATTAAAAGATTAAAACAAACATCTAAATTAAAAAAATAAAATTCTTCTTTAATTAAAAACAAAGACTTGAGAGCTGTTGAATGCTTTAAAAAGTTTATCACCTTATTCACTAGAGATCACAGTGGAATTCTGGAGAATTTTGAATTTTGACGCTCCTAAAAAATATTCCTTCGCAATATTGCATATTTTGGCTAGCTTCTGATAATTAATATTAAATGCTATGATTATTTTTTAAAGTTTTACATCCGTAGACTTTGTGAAATTAGCGACATGAACTATTGCAAAAAATTGTAATATTTATTTAATCTATTCGCAAAATTTAATTGAAGATTAAAATTGGTTTGAATGAATAAATGCAATTCAAATTTATTATAAAAAATCTTATTAGAAACAAAAATTGTAAGTCAAATTAAATGACTTTATAACTGGATAGTTAAAGTTCAAAACTTCCGACAACATCTTCAATAATTTCCCACTCTGCTGTGACTCACCAGAAATAAAATTTGGTTAAAAATAGAAACTACTGTTTTCGAACTATTAATTACCTTCTCATCACTGCTTTTCATCATTTTATTTTTGGTATTATTATAATTTTAAAAATCTATTTCACACAAGAAATATGCCTAAATTAACCTTGGCAAAGTTTGCTAGGCGTATCGAACCTTAAATTTCAATTCATGGACTTGAAAAACTTATTTTAAATTAAAACTTTTTTTTCTTCTTTATTATTTCACACTCTAAGTGGACATCGCTCTATGGCTTAAGCTAGGATTGCACTTTTTTCCTCTCTTTCTCACAATCTTTGCATTTCTTATGTAAACATCACATTACTTGAATCACGGGCACTCGGGAATCTCATGCGAATATTTTTTTTTCCTATTAATTGTCACTTTTCAAGTTTTCTTTACATCAACTTACAAATTAAAATTGATATTGAATTTAAAATCATTTAATTTTTTTTCTTCTATCGCGCACGTTACCACAATGTAAATTGAATGCGAACAATTTGAAGTCTAGAGCAGGTCTGAATTCACAAGAAAAAAACACACAACATACATTTTTTTTTTATTTCAAACAAACGCTCGAGTCGAGGCACCGAGAAGATGATGAAGAGAGAATATTGTGCATGAGAAACGGTGAGCGATGAAAGAGTCGATGCGCTGAAAAAAAAAGTGAAAAGTAGTAAGAATTTTTCAAGGCAAAGAATGAAGAATAGCTGGATATGCAGTTCTTGAATTTTTAAACTGTCCACCTACAACTCGCCCAAAGTTCTCTCATTTTCTCTCAATTTTCTACATCGACAAATTTAATTGCGATTTACTGTGCTTTCATTCATGTTGTTTATACTTTACTTTTGTAGTGGTGCAGCTAGCAAATCTAAACTTGATTAAAAAGAGCTTGATGTCTCTTAGACCACCACTAATGGTGTAAGTTGATGTCATTGACTTGCTATTTTTTATACAGACAAGCAAATATCTTACATTACTTTACTTAAGATGTTACACATAAAAATGAGTATTGAAAAATACTCAAAGTTCATGATTACTATACCGTTCGATACAAAGCAAGACTATTTATATATTGCAAGGTCGAATAGACAAGTTAATGAATGGAGTTTAAAAGTTGTATATTTTAACACTGAAATGTAAGCTATCAAATATCAACGAGGCTCTCATTTTTGTTAATTGCTCGTCAAATTGAAGAAAATAACAATTAAACATCATCATGTGGCAATTGTAAAACTCATGATTTATTTTGGGGAAAATGTAAGATTTTTAAGTAAAATTACTGTTAATTAATTAGTGCGCTTTTCGTGAAGTAAAGTTCCATGATAGCTTTTTGTCTCATTCATATTTTATTGATCTTGTGGTCTGAGGCTGTTTAAAGGGCTATTTTTCAACATTGTTTAATCTTTTGGTTTTCAGTTCAAGGGTGAAATGACCCGGTTCTTTCTCGCAACAAAAATTAAGTATCCTAAGACAAATTTGGATTGCTAAGCTTTCATCTTTTTGTCTCAGATTTCCGTGACCAAGAACCTTATTGAACCCATGAATAATTAGAAATATCTGGACATAAATGTAAAAATAAATTTACTATCATGTTTTCAAGGGAAAATCATCAATATAGAGTAACCGAAAGATACCATTTTGAGAATTAATGGCTAGCCACACTATGGGGCAAAATGAAAAAAAAAGGGACTTTCACTTTGAAAAATGGACTTTTCCGATTTACACTTTTTGGGTGATTTTTTCTTGTAGAGGACATAAAAGTAGATAGAAATGCCAAATTTCAGGTCATTTGGTGCTGATTTCGCGATTCTAGAGCTGTTTGAAGTTGAAAACTAGTGAAAATTCTGGTTTTTTCATACCATGTTTGAACCGGGAAATATCTTAACTGGTTTAAGATATTGCAAAACGGTTTTCAGTTCCTATTAGTAGTATATAAGAGCTTTATTTTGACATATAACAAAGTTTAGGTTCTGAATGTTTTCGTGCCATTATGGTAGAACATATGTGAAAATTTCAGGAAAATTATCTTCAAACAAGCCGCAACTATCATAAATGAAGAGTTTCCAGGCAAGTAAAAACGCAGTTTTGTAGCCCCATATATCTAGTTTTCAAAACTGTATAAACTTTGAAAAAGTAAGCTAACGTAATTGAGTTATGTTGATTTTAGTAGGTCGTTGAGTATTTGGCCAAAAACTAATAATTCTTTTGAAAATACGAAAACATAGTTTTAAAAATAGTTTTTTGGTGTTTTCTTATGAAAAATAACAATTTAAATGATTTTGTGAAGAAAATTTTTCAAAAACTTCAAAATCTTTCGAGATATAGGGGGTATGTGCTCTCCATCGATTTGGCCATTTGTCACCCTACTTAAACCACTATAACTTTTTTTTGAAAAAATATTTTTTAATTCTGTTTTCGGATTATTGTAGCCTAATGTAATACCTATCCAACGATATATAATACTTGCTAGTTAACTTAGTCCTGGTTATTTATAGGGCTGTTGATTGTGACATACGCAGTTTTTGAAAAATTCCCAAAAATTGCATTTTCAAAAATACCACTTTTAAGCAATCTCGAGTATTTTTTTAGAACTTTTTTATGTTTATTTATGACATTTATGAGATTATAAAGCCAAAAAATTAAATTTAGAAACTTTTTACTTCCCTAGTTAACAACTTTGTAAAGTACCCTTGGTAGTCACTATCAGGTGTGAAAATCTCAGTTTTGAAACTATTTTATATATATACTCGTGAAATTCTCTCTACACATCATATCAGTTTTGAACTTCATTGAACAAGTCACTTTCAAAAATGAACCAAAATTCAACACTTACGAAGAAAACACTCTGTGAAATTCTTCGCGACAAAACGTTAAATCTTGCAACACAGCACACGTACTGTTTGGCAGTAATAGAAGAAATTCATGGGAGAGAATTAGCGGAATCACAGAAACCAAGTTTAATTAATAAATTAAACAAGCTGAAGTCAAAGTCAAAAATGTTTTGTAATCAGTCAAATTGGAATAATGCATTAAGAGATCATGCAGATTTCTATGAAGAGGAATTTGAAGTTGACTCACGATACTTCAGCGAATCTAGTGGAGGGATTCTTTTTGAGGAAGAATCTATATATGAAGCAGAAAATGTTACTGACACAGATGAAGATATGGATGAGATTGAATACATCGTCCATGACATAGAGCCTTCATCCAGCAAGGGCATCAAGAGGAAATCATTTGAACAACTAACAAGCGATAAGCATCGACGTAGAAGAGTGGACGAATTAGATATCAGTTTAAAAGAAGCAAAAGGATCATTGTTATCAGTTCTTCACTTGGCACTTCGCCTTTCTAAAGAAGAAGGAAAAGTAGAAGGAGCTAAAATGTTAAAAGAATTTATTAAGGCGTGCCAAAAAGGAGAGGATCTTCCAGAAAAAACTACATCAAAACCTAAACAACTAGATATACATGTAGCTCTAGGTGTAAAAGCCTTTAACAATTTATCTCGAAATCAGTACAACAATATTCGACAAGTCCTGAAACTGGAATGCGAAAACGTTTTACCGACAGCTAAAAAATTGTTGAGGTTAGAGAAACAATGCTATCCTGATGACATAACGGTCACCGATACAAGAGCCGTTATTCCACTAAAAAATTTGACACAACTCACCACAAAAAGAGTTATTGAAGCACACAATTCAGAAATATACGACAAAATCAAAATATTACCTTCAGAATCAACTCCAAAAGTTATTCATGCAGAAATGATCGTCACATGGGGGATGGACGGAACAACAGGACAGTCACAGTATAACCAAGGAAAAACAAATTCAAGAAATCAAGAACGAGATAGAACACAACCGAATCAAACGACTAATAATGAAATTATAGAAGACAAATCACTATTGACAGTTAGTATGAGTGTTCAGCAACTACGACATGAAGACGAAAACGGAAATTATATCTGCTTATGGGACAACGAAAACAGTCAATCTGTATACTCAGTACGACCAATACAACTTGAACATGCCAAAGAAACCAGAGTAAATGTTAGAAGGATATATGAAGATATAAAAAATCAAATATCAAAACTTGAACCACAGAGATTCATATGTGAAGACATGCTTTTGGAAATTACGTACAAATTCTACCCCACAATGTTAGATGGAAAAGTTTACACAGACCTTACAGAAACATCAGGATATTGCAGATGTCAGCTTTGTAGATCTGGACCAAACGAGATGAGTGACATAAATAATCTTGATAATGGAAGATTCGAAAAAACACACAGAAAATTTGTTAAAGAACACTTGTATTTCAACACTCAGCCACTTCATACATCAATGAACGTACTCACGACTCTATATGATTTGTCATATAAACAATATGTTCAAAAACACTGGCTGGAGATAACTGAAGAGGAACAGATTGTTTTAGATGTTGAAAAGGCTAGAATAAAGCAAGCAATGTGGGATGCATTTAATGTTCGTGTACTCGAACCAAGACAAGGGGGAGCTGGATCATCAGATACAGGAAACGTTGCAAGAAAAGTTCTTGAAAATCCAGAGCTTCTAGCTAAAACTCTATATCTTAATGAAGAAATAATTAAACGTATATGCTATGTGCTAAACCAAATTCGAAGTTTAGAACCAGTTGATGATCTAGATGAATTTGATAGGTACTGTAAAGAAACATACAGAATGTTTTTGACAACATATAGTTGGTTCAAAATACCAGTAACACTTCACAGAGCACTTGCTCATGCAAAACACTACATGGAAGCCTTACCATTACCTCTAGGAAGAATGAGTGAAGAAGCCGGGGAGTCACAAAACAAATATCTCAGACAAGATAGAGAACTACGTGCCAGAAAAACTTCAAGAATACACAGTTTTACGGATGTTATACATAGAAGACTCTACAGTTCTGATCCAGTAATAATAAAAAAATATATGGATGTAATAAATAAAAGGTTAATGAGAAAAAATGTCCAAGAAGAAGGTGAAACACCTGAGCAACAAACAGAAAATGAGGAAAAAGATGAGGAAGAAATTGAATTGATTGAGCCAGAAGGAGAAGGTTATGACTTTTCCCAAGCAGAAAACTATGATTATTCCGAAGGACAAGACCATGAATATTCTGAAGAAGCAAACAACGAATGAATAAATAAATTTCATTAAATATGATAAAAAAATGTAAATTAAATTTCTTGACAAATAAACAAAATTTCATTAAACTAAAAATTAAACTTTATTAATTTTACCTATTATAGTTGCGTATCAGAGTATTTTTTTTATTACTCTAATGATAATAGCTTTTTTCAGACTTAACATTTCTTAAAAAAGTCCAAAAAATACTCGAGATTGCTTAAAAGTGGTATTTTTGAAAATGCAATTTTTGGGAATTTTTCAAAAACTGCGTATGTCACAATCAACAGCCCTATAAATAACCAGGACTAAGTTAACTAGCAAGTATTATATATCGTTGGATAGGTATTACATTAGGCTACAATAATCCGAAAACAGAATTAAAAAATATTTTTTCAAAAAAAAGTTATAGTGGTTTAAGTAGGGTGACAAATGGCCAAATCGATGGAGAGCACATACCCCCTATATCTCGAAAGATTTTGAAGTTTTTGAAAAATTTTCTTCACAAAATCATTTAAATTGTTATTTTTCATAAGAAAACACCAAAAAACTATTTTTAAAACTATGTTTTCGTATTTTCAAAAGAATTATTAGTTTTTGGCCAAATACTCAACGACCTACTAAAATCAACATAACTCAATTACGTTAGCTTACTTTTTCAAAGTTTATACAGTTTTGAAAACTAGATATATGGGGCTACAAAACTGCGTTTTTACTTGCCTGGAAACTCTTCATTTATGATAGTTGCGGCTTGTTTGAAGATAATTTTCCTGAAATTTTCACATATGTTCTACCATAATGGCACGAAAACATTCAGAACCTAAACTTTGTTATATGTCAAAATAAAGCTCTTATATACTACTAATAGGAACTGAAAACCGTTTTGCAATATCTTAAACCAGTTAAGATATTTCCCGGTTCAAACATGGTATGAAAAAACCAGAATTTTCACTAGTTTTCAACTTCAAACAGCTCTAGAATCGCGAAATCAGCACCAAATGACCTGAAATTTGGCATTTCTATCTACTTTTATGTCCTCTACAAGAAAAAATCACCCAAAAAGTGTAAATCGGAAAAGTCCATTTTTCAAAGTGAAAGTCCCTTTTTTTTTCATTTTGCCCCATAGTGTGGCTCTTAGTAAATAAGATGTGTTAAGATCACTTCAAAAGTTAACAGTTCTTAAAAATCAATCAAAACTTAAAACTAAAATGTTTTATTGATGAATCCACTTCCGGCTAAGAAACCTGCCAAGACTAGGTTGATGTTAAAAACAATGTGATTGCTTTAAAATTTGCTCACAACTTTCCGTCTCAATATCAAACTATAAAGCACACAAATTAAAAAGAAATAAATTAATTTTCCAAAAACTTTTCCTCTCATCGACTTTCTTTTTTCACTTTACTTACTTTATGTGTTTCTAATTGAATAGGAAATTTCGTATAATGTGATTCATATTATTTTTTTGATGCTTCTTATTTTAAGTAAAATAGACAAATTTCTTCACGAAACAAAAAGTGCAATCAGCGGAACTTTTCATCTCGCTAAAAAGTTTCATATTTTTTTCACATTCATTAAATCACAAAATGACATAAAAGAGATGATTTAGTGTGTAAATAATTTGCATAAAATAATAATTGCAGAACAATACAAATAGATTGTTAAGTGGAATACATTAATGTCACGTAAAGGTTGAGTAAATGCAAAGTGACGGGATCAAATAAATGAACCGGCATTCTCAAACGTGTATATCATGGCTGCGTACTGCTTCAGCAATCAATGTGAGGTGATAATGATCAGGTCAATAAGACAATGTCGTGTGTTAATTAAAACAAAAATAAAAACTAAACAAATAAATCGAACAAATGAACCTTAAAGTTTGCTCAAGCTATTCAATGTTTCGGAATGCTTCAACTGTGATGGATACTTGTCTGATTATAAGTCGATAAATATGCAAATTTTACTATTAATTTGATAGAATTTTTAATTTCGCAATTAGCTTTTTCTCACGTTTATAAAATTATTATTGTGAGAAATTATTCAAATTAAGATGCATCATCTACATTTTTTGCACTAGACTTAAGTTCTAAGATTAATGACTTACTCAAAACATCTTAATATTAGAACACAAATCTAAATAATTTTCATTGTTATTGCATTTTTCACAATTAATCAAGAATGATTTACAGATAATCAATATTTTGGCAGTGTTTACTTCCTTTTTCAGTTGGTAGCGTAGCTTGTTACCTAGATTAGAATCAACTTAAAATCTAAATAAGATTGATTCTTTAGTTGAAAACTTATTTAAAGAGATTTTTAAGAACTAATCCTAAATCATTTGACACGATTCTATTATTAAATATAAAATTGAAAAATAATGGTTAGAGGTTCGATCTTCAATTGAAATTTATTAATTTTTTAAATTGTTTATTTGAATATTTGATTGCCATTCTTCATGTGACAAACTTAAACAATAATCCTCCTGAAGCTTCAAGAAATATTTGATTTGAATTTTTCGAATTCCCCAAAATCAATCAACAATTGAGAATAGAAACATTCGTTTAAATAAATATTAAAGTAAGAAATTAATTTATGTCTTTAACGTGCCATCACCACAATCAGAAAATAAGCACAATAATTTCCAATCTCAGTGTCGATGACAATATAAGTATTTAAACAGTAGTCGCAAATTATCATAATTTGGCATAGCCAAGGGGTTCGATTTCAGAAACTTTAATTTAAAGCTGAATCATTTGAAAAGTAATTACAAAACTAAAAGTTAAGAAAATCACCAATCCATCACTTTTAGTGTGTAATAAAAGGCTTTATGAATTGTTTGTTCTGAACTTGAAATTAATTTATTCAAATGAATACACGAATTTTTAAAACTCTTAATAATTGATGATTTTTTTTTAAAAAATTCTTTTAAACATAAATTGTCATTCAAAGTTTTTTAAAATAAATATCAAGAAAAGCTGAAATAACCACAATAAGCTTGACGATTTTGTGGATTGCATTGAACATTTTTCAATGGCTAAACCAACCAAAAATTTACACTTAATTATCCAATTCTTTCCAATCAATCATGCAGTTACAAAAGTGAATGAGTAAATAAATTTAATAAATTTAAAAAACCAGTAGGATATGTCATAAATTCAAGTCTTTATTGTGAAAACATATTAATTAATAAATCAAAAGGTTGACTCTAAAATTCTTTTGTTGATTTAAAAGAAGGTATTTTGTGAAATATTTGATTCAAAATTGTTCAACACAGAATTCTTCCCAAACCCCTTAATTTTTGAACATTAAATCATGATAATTGAATTCTCATGTTTTACTTTGAAGAACAAATATTAAAGATTTAATTTAATTTGAATGCAAATAATCGAAGAGCACTTAATTACCACACTTAAGTTTAATATAGAATCTGCAAATATTATGCAACGAACATGAGATCAGAAATGTCAATTAAAATCAAATGATTTTTTTCTTGCGAGAGTTTAAATCCTTTATATTTCAATGAATAATATATACTAAGAGAATTAAATGATTGAAGAGAAAAGGAGGAAGTGATATTTTTAATTTGTTGATTTTTAAACTTCAGCATTACAAATTTAATACAAAAATTTAAATACAAACTTAGCGCAAAAGCCTATCAAAACATGTCAGTTCCTAATTATAGCCATAATAAGAATAATTGATTGCAATATTAGACATAAACAAAGCATTTTTATATTATTGAGGAACTCATGAGTAAAGCAATCAACACCAGAGTCTTAAGACGTAACAGATATTGTGGTTTACAACATTCTAAATTAAATCATGCTGTTCGTAATTTTACAGCATGTATAAAACTGATTAACAACGCATGGATTAGTTGCGTATGTCAATTTATCATTTTTGTTTTGATTTTTATTTGTATATTACTCTTTAAAATCTTGACCTTCATTAAGATTGGAAATGGAGTTTTTTAAAATGATCCTTTCAAGGTCAGTAGCACATGTTATTTCTTTCCATTCATTCATCCAGAAATGAAACCATAAACACTTCACATCTATGTAATTAGCCATTCATAAATCATCTTAACAAAAAACTTGAGCTCTTCAAGTGAGAAAATTGAGTGCCATGAGGTGTCAAGACTTTTATTATTATAAACTTTACAGATTGACAAAAGAAACCACTTGTTTTGTGATCATTGTTTAAAGTGGGAATTCCTTTTCTGAAATGCATTTTTATTTATGATCATCATCATGATGTTCATCTTCATCTGCAAAGAGAACGGGTTGCGTGTAAACAGCAGTTCCTACAACAGGAGATCTCATCATTGGTGGAGCAAGTGGTGTTACCATTGGCGATCTTTGTAATGGCGGTCCAATAAAAGTTGATTCAACATACGGAGCACTAACATACGAAGGTTCCATATATGAAGAACCCATCATCCCTGAATAAATTGGTTCGGCTACAATTGGTGGTGTATAAGTGACTGGCGAACTCATCATTGGTGATCCCATCATTGACGATCCAAACATCGGTTGAGGAGAGTACATTGAGGAACCCAAAAATGAAGAGCCAATCATTGGTTCAGCATAAACTTGTGGCTCATAAGGCATCATATGTGCTGCATAGTTCATAGGTAAAGAAGTAAAGGGATGCCCAAATCCGTAAGCTAAGGAATTAAATAAGAACTCGAATGGCTAATAAATTTATGAACTTACATGAGGGCATAATAATTGTCCGACGATGCTCATAACTTGACAATGGAGAGCTTCCGAAACTTTGAACATTTCCAAAACCTGGGGCGCCTCCAAAACCTTGATAGTTTCCACTCATACCTTGAACATTACCAAAAGATGGAACGCCAAGAGGTGCGAAGGATGAAGTTCCAAGAGTTGAAGGACCAAAGCTTGAAGCCCCAATAGATGAAGGACCAAAGTTTGAGGTCCCAATAGATGAAGGGCCGAAGCTGGATGTTCCAATAGGTGAAGGAATGAAGCTTGAAGTCCCAATAGATGAAGGACCAAAGTTTGAGGTCCCAATAGGTGAAGGAATAAAGCTAGGAGTCCCAAGGGGTGACGATCCAAGACTTGAAGTCCCAACAGGTCCAAAGCTTGAAGTTCCAACAGGTCCGAAGTTTGAACTTCCAACAGGTCCAAAGCTTGAAGTTCCAAGAGGTGAAGCTCCAAAAGCATCAAAAGCGCTCATACCTCCATGACTATTTGAAATTTGTTGTATCTTTTCCTATATAAGAGACACTAAGATTAATTACTTTATTGCTTTTGATGCGGTTTTGCGAACGTACTTGCTGGTTGAAATTATTTCCTTTAACGAATGCTGCAAAAAATAAAACAGCTAGTAAACGATGCATTATTGACCTTACTGATTAGTACTAGCTTCCAAGATCTGAAATTTAAAGTCAACTAAACAAATTGATTTAAATTTAGTGAAATTTATACTTTTTCATTTGAATTTGAATTTTTTATGCCTGTCATAAGGATCAATTCTTTTTGATGTTTTATAATTTTAAACCTGAACTAAATTGTTTTAATTAATCGGAAATTAATCAGTAATACTTTAAATTTACATCAAAAGACTTGAATTTTGTGGAATCAGATTGCATATTTGATGAATAATAATTCTGTGTATTTATTTTAAAAATGCAAATTAAGTACGAAGAAAACAAGCGAGACAGAATTGAAACATTTTGATTCTATTTAATTGATTTTAATGACTTGTAAACTACACATAAATAATTTGTTGATAAACCGTTGAAAATATCATGCACGTGCTGCTTAAAATGATTAAAAATTGTATAAAGCTTTGTTCGACTCTACAATACAATGGAGAGTAAATGGCTGGAGCTGAAAATGGAACTGAATCAAATTAAAAGTGAAACAAAGCTTTATGTCTAAAAGCTCTTAAACATTTTTAGGTGCTTATTATAGATTTTCAAACATGATCAGGAAAATTTTTGAGAAGAACTTAGTCTTTTTGGGAGGGATTTGGTTAAAATACCTAACCTTACAATCTCTGGTTTAAGTTTTATTTGATCTCTTTTAAAAATAGTTTCTTCTTTCTTGAAAAGATATGAAGTGGCTTTAAAGCAAAAACTTATATTATCAGAGAAATAAGTTATTAAGGCTGATTTAGCAAGGACGATCTCTTTAGAGAATATAATACAGTTTTTTAGGTTACGCAACAATCAAATAGTTTTTATTAAGTCTTTAAGTCATGAAAGTATTTGAAATATTTTCTTACAATTTAATACAGTAAATTTATAAAAACTTCGTGATTGAAAGCTATTCTTTATATGATTTACTTATGTTCTATAGATCAAACGTTTAAAAGTAACCATCATAAAAGAACGCATACCCACTGAAAAGTATAAATCACGCAAAACGTTTTCATAAAGTTGTCAACGGAAAAAGAATTGTCATTTTGTTATTGATAATAGAAAATGTGGGTAGTCGAAATAATAATGGTGCAGGTCTGTGAACTCAAAATGCGTGTTTTGGAGTTTTTTGTTGCTAAAAAAAAGAATAGAAGCAAGAGAAAGGAAAATTAATTTTCCAAGCTATTCATTATGTTTTGACAGTTAGGCACAACGAAATTGGTAGGTACAAAAAGAGAATGTTAATTAGAGAAAGGTTTCTCAAAGGTCATAAATGGAATGAAGTAGAAGCAGCAGGAGTAAAAGCAAATATTTTTCAAGTGCATAACAATAAACAAATTATTTGCATCCAATGAGATGCACTGAGAAGAAGTTCATTAACCATAGCCAACAAATTATGCTAAATTTATGCAACGGATTTACTGCATCAATAAGAGAATCTCATCGAGCTAGCTTCATTCACATCAATTTCTATCGCACATCATTTCTTATGCTCACCATCATCATCATTATAATCATGATCAGCAGTTATTATGACTACATTTCTAAGCCGTCATCGAAATTTTTCGCTCTTTCTCTCACCGATCTTCTTTCTGTCAGAAAATTTTCATGTTTTGAGTCGAGTGCAGCCAACCGCTGTTTTCATTTTCAGTTCAGTTTACTTCCATCACTCGATCCATCAACATCGAAACTTTTAAAGCAGCAACAAACTTAATAAATTTTGTGGTTTTTGTGCATGAAAAGTTTTAATGAAGAATTTTCTGTGAGAATTAAAATTTGAGGAAATTGATATAAAGAAGGAAGTCATGAAAGTGCTTGATATAAGCCAGAAAGATTGTGTAATTATCCACCAGATTATCATTTCTATTATCACTACAATAAGTAACAATAAGCAATAAGCTTAATTATCAGCCAAAAACAATGGGACACAAATGTTCCACAATTAACAGCTCAATTTCTTCAATTGCTATTGACTGTGACTTGTTATTGCTGTGGCGATTTTCACTTGAAAGTTTCTCAAACTTTTTTTTTGTAAAATTTCACATGCGACAAATTGAAAATTCACGCAACGAAAAATGACATGTGATTTTATTGCCGAGACTAAGTTTTTAAAAAAGTTAATTACACAGTCACTTACCGAGACTTCCTGGACAGCAAAAAAGTCATTAAAAATATTTCCAATTGCAATTTTCTAATTTTTAAAGCTTTTTCTTTCATCACCTTTTGGAAGTGTCAGATGTTTATCTACAACATCTGATTGTTATCTAAAATAATAATGAGAAAAATAGTGTTTGGTTCATTCATATAAAGCATTCAGCATCAGTAAAAAACTGTTCGGATATTCTTCGTTTATTTTACAACTTTAACCAATTTACCGCTTCAGTATCTTCACAAATTATTTATCTACATTTCTTATAATACTTTTGGGGTCGTTCTCAGATGATGGGTAGCATATGGTGTTTTTGGCTGTTTAATATTTGAAAATCGACTTGAGAGTTGGGGTCTTAAAGTCAAAAGTTAATACTGACTTTATTTTCTTCTGACCAGGACTTGAAGCGTCCAATCTATGAGGAAATACGCGTCGATCCATTGTTTCGCAAAATTAGCAAGCATTCTATCGGCTTTCACATCTTTAAAGTCGAAAATGATCACATAGAATCAGTTGGAAAAGACCAGCACGGTGTGTTTTACGATGAAAATGTTTACATTATTTACGCTGCGGCAATTAAGGGCACTTTTACAGATCAGAATACAATAGTAAGTACAAAAAAAGTGCGGCACTAAAATTTTCCAAATGTCAATTTCACACTTATTTTCTTGCAGTCACGCGAAATTAAAACGCCTGTCACGATTGAGAGATTTGTACACATTTGGATCGGTTCATCTGCCTCAACTGTCAAGTCCAAAAATGCCGCATTGAAAATAATTGAATTAGATGTTCATTTTAATCATTCTGTCGTACAATATCGGGAATCACAAGGTCATGAGACAAAACGTTTTTTGTCATACTTCAAAGAAAATGGAATGCAGTGAGTAGATTTATTTTTTGAACTTTATTGCTGGAATAATTTTATTTCCAAACGGGAACGTTTGTTGTGACAAGTTTGAAAGTAATTAAAGTCGTGTGTTTAAAGCGCACTGAAATAATTTATATCACATCCAGTGACACACATTATATCCAATAATGCACAATAGAACGTTAATCCGTTTCAGGCGATTAAGTTTTAAATAATGCAAAATCTAATTTATTCCACAGTATATTGACTGGCACAAGCCATAAGTCAACACCAGATCTTCCACGACTTTATCAAATTTATGGCAAAACCTGTCCAATTTGTATTCAAATGAAATCAATCAATTGGATAGATAATTTCAATAGCGGAAATGTGATGATTCTGCAGACACAGTGTTTCGTTTTTGTATGGGTTGGGCGATCAAGTAGTTCAATCGAGCGTGTCAATTCATTGAAGATAGCGAGCAAGTTCAGGGATTGTCGACCCTCGACGGAAATTGCTGTGGTTGACGATGGCTATGAACAATCAATGAGCAGTGAATGCAAAACTGAATGGAATAAATATTTAAATTTAAGTGAAAGATTAGTTCATCCACTTGTTATAAAGCCAGTGACCGAGCATAATCCATTAAAATTATATAAATGTGCTAATTTGAATGGATTATTTAGAGCTGAACATATTAAAACTGATGGTATTGAACAAATTGATTTGAATGATAAAAATTCAACATTTATAATTGATGGAGATGTTTATGGCATTTGGATATGGATTGGAAGAAATGTACCGAAAGGCGATAAAGCAGAAGGCATGCGGCATGTTCGTGGATATATGATTAAAAGAAATCATCCATCAACACATCCAGTAATTCGAATAATTGACGGTCATGAACCAATTGAGTTTATTGCAATGTTTCCACAATGGATAGACAATGATCATAGCACATCTATTGCACGCCATGTGCTCGAGAAATTTGATGCCTTAACATTAATCCAACGTCCACAAGTTGCTGCACAAATGCAATTAATTGACGATGGTTGTGGAGAAATTAAAGTTTTTAGAATCGATAGCGATGACATCACGGACATTCCCAAGAAATATGGACAGGTTTTCTACTCAAACAATTGTTACATTATTCATTATCAGACACATGCAGCATCAACAAGCCACTCAGTCAAAAATGTTATTTATCTATGGATTGGAAGTCAGGCAAAGCAAATGGATAAGACAACAGGTGAATTGTTCCTTGCTGAAATGTTTGATCACTTTAACACAAACGTAGTCCAAATTCGAGTTCATGAAGGCATGGAACCGCCACATTTTCTACAATTATTTAGAGGAAGATTAATCATACTCCATGGATATGATCCATGCGGTGCAAAACGTAAATTTCCACCAACATTCATTCTTAAAGTTATTGGCAATTCCACGTACACAACAAAAGCCATTCAAATGACAAATAAAAGTTCACATCAGTCAACAGATTGCTACATCATCAAGACAACAGATGGCACAATTTATGTCTGGTGCTCACAATCATCTACTGGAGATACACGTGAGATGGCAAAAGGAATTGCCGGAATGATTGGTGAACCACACATTGTGATGGAAGGTGCTGAAAATGAGGAATTTTATGAATCTGTTGGAGATAAATTTGTGGCACAAGTTAAAGTAATTTCTAATAATTATATGGAACCATCGCTTTACAGCACATGGGAAAAATCAAAAGTCAGCCTGTATCTTGCCACATTAATTCAAGGCCAAATCCAATTAGAGCAAATTTTTGCATTCGAACAAAAAGATTTAACACCAGATAATATTTATTTACTGGACGCAGGAAGTATAATTTACATATGGCTGGGTAGTTTGTCAGATGTAGAACAAAGAAATGCAGTATGGATAATGGCGTTACATCTAATTTCCATTCATCCAATTCCAAGAAGTTTAAAAGTACCAGTATGTATTACTAAGCAGGGCTACGAGCCAATAAGCTTCATTGGATTTTTTGATAAATGGGATCCAAAGTTATTGGATGTAAGTTTAATTTTTGATGCTGCAAATCAAGAATTACTAACACCAAATTTTCAGAATTTCAAGACATTTGAAAAGCTTCGCATTCAGATGAATTTATCAGGCACACATCCAATTCCATCGCCGCGGTCAATTTCAAACAGCATCACAGATGTAATTTACGTAAATGAGTTTGATAAGCATCAAAAGTATCCAATGGAAATGCTACGTGGTGATCCATTAAATCTGCCAACGTACATCAATCCAAGTCAGAAAGAGGTAAATTAGACGCGTAAAATTAGTAAGTACATGCTGATCTTAATCATGATCATTATTATCTTTAGATCCATTTGACCCACGATGACTTTGTATCTGTTTTTAATATGGAGTATACGCAATTTGCTGAGTTACCGAAGTGGAAGCAAGTCGAGCTTAAAAAGCAATATAAATTATTTTAGATAGCACAGCACATACCACTCATCATATCCGCTCTGTCCAGTAGCTCTTTCACATAGCAGTTTTTGAATATTATTTTTTACTAATTCCATACGATGATATTTTATTATTAAATAAAGCATTTATGACACACAACATTAAAGCCACTTCTTAATTTTTTAATGCTCCAGTAACTCGACATGATTCACGATTGACGAGTAACAAAACACAATTTTTGCAATTTTCTAAATTTTTATTCAAATTATTGATTACAGTCTGTCTGCAAGCCATCTGCTTACTTGTTACCCTAGAAATTCATTACTTTCACTCCAATCTGCAAAGTCAAATAAAACTCATTAGTGAGACTGCAAAATTTGCATAAAATGCCGCTTCTCATCAATCAGTTAGCAGCAGGGTTAGCAGCTATTGTGCGAAATTACACTGCAAATTCAAATTGGATGTAAATGAAAATTGAGGCAATTTTTGCAATGAAAAGAGAAATATGAAAATTAACAGAACCGTGAGCACTTTGAAGCATTAGTTATTTACCTGTGAAAAAAAAATAGAAATATTTAAATGGGTTATGATACTTAAAATCAACGTTGTAAAGTCATGCTTCCATAATTTCACACTGCTGCTGTTTTCATGCATTTAAAAATTGGTCAAATATTTTTCTTTCCCATTCTAAGAGCTTTTAAGCATGAATGTTTTAGAGAGAGAGAGAGATGGAAAATATGTAAGCAGTCATGACTCATAGTTTGAGAACACCTGATTTTAAGATGTCAAAGAACTTTTACGAGAATAAGAACCAAGTTGCAGAGTGCTTCGGTTGCAGAGGGTTCGATTTTCGTCGGGTACAATCTCAAAGTCATTCCAAAGAAGATTGTCGATATAATATGAATCTTTAACAACTACTATCAACCTCCAGACATATCCATTTGAATTCTCATCACAACTGTGAACATGTCAACGTTGACTTTATTCCTGACATTATTGACCATATTGTTTGCGATTTTGCTTAATAAAATACAAATCTTTTATGAATTATTTGCAATTTGTTTTTTAAAAAGCTACAAAAAACCGAATAGTAGCGGTCTTCGACTCTGAATCATTGATTGATTGCTGAAGATAACAAATCTCATAATTTCATATAATCCAGTACATATTATGGCTGAATTAACAGGTGGTAAACGATGAGAAATCAAATCCAATCTCATTAAATTACTTTAAATCTTCTTGAGTTCAAAACTGTCAAAGTATTTCAGCACTTCTTCCTCATAATTTGATACCAGAAAAAAGAAAGTTCTATGCCTGCAGTTAAAGCTTACAGTTGTATAAAATTAAATTATATTTTACGCTATTGCAGAAGTTTTGAACTCAAAAGTAACATTTTAGAGTTGAAAAAGTATGAATTGAAAATCGTTAAGGCATTAATCTCTCATTAAGTCACTCGATCAACGCTTCATTTCAATTAACTTCATGTAATTGTTAATTTATTAAAAATAGTAATACTTAATTGGATATAAAATACCAGACTTGAATTAAATAAAAGTGAAATGATCATTAAATTGTGATTTATCTTACGGATCAATTGTAAAAATGGAAGCATTATATCCAGTGAAATTCTATAGGTCTGTTAAGTGTGTTTTCATTTCAATGAGCTGCAAGAAAAGCTATAAAAAATTAGAAAATTGCAATTGGAAACATTTTTAATGACTTTTTTGTTGTCCAGGAAGTCTCGGTAAGTGACTGTGTAATTAACTTTTTTAAAAACTTAGTCTCGGCAATAAAATCACATGTCATTTATCGTTGCGTGAATTTTCAATTTGTCGCATGTGAAATTTGACAAAAAAAAAAGTTTAAGAAACTTTCAAGTGAAAATCGCCACAGCAATAACAAGTCACAGTCAATAGCAATTGAAGAAATTGAGCTGTTAATTGTGGAATATTTGTGTCCCATTGTTTTTGTCTGATAATTAAGCTTATTGCTTATTGTTACTTATTGTAGTGATAATAGATAGAAATGATAATCTGGTGGATAATTACACAATCTTTCTGGCTTATATCAAGCACTTTCATGACTTCCTTCTTTATATCAATTTCCTCAAATTTTAATTCTCACAGAAAATTCTTCATGAACAAAAACCACAAAATTTATTAAGTTTGTTGCTGCTTTAAAAGTTCCGATGTTGATGGATCGAGTGATGGAAGTAAACTGAACTGAAAATGAAAACAGCGGTTGGCTGCACTCGACTCAAAACATGAAAATTTTCTGACAGAAAGAAGATCGGTGAGAGAAAGAGCGAACAATTTCGATGATGGCTTAGAAATGTATTCATAATAACTGCTGATCATGATTATAATGATGATGATGGTGAGCATAAAAAATGATGTGCGATTGAAATTGATGTGAATAAAGCTAGCTCGATGAGATTCTCTTATTGATGCAGTAAATCCGTTGCATAAATTTAGCATAATTTGTTGGCTATGGTTAATGAACTTCTTCTCAGTGCATCTCATTGGATGCAAATAATTTGTTTATTGTTATGCACTTGAAAAATATTTGCTTTTACTTCTGCTGCTTCTGCTTCATTCCATTTATGACCTTTGAGAAACCTTTCTCTAATTAACATTATCTCTTTCTTTTTGTATTCAACTTCTATTTTTTTGCTAGATTTAATTGCCAGAATTTCGCATTTTAGTATTTCCTTTCACTTGAATCATATTTAGGTAGATATTTAAATGCCAAAACACAAAAGTAGGAAGTATTGTAAAATTCTCATGTGTCATCATTATATGCCGGATTTGTGCCTTGATGAGTTGTTATTAAAGTGTCTTAAAATCTTTTTATTTTCACAAAAATTATTATTTATTCAACCTTACTAAAGTTGTCATTCTATCAAATTAGAAATTGAGACATCAACAGCCTTCTCAAGACAGGTCAAAAACTCATATGCAGCTTCACATCGGTCGTTTAAGTTCTTTGTTCTACACTGCGATGAAATCAATTTTACAACAGGTTGAAGCGTTATGTCTTGATCTGGGAAGAGCTTCATAACCATCATCGTGAATCCTTTCGGGTAGAATTTATGGTTCCGAAACTATGGATTAAGCTTTGAAGATTAAAAAGGATTAAAAAGTAAAATTAAGCCTTACGACTCCAATATTTGCTGCAACACACTCTAACATGCACTTCCATTCATAAGTTTCAGGAAAAGCATCGTCAGATGAAAAATCAAAATCTTCTGTCACATTTTCCTTTTCTTCACAATATGCTTGAATTTCCATGATTTGCTCAACAAACTCATTAGCTTTCAATTCGTCAACATCTACATTAATTTCAGATTTAACAGCTGCAATGATCCATAAAAGCAGGAAATATTCTAAAACTCTCATGATGAAGCAAATGTGGACAACAAACTGAAACAATTGTCAGATAATTCCAAACTATTAAGCATTTGAGATAGGAAATGACGATATGGAAATTTTAGCTTGTCTGTTATTTCGAAAGGCTATAATTTATTACAAAATACATAATTTTAGTATAATGGCACATCATGATCGTTATAAACTGAGCTCCAAACTTTTAACCTAGACAATTCTGGCAAGTCAATTTCTGACACATCATCTTCAGTTATTTGTAGACATTTCAATTCATCAGCATTCGTTTGGAAATTGAATTTCACTGGATCAATTTCTTCACAATTCGGATCTCCAGTTGTAGCGAAGCTTGTGAATATTCCAACCATTTTTTGGATGACAGTGATCTCTTTAGAGTCCTCTGGTGGAACGCCTAGAAATTCTGATTTGAATAGGTAGAAAATGTCATCGCCGTGAACTGCAACATTATATTTTGAGCATTTGAATACTCGTTTAAACAAGTTGTGAGTTCCATTGGCATCAAAACGCAATAAAAATGTTTTCTCATTGGAATATGTAAGCCTTGATTGTATTGTACAATAAATTGGGTGTAAAAGCATAGAATCAGATTGATAAAGTAGGTATGGATATTGATTTTCAGTACATGGCTTCTCGTTTTCCTTATAGTAAATGTGCTTGATTCTTTCACCATACTCTTTAGCAATTGGATCAGTGTGATCTATGCCTAGATCTACCAAAGGTGCGAAATATGCTGAATCTTCTAGATAATAATACGCAACCTCTTCTTTTGCGACTGCTCGGACTGAACCTTCTAATGCTGTTATAGAGAAAATCATATCAATATCCTTAGTCCAAGCATCTTTTGCCATATCAATGGGATTTCTTTCAATAAGACTGTTTGAAGATTTGTAAGGCTCAATAATTGGTATGAAAGCGTTACAGCTTCCTTTAGCAAAATCATCGTCGTTGCTTACAACAGTTTCTGTAGCTTCCATAATTTCATGAGTTGAACAACCTTCAAGGTACTCTAATAAATCTTTTTCATCTCCAAACTGACCAGTCCAGCCAAGTTTTCTGGCTAAATCATCTGTAAATCTTCTTGACAGTTCTCTTGGAACAATAGCCCAACGTTTAGAAAAGGATGTTCCAGACATAAGAATAGCTCGATGAAATAACCCCTTCGTTTGTTCAAATAATGATAAGTAGTGGACACTACCTGCTCCAGCACTTTCCCCAAACAAAGTGATATTTTTAGGATCACCGCCAAAATATTCGATATTATTTTTCACCCATTGCAAAGCTAGTATTTGATCTCTTAAGCCTGCATTTCCAGGAATATTAAGGGACTCATCTTCAAGACTTAGAAATCCAAAAACTCCAAGTCTATAGTTGAATGAAACAACAATTACATCTTTTTCGAGTAAATAATCTGGTCCATATATGTCAGTTTTTGAGCTTCCAAATCTAAAACCACCTCCATGAATCTATAAATACACTAGCTTAATATACTGAATATTTTGAAAAATTGCTAGTAAATTTACCCAAACCATGACCGGATAAAGCTTATTGGGTTTTAAGTTTTTTGTGAAAACATTGATAATTCCTGCATTCTCTTGACCTTCAAACTCAAATGTGACAAGATTTCGAGTGTAATAGCTTGGAATGTCTTCGGCAGCATCAAAAACATTCGTCCACTTGTCAGGGATTTGTGGATCATGAAATCTTAATTTTCCTAACGGTGCCTTCATATAAGGAATGCCTTGAAAACTTATATATTCAGTATTTAATGCTGAAATCTTTCTAATTCCTTGAACTTTTCCATATTCTGTATCTGCGACTTCAAATTTATCCATATTAAAAGTAACCTATTCAACAATTGAATGCTTCTAGTTTAAAGTCTCAAACGCGTTTGAGCTATGCTTTTTCGAAAAACAAGATAAAAGAACGAAAATGATGAGATAATGGATATCTTATCTTCATTGTTTATTTCATTTTATCTTATCACAAAAGAAAATTGTTTAACAAAACCTTAATCGTTCTTAATTGTTTGTTGTTTTAATGCTCAGTTGGCTTTTTACGGAGTTCATTAGCATTGTGTTTTGTAAACTCAGCTGTTTTGATTGTGATTGTTTGAATTTTAAATATGAGAGGTAAGTGAGAGCATCTCATCGAATTTGATGAAATAAAAACAAGGATGCATCATCAAAACAAAACTTTAAAGAAAGATACAAATGAAATTTATTTTTAAAAATCGCAATGAAAAAATCTCAACATCAGAATTTAAATGCCAATATCAGTTTTGATCTTTTGAGCTGCCATAGCAGTTTTAATACATGCAGCACTTTTAAATGCCATTTCACAACTGTCATCATCTGTGATTAAGGCACACTTTTCTGCAATAGCTGATAACTTTCCAATCAATGCTTGATCTCCTTTGGCTGGAATCGAAATATATTCAATAAATTCGTCCTTCTTTAAAGTTCTTGTTGCTGCATCCATAACACCCATTCCTTCCATTATGCAGAACATCAGACATTTTCCCTCGTGTGTTGTCATAGGCTTTTTGAGGATCAGCAAACTCAAATCGTTATCATTTGCTCCTGTTTTTGATTTGCAGTCGGTCGCAACTCCCTATAGAACATTAATTAATTAATATTTTTTTTTTCAAATATTTGCTATTTTATAATTAATTATTGCTGATAAGCTGCTCAGTATTTGAATGTTACTACTTTAATTGAATTATTAAATCTGATATCACCAGCTGAATGCATTCAGCAAACATCATTATTGGATTTAAATCAAATCTCAAGATTTAGGTTTAATCCGACGATTAAGAATTAATCTGAGTATTTAATCCTTCAGCAACAAAATTTAAATCCCATCCTCACAATCATCATTTGCCTTTGCTCTTGAACAGTCATCGCACTGACTGATGCCAAGAAAATAACTGCTGTAAATGTCTTCATGTTGAATATTCAAAAGTAATCACAAAACTGTGAAGAATGCCTTGGACATCAGTTCCTTTATACCAAAATTCTTAAGGCATGAATATGCTGACGGAAATTACAGAATTTGGTTCATTTTACCAGATAATAATAGATTTTCATGAAAGTACATTTTTGGCTCACAATGTCAATCATTGTGACGACAACCAGTATAGAATATCCGCATGTCTGACTGAAATTTGAATAACAAGCTGTGATTATAATTGACTTTAAAAATCATGAATCATAAATTGATTAAAAGGCATTCACATTTATTATTATTATCAATATTCACAACTTTTTCCAGAACATAGAATTGAAATAACTTTTTGGGGATCATTTACAAATGACGTCCATCAAATAAATTTAATTATTAGCTCATGGATCACAAAAACTTAACAAAAATAATTTGTCACAATTTTGTGACCCTCTTCTGACCTAAATATCTGACGTCATTAATGACCAAACAATATAACGCACGCAAATACTGATTATACAAAAAAAATATTGATTAATGCTAAATATTATGCTATAACTTTGATTTTCATATCTAATTGGATCATCATTTTCGAAATGACTCAAGTCTTTTGTGATGAGATGCTCAGTGCTGCATGTGCTTGCTCAGTTGTAATGACACAAATTGTTTTAACTCCTGTATTTCTTAACAGCTACGTAAATTCCACCGACAATTAGAACTAATAGTGGAACTCCTAGACCTACAGCACTAAATATTTTAACAAACATCGATAAGCCTTCTGTTGCTGGACTTTCAAGTCCAATTAAGAACGAAAAAGAAATGTAATTTGTGTGGGAATAAAAGCCATCATCTGGTTGTCCAAAAGTGATATTAATGGCTTGTTTTAAGGCATTGTCCAGTGATACTGAACTGAAGAAATTTGATGGCAAAGAATAAGTGAAATCCTTAGAATCAGCAGTTTGAACTTCGCCATGCCTTGATTCCGTTGAATAAGAAACTGATCTATAATGTGAAGTATAGCAAACTGGTCTGAATTGGACAAAAGCACCTCTTGTGTCGTTGTTAGATCTTGGTGATAAGATATTATAGACATCAAAAATACCAGGCGTAAATTCATCGTCCAAATTTCTTATCCGGTTCAATTTATACGCTCCTTCTGATTTATCTTCACTTGATACCATCAAAAGCTCCATCGCAATACGTGGACTGGAATAATTTGATCTAATATTACTAGCAATTATATCAATTTGCATTGAATCGGGTGTGTGGAGGAGTTTTGGAAGGTCTTCATTATGATCTTGGAAGCCAAATGCAGTGAACTAAAGAAATGAAACAATAATACAGCATATGATTAAAAATGGATCATGTGAACAAAGAAAATGTGAATATTGAGAGCACAAATACTTACCCTTAGGCTGAATGATCCATTGTTAACATGAGTGGCATTAACTTCAAGCATCACTTTCTTCCCATTTGATTCTGTGAGATTCACAAGATCCCATTTAATGTGAAGAGGATCGTATTTTTCAACATTCGTATTATTTGGGTCTGAATAGTTGCTAGTTCCATCTGTGTCATTGAATAGGACTATATTATCAATAACTGTCGAAAATACATATTCCGGATCTTTTGAAAATTTGATACAATTAGAATTGCCACTAAGCTGAGTCCAATTAACATTAAGCGATGCGTCTTTCGGCGTTTTAGCTATCAAAACGGATGGCTTTCCAATCAAATCAAACAGATAATGCAAAGTACTTCCGCCTGTATTTGAATCTGCTGTAACATGCACTAGAATGTACTTTTCACATAGCGTTTCATTATTAAGTTGATTAAGACAATCTGGATTTGATTCAACTGTAATAATAGATATGCTGGTATTAACGAAATTTGATTCCTTTTTGTGGCTTAAATATTAGTCAGCAACTTTACCTTTTAGATTCCTTGTATTTTCATCATTATCACAGTAAACTCCATAAAAGGACAGTAAATTCAATAGTACAATTAACTTTAAATTCATACTTTATGCTAGTTTGTTGCTTATCGTTCGATTAAATGATTTATAATGAATTAAATCAACAGAAAGAAAAATGAAAACAAAAGAAATTCAAGATAAAGACGAGAAATAAAAACCTTTTTAAATGTCTGGGCACTAAGCGCTTTGTAGCATGTTCCATATTCAACATGATGCTTCTATTTATTTAGGTTTTGAGATTAGTGTAATTGACATGAATGTTAAATTTTATCGGCTTTTCAGAGTTCAAAAATTTAAACAGCTATGAAAAATTTGAAATTTTAGTACAAACTTATTCAAATTAGCTGAAAATTCAAAATGAAAATATCAGTTAAAGCAAATTGCACAGACAGACAGACAAAGTATCACAAAAGAGAAAGTTTTCAAAAATACTGCCAACAAAAGTCGAATTCAAATCACAAAAAGACCGTTATTTAAGAGATTAATAATTTATTGTTTGCGAATTTGTAATTTTCTATAATTACAAAAAATATTTTTGATCTTATGATAGTCCTATATACATTGTTAAATATATAATTTATTAGTTTATACAATTTTCGCGAATATAACTTGAAGAAGATTATAAAAATAATTAATATTTTTTTTTCACTTTTTCGTATAATACAAAAATAAGCATTTTTCAATTTTCAGACTCTCAACATTACAGCTCAATTTTGAGAGACACTGACGAAGAAAAAGAAATAATTTTTCCTATAGTATATGCAAAATCTGGTTAATAATATATATATTATGTGTCAGTAATAAAAACAGTTATCACCTTTTGACATCTCGCGCAAAAATTTTCAAAAGTAGTTAAAGAAGTAACAGAAAAAATAAAGTTATAGCTCAAATAATTATTCACAATGTTCATTGCGACCTGTTTTCTCCATTCTCTCAATCATCGTCTTTATAAATAATATTGCAGTAGAAAATTGTGTCCACCAATAGAGATCCTCGCCTTCCAAGTTATTTCCCATGAAGCATTCAACATAATTTATCGTGCTTTGTAAATAAGGTGGATTAGCCTATTAAAAGAGAAATTACTTTGTTATGCAAATTGAATGTGGGCAATAAATATTAACATACTTTTATTATGACATAAATTAAAACTGGAACAAGATCGTCAGCTGCTGGCTCTTGATTTGATGCCATTTTCAACAAATACATTATTGATTGGATGCATCTGAAAAAAGGATTATTATAGGTCATAAAATATTTGAAAAATAACGATCAAGAAATTAAATTTACTTAATTTACCTAACAACACATTGAACTTTTTCTTGTGGAGTTTTATAAGCAGAAATGTAGGAAATTTGCTTTTGTGCAAAAGGCCATGGGGACTCATTCAAATATCGATGTGGTATTTTCAATCCTGGATGTGACGGTGAAATCACTCTTCCAAGCTTCTTGATGCAGTTGTGCAAAAGCCTATAAAATAGAATAATTATCAATCTATTCAAAAAGTACAACAAAATATGCCAGACTCACTGATCGTTAGAAATATCAACATCATCATTCGGAAACATGACTTGCTGATAAAGTCGTTGAAGTAGAATTTTTTCAATACAGTTCCTTGCTTCTATCAGTTGCCATTCATTCATTCCTTGCGATATATTGTCAATTTTTAAGCCTTCCATAAGTCTAGCAATAAATTCTTCCATAAATTCCAATTTTTCATCAGCAGCTGGCTTTAAATTAAATTCTTCTTGAAATTCGATCAAAAATGGTTCTCGCTTTTCCATAAACATCCTAACACAGACCATGACGAGATGTCTATTGGTCATTTCCCGATCAACTTGAAGGCGCTTCTGGAAATTGTCAATTGTTGCAATCGTTGATAAAAGATCTTGTCTTAATCTTATGAGATACTGTAAGTAGCTCTGCCTTTGTACAAGATCCTTTTGTAGTTCCTCAATCAATTTATAATGTGCATTAGCGTCCAAAGAATTCAAACTTCGAAGCACTTCATGCACATATGATAGTTGTTGGAAATTTTGTTGATTCATTGCTTGTGCTAATTGCATTTGAAGATAGCTTAATAATGGCGATTCAGTTGATGCCTAAAAATAATCATTTCTCATTAATTCAAATACATTTTGCTATTTACTTTGTTATCTTCTTCTTACGTTATTATTTCGTACATCGCAAGCATGACAATCGCTAGTTGAGAGCACTAAACGCAATTTTCGTTTCGCATTGTTGAAATAATCAGTTTCTCGAGTGTTGTTTGAAATGCTACTTAAACTGTGTGTGATAAATAGAAGCGATAAGCATGCGAGAAATTAATTAAACTTGCTTTAAAAAAATAATTTGTAAGCGACTTTTTAATATTTGAATTTTTAACGACTTTTAGGATTTAAATTTCAGCAATAAATCAAAATATATAATGCTCGTTACTCACCGATTTTCGTTATCAGAACTTTTGCTTTTTAAGGAACTCGAATTATTACTTCCAGCAGAATCTGATGTTGCTGCGTCAGACGATGATGAAGGCTTGCGTCTATATTTAGCGAGAATATCATCTGATGTTTCAGTTTGAATAGCTTCAATAAATCCATTTCCAGACGCATTTCCATTTTGAACAAGATCATTATTTAAAGCTTCATCAATACTATTCCTTCCCTTTCCACGCTTACTTCTAAAGCCTTGCTTAATTTTATTGAAAATTCCAGTTGATGTATGTTGACTGCTGTGCCTGTTTACGTCAGATCGTCGGTGATGATTCTTTTCGACTTTATCTGCTGTCGAATCAAAACTGATACTTTTAGGAATAGCACCAGTCACTTTATGATTTTTGACACTTCCATTAGATATTTTAGAGACAGTTCCACTAGATGTCGGTCCACTATCAGTTAATTTTAAATTCTCAGCTTTAGCACATAAATCTCCATCAATGTCAATGGAATTAGCCTTTTGAACAGATTGTTGTGATTTTGGGGCATTCAGCTGTATATCAAATGGATTATCTGATCTTGATAAGATAATTGGTGATGAAGGCAAATCAATCATTCCATTACGTCGCGAATCATAACTCATTGACCTTTGTTCATCCGATAATCTACGATGCTCAACTGGTTCATCTACTGTCAGTGATTTAACTTGATCTTGTGAATTGCTGTTACTTGTTGATGACATAAAAGGATTAATTAAATTAATACTCGTCTTTATGACTCTATTTCCAGCTGCTGGATCATTATCGGAAGTGAAATTCTCAAGATTTGGATCAGATACACGAAAAACACTCAATGGCTGTTGCTGATCAATAAATTCTTTCTTATTTTTCTTCTCGCGTGACGGTGATTTATGCTGTTTCGGTTCCTGCTCACTCGTTTGACTCTCATTTGAATGCTGTCTTAATGGTCGATGTACTGAAGTTATGGTTGATGATGTTGTGGATAAATAATTAAAATTGGATCCAAAAATTCCATTTTGATTATTTCTTGCTGATCCAGACATGTCTCGATTAATATTGCGATTTCTAGGAAACGGAATTGGTTCCATTGGTCGTGGTGAATCTTCAGTGCTGCGGAAAGAGAAAGGACTGTCTGGCGTACGTGGCGTAATATTTGATGGATCAATTGGTCGGAAATTAATATTTGGAACTCTATTTGGAGTATAAAATGGAGAATCTGGAGTGTGATTAGCATTTGGAACTTCTTGATCCCTAGGCGTTATTGAATCTGTAATATCAGATCTCGTTGTTATACTTTGTGTATCCTCATTATCAATTTCACCATTCTTTTCCGAATCGCTAGCAATTAAGACATCTGTGGACCATGCAGATTCCGATTGAGTTTCAGAAATGTCGAAATTATTCGTACGCAATTGAAAGGAATCAGGAATAATCGATGGAATTAATGGAGTAGAAAAGTTTCTCTCATTTGCCTCAATTGTTTCCGAATCACTAGCTAGAACGTCTGTGCTCCATGTATCACTTATTATCGATATAGTTTCATCACCCCCAATTAACTTTTTGATTTCAAATTTACAGAATTTATCGTCAATATCGTTGCGTGCTTTATTGATAATTTTAGCCATTTGTGGCGTTGGAATTTGCTGAACTTCAAGGACATCAATAACTTGTGAAGATGGCGTGTCACGGCCTGAAATATTGGGCGTTCCACGCCCAGAAACATTTGCCGAAACCATGTCTGATAAATTATCATTATTCTCTTCTAAATCAAGTGAACTTGCAACAGAATGATTACTCGGTGCCTCACTTACTGCTTCTAGTTCCAAATTATCTGATGTATTTCCAATTGAAACATCATCTGGATTTAATATGAATTTAACTGGCTTCTCCTTACTCGTTTCATCATTATTAATGTCAACCTTATCGTTATTCGTATTATTATGTCGACTTAATTCCTCAATATTCTTCTCGGTCAATGAATTCGTGTCAGATCGCTCACTTGACACTTGATTCATATTTAATACCTCATCTTCTGACAGTGGACGCATTTTGTTTGAATTCTCATAAATTGATAATGGAATGATAAGAACGCGATCGGATGAGTCATCAAATGAGCCTTGATCATTCATATCCTCGGAATTTAATGACGATGCACTAGTGTTCTTGACAATTTTCTTTGAATTAATTTTTCCCATTAATTTAGACTTCTTACTTGGTGATGTCTCAATTATTCCATTCTGTACGCGAGCAATAGCTTGATCAAATAATGCTGGAAGATTATCAAGCATAGACTTTAATTTCTTCTTTTCAGACGGTTCCAAATGTTCAACAGATGCACGTAAAAATTGTAAGAATAAAGTCAATTCCGAATGTGTGATTAAAATGCTACTTCTACCAATATTATAGAGTGTAGGCAATTGATGTGACAATCCCATTTCACTGATGTCATATGTATTCTCTAAGAGTCTATCCATCATATTTGAGATTATATTTTTATCGAATTTATCAAATAAATCCATAAATTTCTTATCGACATTTTGATGCTTGGCCAGTGCCATTGTCTGTAGGATTTGACCAATTTGTATCAGATTAAAGCGAGCATTTTCCGAAATTGGAGCATCTGTGATGCCATAGAGATTCGGATTTGTACATGCTGGACATATAAAATGTCCAAAAACCATATCAGTCAAAATCTCGAGAATAACATTCGAGTCACAACCTTTACTGTGCAAATATTTTGACATTGTTTGAACGAGCCATCGAATTGTTGATGGAAATATAATCCAGTTTGCACTTAACGACTCAACGAATCTACTTGATAAAGTATAAAGTGCGTCAATCATTTCAATTCGATTGATTCTATTAATTTCCTCCATTCCCGATACTTGTTCAACATTTAACATAACTGTATCATTAATTAATACGGACATAACAGGCTCGTGTAGCGTAGCAGTAAGGAATAATTTAGAAGATAAGGAAGATTCATGAAATTTGTGATAAAGTCGTGCAAATGATGACGAATTTTGACGTAATAATCGTCGTGGATCATCAGTTGTAGCTATTTTCACTTCTAATAATTTATCTAACAATTTTAACATCATTTCTACATCCCTTCCGTGAATTGAATTTCCATATAAGCCAGCTGATATGATTTGAGCAATTTGACTCATTTGTTCTGCCTTTGTAGCATTTCCGAAGGATGTGATACCCAATGTTGGTAATTCATCAGCGGCAGTCAAACAAGATGCTATCAATTGTGGAGACTGATGGATGTAACGTAGAAAGTCTACATAAAGTGCCAAATGTTGAGATTTTACTACTGGATCTTTATATGCGTCAATAAATTCGATATTCTCAAGTTGTATAGCACGTTGACTACAAAGAGATGGTCGATTTTCAGGTTTTGAGACAATGAGACTATTTAAATTTTCCCGATGATTTTGCAGGATCCAGGCATTCTTTATAGCCTCGAATGAATTTTCACTTAATTTCATTTGCAGTCGAAAATAGTCATTCATTTCTGTTTCGATGGATAATTTCTCCTGCCTTAAGCTGTGTGCCAGCTCGAGGATATCCAGAATTGAGATTTCATTCGAATTTTCCATTTTTATTTTGCCTTCAAAAAAACAAAAACAAAAAAAAAATAAAAAAATTTATATTTTCACTTATTGTCACTTTGATCCTTACTTTTCTTTGAAATTTACAGAATATCACTATTATACAGCATTGATTACATCTCAATATACACAGATATCTAAGATTTAACAAATTTTAACATCAATATTTAGATTATTTTACTTATTACGGACTTTTATATCTTTTAGTGCATTTTTAAATGAATTGAATGTTTTTGTTCAAAACTTGTCGATCTGTCTGAATTCTACGAGATTTTAAACAAAGGCGCTTTATTCAAGCATGTTTCCCTTAACTTGTCAACTCTACAAGAATTTAAATTTTTAAAAGCTGTTGAAGCATTACGAGAGACAGACAGACAAAGTAAGGACAATAGCATATTTTCTTTCCTAATAGAAGAAAAAAAGAAAAAGTTGATTTAAGTTTTAAATTGTTTTTAAAATCATGGCAGATGACAAGGAAATTCAGGAACAAACAATTGCGGACGAGCAAGTTGTTAAGAAATACAAGGAAGCTGGTGAAATTGTAAACAGTTAAGTGAATTAAAAGTGAAATAAGTTCGAAAATATAAAGCATGAATTTTTTCTTGACGCGTGGAATTTATTTTCTCAAAAAATCACGGCTTTCTTGTCAAGGACTTATGTCTAATCTACTCTAATTAATTAGTCATCAACTCATGTATTAGCTGATAACTTTTGATCATCATGATCAACTCAATTTTCTGAATCTTTCATTTAATAACATAGATCCAGTAAAGTGCAACAACAGCCTTAACCTCAAATCCAGTAGAAAATAAAAATTCAAATTATCGCATTTTATGCTTTACACTAATATTTTCGCTCTGTTCCTACTTATCGGCTATTTTAACTCGTCATACATGCTTGATCACACGCCTTTTCCTTCCATTATCATCAACATTAACAATTTCATTTAATTTACTTTCTACAGGAGTCTTGAAGCAGCTGATTGAATCATGCAAACCAGGCGCATCAGTCAAAGCCATTTGCGAGAAAGGAGATCGCCTTATGACGACAGAAACAGGAAATGTAATGTATCAGTTTTAGTCACATTATGTTTATGAATAGTTTTGCCTCAATAGCTCAATGTGTATGAGTGTTGAGTTTCGTCCGTATAGTTATGAAAAAAAATTTTGTATGCTGTAAAGGTCGTTGGATCGAATCCAGACTATGTCTCATACAAAATATTTTTGTTAATAACATTTTTTCGCATATCCTATGATTAAAACCTTCATGAAGAGCCATAACGTTAGATAGTAACTGAGATTATTAAAATAATAGTCGATGATCTTCACAATGATATATGAGGACATGCCTTTATTTTTATTGTCATCCAGTAAACACATTTTTGGAAACAGACATTAATTATTTTATTTATTTACAATCTACACTCATTGTAGAAATATCCAGCTGATAAGGAGATGAAGAAGGGAATCGCATTTCCAACATGCTTGTCAATAAACAATTGTATTTGCCACTTTTCGCCATCAAAAAATGATCCAGACTTGTTAATGAAAGAAGATGATATTGTTAAAATTGATCTTGGAGCACATATTGATGGTTTCATTGCTGTTACAGCTTATACACTCGTTGTCGGTGCATCTCTTGAAAAGAAAGTAAAAGGAAGGAAAGCTGATGTGATTTTGGCTGCTTATAATGCGGCGCAAGCCACTTTAAGATTAGTAAAGGAAGGCAAAGGAGTGAGTTTAACTTTTTTTAAAACCTTAAACTCTTAATTTATGTTTATTCTTTGTGTTGACAGAACTACGGTGTCACAGAAGCAGTACAAAAGATTGCAGATTCATACAAATGCAAGCCAATCGAAGGAATGCTTAGCCATCAATTAAAGCAATTCAAGATTGATGGAGAAAAGACCATAATACAAAATCCAACAGCAGCTCAAAAGAAGGAACATGAAAAGGTTGATTTTGAGAATTATGAGGTATACGCAATGGATGTACTTATTTCAAGCGGCGAAGGAAATGGCAAGGAACTCGATACAAAAGTTTCAATTTATAAGAAAACTGATGTAAATTATTTGTTGAAATTGAAAGCTTCAAAAGCCTTTTATGCTGAGGTAAATATTGTTCCCGATTCTTATTAAATAAGCAACTGCCCAATGATTAAATTTGCTCGCTTGAGGGACCGTCCCTAAAGTTGGATTTTGGTAGAATTTTGTCACTACTTAATGTCGCATTTGAAGTGTGCAATGATCTTTAGTGCTGAATTTCGTTCGGTAGTAAAGTCTATGGCATTTAAATGATATATTTTGTCTTCACATGTCTGCTAGAAAAAAACCGATGAAGGATAGTTCCAATGAGTAGTATAGATTATGAGATATGAGGGCATACTTAAACTCTAATTGATATTTTTTGGCTGTTATTTGATGCTTTACTAATGATTCTTTTTACTGCATTTACAGGTGAAGAGAAAGTACGGAAATATGCCATTTAATTTGAGAAATTTTGAAGAGGAAGCAAAGGCTAAGATGGGTGTTGTTGAATGTGTAGCACATAAACTGATTGAACCTTTCCAAGTTCTCTATGAGAAGCATAGTAAGTATTTAAAACCGATTTTTTATTAGCAAAAAGTCAGAAGTTTAACGGTTAATTTCAATTTTAATTTTGTATGAAACATGCAGAATTTGAAACCAAACAAATGTTTCATGTTGGGATTTGTATGGTTTTAAAATAAACATTTGTAGAAATTTAAAATATTTTAAATTAGCTGTTGTATGGTTTTGCAAGTTTCTATGAAAACAATGCAAATGTTTCTAAAAGCAAACTTTTTAAATCCCAAAAACCTTTAAATATTCAAAATGCATTATTAAACTCCTGACTTACGCAGAGCTTAATTTCATAGTATTCTTCTCAATGGAAAATTATGACCAGACACTTTGCAATAGAAATTCGTGAAAAGATTTTATGGTTTTTAATTAAATCATAAACTTTAACTCAAGGAAGTGCTGAAATCTTAAAGCATTTCCAAATGGAATATTTTCACACATTCTAACACAGCTTATAGTGTAAATATAATGCTAATAATAATCTTAAACATCTTTACAGCTGAATTTGTTGCACAATTCAAGAGTACTCTCCTTCTACTTCCGAATGGAACTGTCATTGCTACTGGAATCCCAATTGATGTCAATCTATACGAAAGTGAATATAAAATAGAAGATGAAGAATTGAAGAAAATATTGGCAGAAAATCCAAAAGTTATCCTTCCATCGTCGTCAAAGAACAAAAAGAAGAAAAAGAAGGCATCATCAGGTGCTGAAAAGGAAGTTGCCGATAAAGCTGATGAATAATGAAATATCATAAATTTTTGTATAAAAGAAAGATGAAAAGTTTTGTTATTTGAAAGAAAATAATGATTTTTTTCCGGATCACATTTTTAAAATTACAACAACAAAAACAATTGTTGCGAATTAAGAATTAAAAAATAAAACTTTTTGATAATTATGGATGTGATTGAATCACGAATTTCGTATGTGATTCATTAAAAAATTGAACAACTAAAAAATTATTAAAAAAATAAATCGATCGTTCCTTTAAGTCCCAGTAAGAGATAATAAAATCCACAAATCAAGGTTTTATGTCCTAGTTTTTTTCACATTCAACTCAACTTTTCCTTTTTTTTAAATTGATTTTTTTTGAATTAATTTTGTAAAAAATAAAATCCAATTATTTGAAAACAAGACTATTTTAATTTATTTATTTCTTCACTTCTGATGGCTGTGGTTGATTCATTAATTGTGTTATTCCGTCACTTGCTTTCTTGACTCCCTGACCAATGTAGCATGGTGTCTTTCGGATGTAATAAATTGATCCTTTTACACCTTGATTCCAGTAATACTTTGTCAAATAGCATAATTCAGATTGCTCGGGAAGTTGTGGGAGCTAAAACGATTTAGAAAGTGGTACATGCTGTTTTTGGAATGTTATGAGATTTTGGTCAAGTTTGACTTTACTGGATGTCTAAAGTGATTGTTACTGTTTTGATCATTTTATTTCTCAATTAAAAGCTAAAGTCGACAGGAGGAATCTAAAAATGGCAATTCCAGCAGCAACAATAACATCCAGTAAAGAATATTCCAAAAGTCTACATAACATACTCAAATATCATCTACATTAAATTAATAATCAATGTACTTACTTCTGGAACCGGTACATAAGTTAAGAAGTGACTTTTGCCAGTCTGATAATATTCATTTCCATTGATTGCATTACAGCAATTTTCCTTAAACTTAATGGCATCATCTGACGATGACCAAGCGCCTTCATCGACTGTGTACTTTATAGCATAAATGCAGATACCAGATTTCACAGCAAATTTGATAATTCCCATTATTTCAATTAATAAGAAAAAGCCACACAAAAATGAAAATTTTATGTAATATTTTGGGTAGTGAAAGGCTTATTTTTAAGGAATGAACTTTTTGAATGTTCACTTTAATTGGCTGACTGATTATTAGATGTCTCAAAGCTTAGCTGGAGGATATACAATTGAATTTCAATATTACTGGATCTCATTGGATTTGTCTTTTGTGAGTCCAGATATTGTTGGATCTTTACAATGCATTTACAGATATATTATAGATAAGAATGCGCTTTAATCTCTTCTTAACCTCAGCAATATCCTAATTTGTTTTAGTACAGCACCAATAACATTTTAGTACAGCTGCCTGCCTCGAAAAAGAATCAGTAGCAAAAATTCATTATTTACAGAAAATTTTATGATTAAATTTAATTCACTCATAATTCTCGAGCTAATTTGATAATGTCATCACCGGAAAGTGACAAAAGCCGTAAATATGATCGCCAAATAAGGTGAGGAATCAAGGAACTGAGTCAATTCTGTGAATTTCAATTTTGCCGGATCTTTATTACTATTCTTCTAGATTGTGGGGAGATCATGGACAGAGCTTGCTTGAAAACTCACAAATCTGCTTAATTAATGCAAACGCATTAGGTACTGAGATTCTCAAAGGACTCGTGTTGCCAGGAATCGGAAGTTTCACAATAATTGGTAAATAGGACACATCCAATACATAACAAGCACTGATTCATAAATTAACATATGTTTTTAGACCATAATCTCGTCACGGAAGAAGATATTGGGTCCAATTTCTTTCTCGAATCATCGTCATTAGGACAAAATAGAGCAAAATGTTGTACGCAATATCTGCAGGAACTAAATCCAGACGTAAATGGCGAATCAATTGATGAGAACGTCGATAACATAATTGCCAATAATTCTGACTTCTTTAAGAACTTTTCGGTAGTTGTTGCATGCTCATTGACTGAGAAATCCTTGATAAAGTTGTCGAATCTTTTATGGGATTTCAATATTCCATTAATAGCATGTAAGTCACTTGGATTCTTTGGCATCGCTCGTGTACAAATGAAGGAATATTGTGTAGTTGAGACACATCCAGACAATAAGCATCATGATTTAAGATTAGAAGAACCATTTGAAGCAATGCTCGAGTATTGTGAGAAAATTGAATATGGATCAAAAGTTCCTTGGCTTGTTATCCTGTTTAAGCACATCCAAGAATATAAAAAGACTCACGATGGAAACTTACCTGAAACGTATAAGGAAAAGATAGAATTAAAGGACATGATACGTAGCAGCATGACAGCAGACGAAGAGAATTTCGAAGAAGCAATTAGGTCTGTTAATAGCAGTTTTGGAGGCGGTAAGCCAAACTCAACAATTCAACACATTCTCAACGACGAGAGCTGTACAAAATTAAGTAAATGTAGTTCATCATTTTGGATCATGGCTCATGCATTAAAAGACTTTATTAATAAAGAAGGAACTGGATATTTGCCGCTTCCAGGAAATATCCCTGACATGACAGCAGAAACAGCCTTATACATTAATCTACAAAATGTTTATCGTGCAAAGGCATTACAAGATGCTGATGTGATTTTCCGTCGTGTTCAAGAACTACTCGAAGAGCTTAACAAGTCATGTGATTCAATTACGGAGAAAGAAGTTCGTCTCTTTTGTCGTGAAGCTGCTTATTTGTCTGTAACTCGCGGAAGTAAGATTGCAGACGAATATGAAAAAGGATCAAATTCAGCACTAGTATCCAGCGAATTGGAGAATATTGAATCATTAATGGGACATTATGTAGCACTAAGAAGTCAAGATCGATTCGTGACTGAACATGGCTGCATGCCTGGCGAAATTCAAGTTGATATTGACGTGGCAAGGATTAAAAGTCAAGCAAGTCGATTATTAAATGATTGGGGAATCAATGCACAGCTTAATGATGATTTATTCCACGAAATTTGTCGTTATGGAGGTGCTGAAATTCATACAATATCCGCATATCTTGGCGGCTGCATTGCTCACGAAGTCATTAAGCTTGTAACGCGTCAGTATAAGCCTTTTGACAACACTATCATTTACGATGGCATAACATCCCAATGTGTTACTTATAAGTTTTAAATCAATTAAATTAAGTCAAACACTTGTTGTTACTGTACTTTTCCTTCTCTACTTCCAATTGATGTTTTTGTGTCGATGAGAGGGAAAAGTTCGTGTTTTTTTTTTTGGAGAAATAAAAAAGAGTAAATAAGGTTTTTGCATAAAATGTGCTGTATTGTTATTTGGTTTTAAGCTAGGGTCTAAGCTAGGTCTTGATTTATGCAACTTCTGGATTTGTTTAAAAAATTTAACGGTAATTTTTAAAGACTACAAATTCTCAAATTTCAAATCCTTCAAAGCGTTAAATTTCAAATTCAAAAAATCAGTTAAATTTTTACATTCTACCAAAACTATAATTCACTTCCCCAACTCCCATTGCGAACACATTAACTTCAACTAATAAGCTATTTTATTAATTGATTCTCATATCTAATCATTTTTTGAACTTTCTTTGTTTTTCGTACGGTGTTTCATTTTCAAAGTAGATTAATATTTTTAAATAAACAGCGATAAGGAATAAGTATCGATAATGATTTGATCAGTATTATTGTTTTATCAATCACGTTTAGTCCATTCTATCAACATTTCTCGTGAGGAACTGACTAGTTATTTTTAATAGAAATAAATTCTATAGACATGAAGTGGTTGGTGCATGTAGTTACGGTTGCAGTATGGTTCATTGGTGAGTCAATATCAACTGTTATTGGCAATTAAGTGATTAACTCTTTCTGTTTCCTTATATAGTCATGTTCTTATCACTCTTTGCAATGGGTTTTATTACTCCAATTAAACGAGCATTCCTGTGTAATGATCCAGCTCTGTCATTGCCTATCAAACCTAGTATAATCGGGACGAAGGCAGTTTATGGATGGGCTCTATTTTTACCGCCAATTGCAGTAAGTCACATGTTGCTGAGGGATCGTTTACTTTAAAATCAATCAAAAGACATGATTTTAGACTTTTAAAATTGAATTTTACAAAACCGTTAAAATTTGAATTCACAAAACCGGTAAATACTGATTAATTTTAGGTTTATGTCGGGGAACTGATCTTCAGCTATGGACATAAGATGAAACTCAAAACAAGATTTACTGGAGCTTTATGCAGCATGTTATCACTAATGTATTACTATTTTGCTGACTTTGCATGTCTCCATGTTATAATGACAGCTGCGAAAGTACTTGTAGGATCTTATCGTCCAATATTCTTTGAGCTATGCATGCCAGATAAATTAGAAAATTGTACAGCCAACACGTGGATCACAGACTATACATGCACAAATCAAACGATTTATCATCGATATTATGGAATGAGCACGAGCTTCTTTAGTGGACATGCTTTATTGACATCATTTGCTGGTGCTTTTGTAGTTCTTTATCTGCAATTCAGATTCCATTCTAAACACTCAAAATTTACATCTTTTTGGTTGCCTTTTATTCAAACAATAATTTTATGTGTGGCTTTCTTTGGCGGTATATCCCGAATAGTTGATCATCATCATCATGTTATTGATGTTGTAGTCGGTACAATTATTGGAATTCTTGGATCCATACATGTATGGCATTCACAATATCATAGATACAAAAATTCAAGGGTCACTGACGATGATCATAAAAACGACGGAACTGATGTACAATTTTTATAAATTTAAAAAATTATATTTAGGTTTATAAAATTGACCAATTACTAATCTTAAAATTAATAGGATCGTTTGACGATAAAAAATCACAATAAATTTAAAATGTGTCTTAAAACCGTATAAATTCGAAGAAAAATTTAATAATTTGTATGGTTCTCAATGAGAATTTGAATGGTTTTCAACAATAGATTTGAACATTTTCAAAATTTTGAATTTGTTCGGTTTTAAGATGCGCAATTCCATTCGTATGGCTCTATACTTTAACACCAACCTTCACTTTACGTTGACAAAATTTTACACTTAATTATCATTAAAAAACAATTAAAACATTACAGATAAACCTTAAATTAATGACTCATAAAATCATCTCATATCTAGTCGACAGCTAAAGAACAGAATAAAAGCTATAAGCGTAAGAAAAATCACAGCACATACCGACGTTAGTAAATAGATGTTTTCTGTGCTGTAAGATTCATCAAATGTGTACGGTATTGTTGCATTTCCATTACAAAGATTTTTGTAGCAACATCTTCTCTCATATTTTTTCGGAAAGAAGCCTTCAGTCCTGCAGAAATGCGATATCATGCTCTCATCGTCCTCTACTTTGTCTATACATCTAAAATAGTAAGAATTTGTGTTATGGAACCTTACAACACTTAATGAATCGTTATTGCATTTGTAGTGTTTTGGGACACTTTAAAAATCATTCAAACATTTCAAAACCGTACAACAGTTTTAAGATATGAAAGCATTTATATTGTTTTAAAAATTCAAATTTTAACGGATTTGTCTACATTTCCAGATGCAGCATCAAAAATGATAAGACTTCAATTTGCTTGCACGTCAAATTGCAATAGTAATGCACAAACAAATTATTGCGATGTTTACAAAAATAAATGGCAAAAATCGCCTCTAAATTCTCAATGAGTTCGCTTACCCTTGTGTGTAGATTTTCTCGTCATTCTGATTATGTTTAGAGGAAATAAAGCAAGCACCTTCAGTCATACAATAATAGGCATCTGTACATATATTACATCGGCATGTTATTTTTTCTGATTGATATGACAAAAAAAAAACATTAATTTAATTTTGATAACAAGGCATAGAAATTACTTACTGTCTTTATAATCTTCTACATTTTGCGTAGTTCCTGCCTCTGGTTCATTTTTTCGCACTTGACTAATGTTGCTTATCAGTCTTCTGTTCAGCCTTATATTCGATGCATCACTTAGCTTTATGATTGAATACGATAGAAATAGAAAAATCTGGTATTTCATTGTCTTTACAGGAACAGCCAAGGTTCAATCACTTCTATAATTCAGTATTCCTGGATGTCAACTGATTATTATCAATTTTACGTGCTTAATAGTATTAATCGCTTCCACTTCACTATAATGGGAACTATATGAGCAATATTTGAACTTGAGAGTTGTACATTCAAGGAAATGAGTCTGTTCCGAATGACAATTTTGTTTCTTATGACTTCAAAATTTTGAATCGAAAAATAACGGTCTATTTAAATTCAAATTTGTTCTAGAGCTTTTAGTACTGATTTATTATTAGTACGAAGTTGGAACCAGCATTTTTCATTAAAATCTTGTTTAATTAATTAATCCATCAAAATGTCGATGTTTCCAGGTAAATATAGCATAACTACATCGTAATACACTCTAGTATAACATATCTAATCTCATAAATCACGTAAATCTTTCAGGATCAATAGCTTTTGATGAATATGGCAGACCATTCATTATTCTTCGAGATCAGGACAGACAGCAAAGATTGACAGGAACAGAGGCAATCAAAGTAAGTTAATCACTTGAATAATGGCTGTTTAATTTCCAAAAACATGACATTCACATGATTCACAATTTTGTGGACTTCTAGAATGTTTCACAACAAATGTTTTTTGTTTCTCAATAATCCTTGCTAATAGCCAATAAATTAGCCTTGTCATTAATGGAAAGTCATGTTACATCAATAAAAGAGTAGATCCAATTACTAGTTTCATTAAATTGTGAATTTTCGGGTGAAAATTTTGGAAAATCGGCAATATAACCTTACAAACTTACTGTTCTCATGACCTGATGACTAATACTTTATGTCCAAAAACAAATGTTTAATTTTAGAGTCATATAATGGCTGCACGTCAAGTTGCACACACTGTTAAGACATCATTGGGCCCAAAAGGCTTGGATAAAATGATGGTAAGTCAAGATGGTGAAGTTACTGTGACTAATGATGGAGCTACAATTTTAAAATTGATGGATGTTGATCATGAAATTGCAAAATTAATGGTACAATTAAGTCAATCGCAAGATGATGAGATTGGTGATGGAACAACAGGCGTTGTAGTTTTAGCTGGAGCTTTATTGGAACAAGCTGAGTCATTGATTGATCGTGGAATTCATCCAATTCGTATTGCTGATGGTTTTGAACTTGCTGCTCAATGTGCTGTCAAAAATCTCGAATCAATTGCTGAACCATTTCCCATCTCAAGTGATGATAAGGAACCTCTTATTAAAGTCGCAATGACAACATTAGGAAGTAAAATTATTAATAAATGTCATCGCCAAATGGCTGAGATTGCTGTCGATGCAATTCTTACTGTTGCTGATCTCGAGAAGAAGGATGTTAACTTTGAGTTGATTAAGGTTGAAGGAAAAGTTGGTGGACGTATGGAAGATTCGTGTTTAGTTAAAGGTGTGATTATTGACAAGACAATGTCACATCCTCAAATGCCCAAGACACTCAAAAATGCTAAACTTGCTATCCTCACATGCCCATTCGAACCACCAAAGCCAAAGACAAAGCATAAGTTGGATGTTACATCAGCTGAAGACTATAAAGCACTTCGTGAATATGAACAAGAGAAATTCATTGAAATGGTTAAGCAAATTAAGGATGCAGGTGCAACTTTAGCCATTTGTCAATGGGGCTTTGATGACGAAGCTAATCATTTGTTGCTTCAACAAGGACTTCCAGCAGTTCGTTGGGTCGGCGGTCCTGAAATTGAATTAATTGCTATTGCAACTGGTGGACGAATTATTCCAAGATTTGAAGAGATTTCTGCTGAGAAATTAGGACATGCTGGTGTTGTACGTGAACTTACATTCGGTACGACAAAGGATAAAATGTTGGTCATTGAAGAATGCAAGAACTCGAAAGCTGTAACAATTCTTGTTCGTGGTGGCAATCAAATGGTTATTGCTGAAGCTAAGCGATCAATTCATGATGCATTGTGCATTATTCGTTCACTTGTTAAGGATTCTCGTGTTGTTTATGGTGGTGGTGCTGCTGAGATTAGCTGTGCATTGGCTGTCGCTAAGGAAGCTGATAAATTGTCAACATTGGAACAATATGCTTTCCGTTCATTCAGTATTGCATTGGAAGCAATTCCATTGGCATTAGCTGACAATAGTGGATTAGCACCGATGGAAACTTTGGCAGAACTTAAATCACGTCAAGTTCAAGAAAATTCAGCTGTTCTTGGTGTCGATTGTATGTTGTCAGGTCACTCAAATATGAAGACACATCATGTCATTGAAGCACTTCACTCAAAGACACAACAAATCATCCTTGCTACTCAACTCGTCAAGATGATTCTCAAAATTGATGATGTTCGATCACAAGCTAGCGAATAAATTCGAGTTTGAACATTTAATTGTATTAACTTTTTCTTTTAATTATTGCACTGCGATTCATTAAATTACGGCTTTTTATTGATGAAGAGAATTCACCACAGCAAAATACAGAACTTTTTTTGTGAGAATCAGCTTGTATCCTTCCTTCTTAATATCATTATACATCCATAATTAATTATTTTAACACATTTATTGCTTCAACGCGCATAATTTAATGGAAACTTTAAAATGTCTTTCAATAATAAAAAAAATTATTAACAAAATTTAAAATTGAACATCTGTTTTTCATGATTTCTAGACTTAGTATGATGAACAAAGAATAAAGAATAAACTCAACACATTTTTTTAAATTAATTAATATAAAAACTTAATAAAAACAGATTATTGAGAACACATTTTAAATTGTTATTTTTCTATCTTGCACTGCATGCCTAATAAGCTACTGAACGAGAATCTTCCAAGTGGATTTAAGGATTTCAAGTTTACAATCTAATTTTCTTTAGTGAAATAACGGACTTTTTAAATTGAAATTCCTTGTTGTATGGTTTTGATAAATTTTTGGCGGGAATAATATTCAAAAAGAATGTGACAGTTTAAAATTTCAAAACATTTGTGAGGTTTTACGAATGTTAAAAACACCACAATTCCAAAAACTGGCAAAAGTTTGAATTTCAAAACCATACAATTCCAAAATAACCGTCAAAAATTTAAATTATTAAATCATTTGTAAAGTTTTATCAAATTTTAGAAATAAAAACTTTACAACTAGAAAAATTACGACAAATTTCAAGTTTAAAAACATTTGTAAGCTTTAAAAAAGGATTTTAAATTCTTTCTTGATATAAAATCGACAGAAAATATCGATATGAGCTCGAATTACTTGATAACCATATACTGGGGGTCCTCGATTTGAGTAGATTCTATTTGAGTAGATTCGATTTGAACCAGAGTTGCGACGACAGGTACCTGTCACAGGTAAAGGTGACAGTTTCTGTCAAAAGATCACCTGTCACAGGCCGTTACCTGTTCACAGGTCAAATTTTTTTGCCTATCACAGGTCTGACCTGTCAAAGGTTCTACCTGTCACAGGTCGTTACCTGTTCACAGGTCAATTTTTTCCACCTGTCACAGGTCTAACCTGTCAAAGGTTCTGCCTGTCACAGGCCGTTACCTGTTCACAGGTCAATTTTTTTCGCCTGTCACAGGTCTGACCTGTCAAAGGTTCTGCCTGTCACAGGTCGTTACCTGTTCACAGGTCAATTTTTTTCGCCTGTCACAGGTCTGACCTGTCAAAGGTTCTACCTGTCACAGGTCGTTACCTGTTCACAGGTCAATTTTTTCCACCTGTCACAGCTCTGACCTGTCGCAGGCCTCACCTGTGACAGGTCGTCACCTGTTGACAGGTAGAAAAAATCTACCTGTCACAGGTTGATCTGTCACCTGTCACCTGTCACCTTTGACTATCGAAATTTTTTTCTTCTAGTGAAGTATAAAGATTTCATACAAAATTCATCAATTTTTTTGCTTCCTCAAGTCACGAGTTCAAATCTCACCGCAAGCAACTTTGTTTTTTTGCATTTTTATGATTTGTTTTTAAACTTTTTTGATAAAATATTAAGTTTTATGACAAAGTTTTCCATTTTCATATTTTATTTCTTCACTTTCTTAAATCGTAATCATGGATAATAAAATGGCATAAAATATTAAAACTAGTATAGACTTTGTCATTCGAGACCGCAAAAAGTCGAAATATATAATAAATTATAATCCAAAATTACAATTTAAGAACATCCAGATCTAGGAAAAGTGCCTTTGTGTCAGATTTCAGCTTGGTAAACTAAAATATGACAAAAAAAGTTGAATTTGTACGAAAATATATGGAAAAAATTTAAAATACATGTTAAAATATAGAAAGTGAAGAAATAAAATATGAAAATGGAAAACTTTGTCATAAAACTTAATATTTTATCAAAAAAGTTTAAAAACAAATCATAAAAATGCAAAAAAACAAAGTTGCTTGCGGTGAGATTTGAACTCGTGACTTGAGGAAGCAAAAAAATTGATGAATTTTGTATGAAATCTTTATACTTCACTAGAAGAAAAAAATTTCGATAGTCAAAGGTGACAGGTGACAGATCAACCTGTGACAGGTAGATTTTTTTCTACCTGTCAACAGGTGACGACCTGTCACAGGTGAGGCCTGCGACAGGTCAGAGCTGTGACAGGTGGAAAAAATTGACCTGTGAACAGGTAACGACCTGTGACAGGTAGAACCTTTGACAGGTCAGACCTGTGACAGGCGAAAAAAATTGACCTGTGAACAGGTAACGACCTGTGACAGGCAGAACCTTTGACAGGTCAGACCTGCGACAGTCAAAAAAAATTGACCTGTGAACAGGTAACGGCCTGTGACAGGCAGAACCTTTGACAGGTCAGACCTGTGACAGGCGAAAAAAATTGACCTGTGAACAGGTAACGGCCTGTGACAGGTAGAACCTTTGACAGGTCAGACCTGTGATAGGCGAAAAAATTTGACCTGTGAACAGGTAACGGCCTGTGACAGGTGGGCTGTTTTTGTTGACCTGTGACAGATCGCAACTCTGATTTGAACAGAAAATTTTTTACCCACCAAAATATTCGATTTGAGTGGATTTCTTCCTGTTTTCTTCGATTTGAATTGTTTACAAAACAAATATTTTTGATAAAAACATTTCAGAAAATATTTTTAAACATAAATTTTTCTGCCATAAGTGTGAACTTATCATATTGATCGAAAAATCAATACTAAAGTTACAAAATTAAAGTAAAAATTTAAAAAATCGATATAAAATTAACGGTTTTAAAAAGTTCAAATTCAAAAACCCTACAAATTGTTCGGTTAAATAACATTTGCAAGGTTCTCATATTTTTGTTTTGCTTCAAAAACATATTTTTTGTGAATTTCTGTTTAAAAACAATATGAATATGCGTTGAAATAAATTAAGTTATCTAAAAAACATAGGTAAAATTAAGAAAATAGGTAAAATGTGCAAAAAATTATCAAAATTTTCATTGTTTTGATACATTTTTTGGACTCTGGAACAAAACATGTGATTTTGTATGGATTCTTTGCCTCGATTTGAATAGATTCGATTTGAGTAGAAATTTTTTGGAACAAAACAACTACTCAAATCGAGGACCCCCAGTATTTTCTACAAGTCACTAATTTTCTTCATTTTTCGTAACGTATCACATATTAGACTTAATAAGAGGAAGTAAACAAAAAAATTAGAGCATTAATCTTTCTTATCAACGTTAGATTCATCTATGTACAAATATTTTGACGCAAATTCTTCGTGAATTAATTTAGCATCAGTCATTGGAAGCGTGCACCTTTTATTATGACAGCAATAAGCTGTTGGAAGATTCCTTATCATTTTGAATGAAGCAGCTGACTTTCTTGTTACGTCATGTGGACGATCGATTGGAAGCAAGATGCAGAGGAGCCCAGGAACATAATAATCGCTTGCTACATCGACTAGTTCACGAGTTTTTTCACCATCTGGACCTAAAACATATAATTAATCTCGTCAAATTTGTACATGCTGCTGTGTGACTAATTGACAGCTCATTAAGATTACAAAAGAGGTCAAAATAGTTTTTAAATTAATCGCTTACCAACAACAACAAGCATGTGTAGCCCAATTTCAATCAATAGCAATGAACTTAACATTTCTGGCAATGAATATCCCATATTTGAGACATTTGAGAAATAATTACAAATTGCTGTTGTCCTTTCTTTCAAATTTTGATCCTCAAAATAAGCACCTAGTAAGACTAAGTTGCTAATGCTGACACTGTTGCCTGCTGGCTCTGCTCCGTCATGATCTAAATACAAATACGTTAATTAAAGAATTGTATTAAAAATTTAACGAACTTTTCTGATTCAAAATGAAAAAATCTCAAAGAAACAGCTAAGTTTCAAATTTAGAAAATACATTAGAATTTGCGTCAATGATCATTAAATAATGAACCAACATCTCCGTGTAATACAGTTGGAGAATGAATAAAGTAAATAAAGTATCACATGTCAAAAAGATTTACTCGCAATAAATAAATATTAAAGTGTTAAAGAGATAATAAAACATACATGAACTGATCTACCGCAAACGAAAGTACATTGAGAGCAAAAATATACAATGATTGCATTACCTTCCTTCATTCTCACGACCACGTCCGATTGTGATGCTTCCGAATAAAAGTATCCACCATTTTGACTATCCCAAAAGTATTCATCTTGTAAATCCTGCAATTCTTTAGCCCATCTTAAGTAAGAGACATCCAAAGTTGCAACATAAAAGTAGATTAAGCCTTTTATAAGGAACGCATAATCATCAAGATATCCATAAATTGGTTTTGATCCTATCGTTGGTTCAGTTTCACCATTCTCGCCATAGCACACTCGAAGTAACTTCTTCTTATCATTATCGTATAAGTATGTCTTGATAAAATTAATCAATTTCTTTCCTACTTCTAAATATTCATCTCGTCTGGTATTCTCGCTAATACATGCAATTTTACTTAGACCAATCAACAATAATCCATTCCATGATGTTAATATTTTACGATCAAGATGAGGTCGTGGACGTTTGTTGCGCTCAGCATGCAATATATCATTTCCTGCCTCTAATAAAGCAGCGATTGTATCGGGATTTGTTCCAAACTTTTCTGCAGTGTCACGTAGCGAGCCATTCACAAACAGCACATTTTTGTCTATTAAATTGCCGTGTGGATCAGATACAGGCTCAACGTTTCCATGCTCTTTAATGTCATAATGATAACAATAAATATCGAATGGCTTGAGACTTTCAAACTCTTTAAATTTGTCATGATTCTCTTTGAATAGATTTTCAATCTCGTCGTATGACCAGACATAAAAAGCACCTTCAAGTTTTTCTTTTGAGTCGCTCGTTGGATATGAGTCAGCGTCTTCGCCCGAGAAAAATCCACCAGACGAGTGAGATAAGTCTTTGAGCAGATACCTGAAAATATAAGTTGAATTTTATCAGACAAAAATATTTTGAATTTGTAACTGTCAAAATAAATTTGAATTTTAAAGAGCAAAAAATTTGAATTTATGAAAGCTGTTAAACTGCCACTCAAAGAAGCACCAATCAGCTTGTTGAGATTTAGCACAGCAAGATAGTGACTCACCTAAAAGTCTTATGTATAATATCCAAGTATTTCTGTTTCTTTGTAATTTTATATGCATTAGAATATGCCATCAACAGCTGAGCTTGATCATAGAGCATTTTTTCGAAATGTGGAACATGCCATTTCACATCGACGCTATACCTTGAAAATCCACCAAATACATGATCATGAATTCCACCATTAGCGATCTTATCGAGAGTATTTAATGCAAGTTCAAGCAACTCATTGTCTTTTGTTTGCACAAATGCATGGAATAGGAAGTTTATTTTCGATACTTCTGGAAACTTTGGAGATCCACTCGTTCCTCCATACTCATGATCGAATGCTTTCTTGTAAATTTTTATTGCTTGATAGAATTTATCTTCGACTGACATTGTGTGATCATCATGATCACCATCTGCTCGTTTTTGCATTGTACTTTTCCTAATTGCTTCAATGACTGATAAGCCTGTTTCAGTTAAATCTTCACGTGACGTTTCCCATTTATTTGCTACTTTTGTAAGAATTGTCTTAAAGCCTGGCATTCCCCAACGATCTGTATTTGGGAAATAAGTGCCGCCAGTAATTGGCGATAGATCAGGCGTTAGGAAAATTGATAAAGGCCAACCTCCAGTTCCATTAATCAACAATATGAATGTCATATACAACTTATCAATCTCTGGCCTTTCTTCTCGATCAACTTTTATGTTTATAAACTTTTCATTCATTATTTTTGCCGTTTCTATATCTTCAAATGATTCTTTCTCCATAACATGACACCAATGACATGTAGAATATCCAATTGATAGAAAAATTAATTTATTTTCTTTCTTTGCAAGCTCTAATGCCTCATCGCACCAAGGGAACCAATTTACTGGATTATGAGCATGCTGTAATAGATATGGTGACTTTTCATCAATCAGTCGGTTCACGCCTTTATGTTTGCGGTGATCTTCTCTGGCTGAACATGCATGGGCCATTGTGTAAGACAGAAATCTGTAATTAAAAAGTAATAATGATAGTGATAATGTATGGGAGAGGTTTTGATGCTTCGGATAATCCTTGGATGTGGATGATCTTTGCTGGATACCTTTCATGTTACGTGCTGAAGTTTAATCCATAAAGATCCAGTAACCATAAAATACCAAAGATTCAGAATTAATCCCTAAAATTCAAGTAACTCAACCCTTTCTAGTAAAACCTATCCGCAAATAAAATAGCAATAATAAAGGCTACACAACAACGAATGATGTTATTGTGTAAATAATCTGAAACTGTACGAGGCGCACGTAAACAAAATGTGATTTCATTCCATTGAACATGTATGAATATGCGAGATTATCACATATATTATTGTTTTTTGAGAGTAAGTGCAAATCCAAAGAATAAGAAGAAGGCTGCTTTATGTGAGAACTCTTTTCAAGGAAGCCGGTTTTGTTTTCATTTTTCTCACTTTTCATTCTCGTATAGTAATAATAAATACAAACAGAAGTAAGGAATAGGCATCAAGTGGATTTTTTGTGGGGTTGGAAACTTAAATGATTTGATCCCAATTGTTGATTCTGCCTCAATTATGGATTATTTGTATGTCCAAGGACAAAGCTTTTGCCAGTTAAGCTTAAGATCCAGTTATGCTCCCCTTGACACATTCATTTGTTCTTCTTATTATTATATTTGATCTTTACAACAACAAAAATATCAACAGCAGTTTGTAAGCAGTGAATGATAACAAATTCCTACGTTTGACGTGAATTCACATTCGAGTAAACAAAAAAAAAAGTCATTGAAAATTAATAACCAGATTTTGATGACTGACTTGCACTCAATGACTTTTCCTTATTCCTCGATTGTAGCTTTTTATTTAATTGCGTAATAAAAAAAGTGCATTTTGTGGACTTACCTTGAAATATTTTTATCAAAATTTTGTACTGCTGTATGTCTTAATGAATTTTTAGCTATCTGGTTGTGATGCAAGTATATATTAAAGCTTTTCAGATAGTTACGTGTGCCAATTCTTGAGACGACACTCAACATAATAATTAAAAACTATAAAATTTGATTTATTAACTCGATTTTAGCTCTTTTCTTTCACATCATTTCAATTTCTTGAGTTTGTTTTGAATGAATTTAACGAGGGGAATGTGAATATGAGGATTTATGGAACTTGTGTGGAGCAAGCTTGACATTCTTGCATTGATAATTGGCTGTAGATTTGTGCTCCTAAGCTTTTTTTTAAAAATGCTTTTAATATTAAGTGAAAATACTCAGTGAACTTTGATTTACAATACTAAGAATACTTGTAATACAGCTGACTAATCATGATCCACAACTAGAATCAAATTGCTGCTGACTTTCTCGAGTATTTTTCCCGGGAAAATTCAAATTTGATTGATTGTGCTTTTAACGAACTTCTCTTTGAAAGCTGATAAATGCTTTTTGAGAAAGCTTTATTTTGAATCCAGACTTTTACATGATTTGAGCTTTTCATTGTATCAGCATTTGACTGAAATGATGAATTTAGATGAGTTTATTTTGGAGTTCTTATTGTTGCTTATTATAGAATAATAATAAGATTAGATTAGACTATAAAAAAAAGCTTAATTTAATACATTTTCAACATAATTCTTGCTAATTCTCTGAATGAAGGTGGGAGGAAGGAGCTAGGCATTCCATAAAATGATAAAATAAATTTATTTGAATTAAATTAACATATTTTAATAATGAACATATCAAACCTTACCATGTAATTAAATGTCTCGCATATAATCCTTTTATCCATTTGATCATATGAAGTAAAGAATCACAGAACATTATATGATAACAGAAACCCTTCCTACTTCTAAAAATAGAAGACAATAGCTAGCAAGCATATAATTAAAGTGAAACATTAGCAGAGATTTTGTGATACAATAATTAACATAAAACTCGTAATTTTCTCGTCTTTATTGCGTTCTAATTTTCATGTTGATAGACTCACAGTTCCAAAAATAACCGAAAAGAGGAAACAGGCACAGTAAAAAAAGGAAAAGGAAGCAAAAAAAATTAAAATATGCATAAAAGCTTCAAAACATTTGACATGGGTTAAGTTAAAGCTTGAAGAATGCTAGGAAGAGTTGGATACAAAATGAGGGAGTATCAAGGCATGATAATAGATGTCAAAATGGAAGAATGTTCAATTGTTCAATAAATTGTAATTTTCTGTTGAGTGAGGTGTGCAATGTGTGGGAATTTCAGACATAAAACTGTCGATAGAAAAGTTTCTTGCCAAACTTACTGTTGTTTTTAAGTCCTTAAGGAAAAGAACTTTTGAGGTTATTTGATAATTTTTGAGTTTAAATTTTGAAGTAGAAATTTAATGAGCTTTTCAGGAAATTCAACCGTGTTAAAGGAGTGGTTGATTAATTGAAGAAAACAAGGTTTTTAAGATTGAAGTTTTAGATTTTGAATAAAATTGAAGATTTTTGATGAACCTTCAAAGGTTTTTGAACAAAAATTTGTAAAACTCACATTTTTGAATAAAATCAAACCTTTCAAAGCTAAGTTACCTAGTACCTAAAATATAAAGAATTCTGACCAAACAGCTAAAGCTTAAAGATTCAAATAAAGTCAATTTATCCCTTTTTGATCGTTTCATCACCTTTTGATGTTCTTTATTGTTTTTATTTTTATTTAATTTGTTCTTCTGTCTCTCATGGATGTAATACATAATTGTCATACAGTATTTTCACTTGTCATTTAGTTAATAATAAATTAAAGATGTTCCACACTTTCTTTACCTATTTTTTCAGCACGAAGATTCATTATTCTTTTACAAAAAAGTGCTTTTTTTGAGTCAATCCTCATCAATAGGTCAATCATAAACGTGAAGCATCACATTTTACTTTCTTTCTATTTTTTATGTGTCTTCTCTTCATGCCGCATCATCGTTTTTGGTAATTTTTCATTATCATTATTGTTAATATTATTATTATTTTTTGTCAACATTAAGAACATAAAATTTTTCTTTCTTTTTAAAGAGACTTGCTTTGTATTACTTAAAAGAAACTTTTTTTTATTTTCATTTAATTTAATGATATGTTTCAGCATTTGATATGTGACTATACAAGAAATTTCAATTTTTCTTTTCTTCTTGCTCATTTACTGTAAACCACAAATGGGTCTTGACTTATTCTTCTTTCAATTTTCTCTTTCTTTCGTCTGTTTTTTCTGTATGTAAGTAATCTATCAATATAATTAATTAATAAGTTGTATTATGAATATTTTCTTCATTTATAGCTTCGTCCATTTTTCATTCGTTTTTCCCTTTTCATGAACTTCATGATCTTTTTTTGTAAAGTGAATTGTAATGCAGAGTTGTTGAGCTGCGACTTGTTTTGCATCATGATCATATTTTTTTTTCAAGAATAAACTTTAGATTTGGATTTTGGAGCTGACTAAGACTCTGTTAAGAGCTTTCTCTCGAAGATTAGACTTAATCTGGCAATAGAGTCCATTTGATTGTCTTATGTTTAAGTGTAGCACTGATCAAATATTATGAAAAGTAAATTTTCAGTTATAAACTTGCTGAATATACGAAACCAGCACTTGAGCTCCTGGTTCTTGATACCTGTTGCTACACTAACCCTTGTCTTTGACTACAATTATGTCGATCGGAATTCAAGTATATTTCAGAGAAATCAGAAAGGTTTGAAAGACTCCTTTCAAATAAGGTTTCCACAGATTATAATTTTCAAATAATCCAATACAAAGATTAAAATCTTTAAAAATCTTTGTATGAAAGATTTTGGAAAGATTATGAAGATTTCAATTTCATACAATGTTCATAATTTTCGTTTTTAAAAGATTGTAATTTGCGGGAACCTTTCTTTCAAATCAAACTTTTGAAATCTATCCTGTGGAATACTATAAGTGATGTTTTGTAAATCATTAGACTGAATTCAAGGAACATAGTCAAATACTCATGTATGATTCTGAAAACAATTTTATCTTGAGATTAACTATCGCCAAAATGTCTATGCTTTGCAATTTAACAATCGCCAAAATATCTTTGCTTTGCAATATAGTCTCTAAATAGGAGATTAAGATTTAAAACTACTAAATGCTTAGTATATTTAGAATTAGTAACCTTAATTTGATTTCTAAGATTTCATACTAACCTAATGTATTGAACCTAAACTTCGAAAGTTCATCCAACAACTCTGCTTAATTGAATATTCAATAAATTACAATTAAAACTCATCTTTTGTTATTTTTAATATATTTTATTTAAATTTTTTTTCACATTTTTTTCTTTCTTATTTTTGAAAATTCGAAAGTGAAAAGGGAACAATCTGATGCCGCTATGTATAGGCCTGCTCAATAATTTTACATTCATAAAAGAATTTTATTTTAATAAAAATTGTTATTACTTTTTTCTCATTTTTATATATTCCATATATGTCATGCTCATTAATAGTATAATTTTTTTATGTGATTTTCCGTGCACCACAAAATAAGAGCTTTTATAGCCATTTGATATGTCTTTAATTACCTTTTTTTTGATATGTATTCTGGGACTTTATTTATTTTTTTTTTGATATGTTTCATGAAAATAAAAGTTATCACATGACAATACTTGCGCGTGTATAAATGCATGGGAGGATGCGATTGTTGAAATGAAAAATTCAAGCAAAGCTGAACTTTATGAAAAAATATTCTTATTGTAAATTTCATTAATTTGTTGATGTTGCGAGCTTTCCATGTTCATCCATTGACATTTTAATGGCTTATTATATGCTGCATTTATGGTTTTCATTAATTCTCAATGGCGGTTTTAATATTTCATTTATTATTCCATGCATTTTATAGCTGTGAGCGAGAAATTTAATAACCAGAAATTATGAATGCATCCCATTTTATACTTGACGCTCTTTTTTGCATGGAAAAAGCTTTTCATCCTTTTTAAAAACAACATAATTAGATAATGTAAGCAATTTTAATGTCTGACTGGATGTGCTGAATACTGAAATGTTTGTAAATTTCCACGAAAATTTGCGCTTTTATAATTCTTACATTGCAATTTTGTGTCTTTTTTAAATGTGTAAAATTTAGAAAAGCTTTGTGAAATTTAATTACATTTTAATACCCACTGCGAAGTACTTCTATTGCTGTAAATTACTTTGATATTAAAATGCTCAACATTTGTTTTTAATTTTTCTAAATTACGTTTGAAGTGACATTTTCATTTGAATTTCGTGCTGGAAATAGCATTAGCACATCTAGGAACGAGCTTATAAGGTCGACTAGGATCTGCTTCGATGATTTCATAAGCTTTAGATACAACTTACTAGAATACCAATCCTATTAGATTGTTGTCAGTTGCATTAATTTGAATATGATTCAAAAACAATTAAGTTGCAAGGTTAAGACTGCAGGGAGCAATATTGAATCTATGATGTTGTTTTGGTTCATATAAGCGAATTTTAATGCTCAAGTAAGACTCCTTCGCTTTAACACATTGAGAGTCATCGAACTAGATGTTCCTAACCGTTCCAAGTTGAATTACTACTTGACTCAATTAGAATTAACATATTTAAGATTTTATCCAATTAAAAAAATTATTCATGAATAAATCGATTAAATATTCAATTGTAAACTTCAATCAACTACAACTAACTAGTTGTTACCATTTCTCATTAAAAGTCAAATAATTCTTTCAACCCTTAAGGTTTTCCAATCAATTCTGTAATTGCAATTTCTTTTTATGAAAGAATAAATTCCATCATTTGCTATATTGACATTTACTTATTCCCATCTCTAAAGAATTACATCTTGTACAGAATATTTTAAATCACTACGCTCAACAAATCAAAATTGTAATTAATATTCATTAAGCAAAGCTCAAAATTTCAATTTCCTTTCTAAACTTCCAGTGTTAAATCCAGACGAAACGAAACAATACAAAATTAAATGAAGTATCATGAAAATCTCATTTAAATCTGCATTCAGCATTACAGCTTTAATGTCAGAGGACAATTTTCCACAATGAATGCTGACAAAACAGCATGAATGGAAGTGTATACAAAAGAGTGAAGTGAAATTGCTGTTAAATTTACTTCTTTTATTACAGCAACATTGTCGTGTGACATTAAAGCATTAAAGTTACGGTATGTGCATGAAAAAAAGGATATATAAAGTTCAATGTAAGTCATCATCATCATCTGTGTTTATTTTTTTCTTCCTTATTCATTCAGCTCTACCCTTTTTTTTGTATCATCTCATCCTTTCCGTTGATTCTTCGTCTCATAAATTCATGTCACAAAGTTGACATCAGTTGACTTGCAGTTAATTAAAATTTGATATTGCAATGTCAACTTCTGTGTACTTTACCATGAAATTACATTTAACAACGGATGACTTGACGTCCTGAATTGCCAGTTCTACTTGTTTCCAATATCTTTTTAATTTTAATTCATCGTCTCCATTTAAAATCCATGCCATAAATTATTATGATTAAATTATTTTATTTTTTGCTTCATTAGACAAATTGTATGGGAAATAAGGAGATTGGCAATTCCAATTAAGTATCATTGGTAGAAGCATAATGTCATTAACATGATGATGATGATGCTGTTGAACAATATGCAATTACATTATCATGATCTAAATGTCAACCATCTCGTAGACAGCAAAAAAAGGACGAGGAAGCTTTCAATGAATTGATTAAGTTTGTCATGTTTAATGGAACTTCCGTAATTAATTCTAGTCGAATCTATATCAATTCTATTCTTTATGCCACCCATGCAATGGCTTTTTTTCCTATCAATGTGTGCGTGTGTGTGTGTGGTCTCTATATTTAGTCTCATTGCCGATGATGATGTTGGACGATGATGTTTACGTTGTTGTTGTTGTTTTTTTGTGAGGAGGGCATGAAAAAATTAATTTTTTTCGTCGACTAGTTAATTACAGTTAATTAAACATATCAAACGAGATGAATGCACAGAATGAAAACATTAAATGTGCTCCTGAAAGTTTCCTCGTTCTTTTGTCAGAATCGCTTTATTTCTGCTCATGACATTTCTTTGGAAAATTAATTTCAGACATTAAATGTCATTAAAGACTTATGTTGAACTTTATACTTCTTTTTGTTAAAGAAAAAATGATAAAAATTGTGTGGAAGTTAACTTTTAATTTAGAATCATTTAACTTTCATGTTGTGCTTCATTTTGTTTTTTATTGCAACTTTTCCGTCTGCTTTCTCGCTTTTGTGAAGGAAAGAAATTGAAATTGCGACAAAAAGAAAATGGAAATTGTCATAAATAATTTTTTTGGAAGCATTTTTTAAAGCATAAAGCTTTACTTTGTGGAAAATAAAAAGATTCTTATTGTAGGCGTCATTTTGAAAATAATTTATGAATGGCAATTTATAGCTGGGATTGTAAATTTTGGTGAGATGGGGAATCGAGGTTGGTAATGGAAACAACTCTTGCAATTTTTCGATAAATTAGTAAAGTTGTGATGCTGATTTTGTAACGTTAGAACATTTAAATTGTTAATCTACTTTATCAGGTATTAATTTGGTCATAAGCTGTTCAATGGCTGATAAAAGCAACTCAATTTACTTTCTACCAGTAAACTACTTGATGTTGATGCTATAATCCTGACTTTAATCTAGAAAAATGCCTGACTGAATATTTTAACTATTAAAACTGTAAAATTTGATATTGAATCCAGGAACTTAAATATTAAATCATTGGCATAAATATAAAAAAGTAAACTTCCTAGCAACTTATCCTAAGTGGGAATCGAACTAGAATCTCACAATTTTGCGTTGAAAACTCTTTCCATTGAGCCATCAGAGATTGCATATTATTATAATTGCGCTTATTGTTGCCAAGTGTGCTCCTGAAATCGATGAACTAACTTTCGTGATATGTTCGACAAAAATTCAATTTAATTATTTCACTCTCATATGATGCTTGGATTCTTATTTAGATTTAATATGATTTTAATCTTGAACATAAATCAAATTGAAATCAGACATCCTTGAATTGAGTGCTCTATATGATATTCTCATTCGAGATGACTTTTTAAGTGTTCTGATATCTTCTTACTGGATGTTCAAAAGCATTCTCAATTGAAGATGATGAAAACTGCACCGAACAGCTTTTCATTTCCTACATCGACATTAATTTAACCATAAATGCATCAACATATGCCATTGCTTCTTTTTTTCCAACTTCAAGCTTTAGCTCTTATCAGATTACAACATGCTTATTGTTATTGTACGCATAATAAATGCATGGAAAGTTTCACATTCTACATTAAGCACTGACTTCTGCTTAGGCAAAAATTCCCCAAAGATATTAATTTTTTCTCGTATAAATTGAACATTATATTTTTTTTTCTGTTAAGGTATACATGTACTCTCTTCAACATATTATTCTTGTTGTTGTTGTATTATACGAAACGAAAATTTCACGTCTTACAATTTTTGAAGAATAAAATAAACAGAAAGTAAATACATTTTAATAAAAATATCATTTTTCATTCCTTAAATTTATTACTCACATGGGCATAAACATAAATAAATACTTTATTTCTCTTTTGTCGTTTTTCGAATGAAATGCATTTAAAGTTAAGGACATTCATAAAGCTTTAATTTCATTTCAAATATCAATTAAGGAAGAAGAGCTTGTAACATGCAATAAAAAAAACTCTATTTTTATAAAATTTTTTGTTCATGATAACAAACATTTAACATTCATCATCGAAAGAAATGCTTTTCTGCTTCATCTTCTTCCTTTCACATCCTTCCTTCCGACACACTCATTCTCTTTATCGTCTGATGAGGGTTTAGGGGCAGGAGGAATGAAAAGCGAAGAAAGCATGAAGAAAAAAATTTATTTCGTTCGCTTTTCTTTTCAACTTTTCCTTAAATTCTCTAATCCATTGAATGTAACAGCAACTGAAATATTTATATAAGAATTGATGGTTGTAAGTTCATTGATATTATCAAGAGTTAAAAAAGTTTCCAGCAATGAAAGAATTTTGGAATGATTTGTGTTGTGACTTGGAATTTTAGAAAGTAGCAACCTACTAGGTGACAATTAAGTAAGAATAAGATTAATCATTGTTAATGTCACGGTTCAGATTACTTTCAAAGATCAGATTGAAGCTCTTGTTAGTAATCTTGGTCAAAACCAATTGACATATTATGGAATTTATGTAATCTTCGTGATGCTAATGAGGCTTACAAAATTCAAATTTAACAACTCCTCATTATCTAATTACAAAGAGTTTGGAATTGATCGTAAAGTTACTGATCAGTTCCGTACCCCTACTAATCACTTAACAGCCACAATTACATCCCAAAGACCATTTAAAATCCATCCCATGTCAATTTCAACATCAAAAAGACAGCTTCTGTCCAGCTCAAAGCTTACTAAATGCTGATTTTAGTGATGTTTATCAAAACTGCTACAACTTTCAAATATCCAAGCCAAAACTTTCAAACCAAAGCTTTTTAAACGTAATAACTCCTTACAGACATAAACCTTATTCTCTCTAGTCGTAAACATGTCTGCTCGAAGAAGCTAGCTATTTTCAATCATGTAGATGCTTTAAAAATTTATTTCCTTTTTTATTCAATTTAAATTTAATTCACTTTAAAAATCTTTCTTTTTTTTATAATCTTTAAAATAAGAAATATTAAGAGATAAAAATTTTCTCCAGGACATGGACATGTGATATGTAAGAGTTGCCTTAATACTTATAATACAGTAAAATTTGATATGTCTCATCTTTTGTGTATATGTGTATGTAGTTAAATTTTAGTACCTTCTCTCATCATCTAACCGAGGAGGATTCAGATTGCATGTTGAAGGTGTCGTTAATAAACTTTTTTTTAGTCGTTAATATGAATTGTTCTTGCTCTTGCTCATGTGTTGATGGAATCGTTAAATTTCTTATGTGGAGTCGCTACAGGGTTGAACGAGAGTTATTTTAGGGATCAATACCCAAAATATCTACAATCTGATGTTTCCTAAACTAATTTCATCTTGGAAGTTCCTTGTACAGCCTCAAGCATAGAAATAATGCGATATTTCCATTCAACTGCCATATACCCCCAACAACCCTGCAGCTCCGCATGTGTTAATCGCGTCACATATAATTTTCATTGCCGTCGCAACATGCAAGATTCATGAATCCAGCCGACATGCTCTCAACATTTACTTAATCATAATAACTTTAATGTTAAAATCTTTATGTGATTTTTTTTCCTCATTTCTCCCATGTGTATGTCTATTAAGTTTTAGATTTTTTTATAATATACTTTAAAATAACGATTGCATGTTTCAAAGTCAAATTTCTCATAATTTTACTTTTTTTTCTCTCTTTCACAATTATAACCTAATGATATGTATAAGAGTTTACTTTTTTTTTCAATATAAGTGCCATTTGATTTTTTTTTTCTTTATGTTTATAAATTTATATATTTTTTTTTGCATTCACATGAAACGACTGCAGGAATTGCTTCCCCATTTATTTCCTTGTTTGAACAAAACTGCAGCATTTTTTGTGAAAATTTTTTAAAATCCATTTTATATGAAAAAAAAAAGAAAAGTAAAAATGGGAGATAAAATAGAACCACTATGTAGAACTTAATGGCCGCTATAATCATTTTGTGTGATTTCACTTTAAAATGTAGAACTTTATAAGCGCATTTTGCATTTATGCAGATTTTTACTCATTTAAAATTTATAATCTAATTCTATGTATAATATCATATTAATATTCAATATTCATTCTCACGTTCAGCATTTGTAGTCATTGATGGGTTAATTTTTCTATTTTACATTTCTCTTCCATGATGTTAAACGCTTTTCACCTGCTGTATGTTCAATGTCCTGATTGAGCTGTAAATATAAAAGAACGGATATGTGAAACGTGTATATTTGAGTATTGAAAGGAGGAACAAGTAAGTAAGCAGTATGTAGAGAATAAATATTTAGGCGCATTACTAAATCTTTTGATGATTCCTGAAATCCACTTTTTGTATTCTTGTCAAATTCTTAAGTTATGGACTTAATTTTTTATGTTCACACCGTTTTCACGTGTGAATCTATTGGTTTTGTTCAGATTGAAAAATCAGTTTTTCGCATTTTGTGAGAAAACAAAGCAAAATTGGTTAAAAAAGGTCCTAGAAAAAAAGTTTGTGCCTGAAATTTTACATCATTTTCAAAAAAACAGATTTCAAATTGGTTGTGGCATTGCTGAGAAAATCGCAAAATACGCTTTCTGTAAGCAAACAAGCAAGCAAGCAAGCAAGCAAGCAAGCAAGCAAGCAAGCAAGCAAGTTAATCAGCAAGAAATCTCAATAACGAGACATTCTAGAGACTTCTAGTTTTTTACATTTGATCCGTGCTGCTCTATAGAAGAGCTGTATTGTTTTTGGGCAAGGTAGGAACAGCCGTTGCTTCAGAAAAAGCAAAAAACTTTCCTTTCTTATCAATTTTTCAAATTAAAAGTTCACTGTGATTTAGAATGCTCATACAAAGTTTTACTGTATTTGGATTTTTCCTCGAAGAAAAAAGTGAAAAACTAGATTTTGACTGGACCTGTCCCAAGTTCATAATTGAAATTGTATTTCCTACTTGGTTCTTTGCTCAAAAAAATTTTAGGATGTTTTATTTGTATTTGTTTTAAGCACTAGAATATTTATGAAAAGTTTCAATCCATTTGGATAAACCCTCGAAGAAAAAAGTGACGAAATTGATTTTGACTAGGGTCGCCCCTAGTCTAAAATTGAAAATGTATTTCCTACTTGGTTCTTTGCTCAAAAAAATTATAGGATGTTTTATTTGTATTTGTTTTAAGCACTAGAATATTTATGCAAAGTTTCAATCCATTTGGATAAACCCTCGAAGAAAAAAAGTGACAAAATTGATTTTGACTAGGGTCGCCCCTAGTCCAAAATTGAAAATGTATTTCCTACTTGGTTCTTTGCTCAAAAAAATTTTAGGATGTTTTATTTGTATTTGTTTTAAGCACTAGAATATTTATGCAAAGTTTCAATCCATTTGGATAAACCTTCGAAGAAAAAAAGTGACAAAATTGATTTTGACTAGGGTCGCCCCTAGTCCAAAATTGAAAATGTATTTCCTACTTGGTTCTTTGCTCAAAAAATTTTTAGGATGTTTTATTTGTATTTTTTTTAAGCACCAAAATATTTATGTAAAGTTTCAATCCATTTGGATAAACCTTCGAAGAAAAAAAGTGACAAAATTGATTTTGACTAGGGTCGGCCCTAGTCCAAAATTGAAAATGTATTTCCTACTTGGTTCTTTGCTCAAAAAAATTTTAACGATGTTTTATTTGTATTTGTTTTAAGCACTAGAATATTTATGCAAAGTTTCAATCCATTTGGATAAACCCTCGAAGAAAAAAGTGACAAAATTGATTTTGACTAGGGTCGCCCCTAGTCCAAAATTGAAAATGTATTTCCTACTTGGATCTTTGCTCAAAAAAAATTAGAATGTTTTATTTGTATTTTATTTAGGCAATAAAATATTTATGCAAAGTTTCAACCCATTTGGATAAATCCTCGAAGATAAAAGTGACAAAATTGATTTTGACTAGGGTCGCCCCTAGTCCAAAATTGAAAATATATTTCCTACTTGGTTCTTTGCTCAAAAAATTTTTAGGATGTTTTATTTGTATTTGTTTTAAGCATTCAAATATTTATGCAAAGTTTCAATCCATTTGGATAAACCCTCGAAGAAAAAAAGTGACAAAATTGATTTTGACTAGGGTCGCCCATAGTTCAAAATTGAAAATATATTTCCTACTTGGTTCTTTGCTCAAAAAAATTTTAGGATGTTTTATTTGTATTTGTTTTAAGCACTAGAATATTTATGAAAAGTTTCAATCTATTTGGATAAACCCTCGAAGAAAAAAGTGACAAAATTGATTTTGACTAGGGTCGCCCTAGTCTAAAATTGAAAATGTATTTCCTACTTGGTTCTTTGCTCAAAAAAATTTTAGAATGTTTTATTTGTATTTGTTTGAAGCACTAGAATATTTATGCAAAGTTTCAATCCATTTGGATAAACCCTCGAAGAAAAAAGTGACAAAATTGATTATGATTAGGGTCGCCCCTAGTCCAAAAATGAAAATGTATTTCCTACTTAGTTCTTTGCTCAAAAAAATTTTAGGATGTTTTATTTGTATTTGTTTTAAGCACTAGAATATTTATGCAAAGTTTCAATCCATTTGGATAAACCCTCCAAGAAAAAAGTGACAAAATTGATTTTGACTAGGGTCGCCCCTAGTCCAAAAATGAAAATGTATTTCCTACTTAGTTCTTTGCTCAAAAAAATTTTAGGATGTTTTATTTGTATTTGTTTTAAGCACTAGAATATTTATGCAAAGTTTCAATCCATTTGGATAAACCCTCAAAGAAAAAAGTGACAAAATTGATTTTGACTAGGGTCGCCTTTAGTCCAAAATTGAAACTTGATTTTCTATGGTGTACTTTAATCAAAAAAATTTTTTGGATGTTTTATTTGAATTGACATAATTTTTCTTAAAAAAAATCGAAATCCAAAATTTCGACTACCCAATCTGAATTTTGTTCATACTCTTCACTGTGGAAACCAAAAAACAAATTCTTTATCTTAAAACCATTGACAAAACAGCGACATAATTCAGGATTAATTACTTTTTAATAATATTTTAACATTTACGAGAAAATGTGGTTCAAATAAGTGTGAAGTATAGCCGAGATTTGGACCAAAATCAGCTATACTGGTTCATAGTGTTCCCGAGGGTGACAAAATTCAAACTAAGTGTTTTTGTAGCTGACATAATTATGACATAAATTAGGTATATCTTTTGAACTGTGTCGATATGGGTCTCGGCCGTACTTCACGCCCACCCTTCAAACTTATGCTGAGCAAATCTTGGTCTATCCATAAGACTTTTGATGGTACTGTGTGAATATATCCGCATTGGGTTTTTACCCGATACACTAGTTTGAAATATTAAGGATTGTTGTCCTGTATTGTCATTAAGAAGGGGATGCTCCGAGTATGTTAAACTGATCAAAATGTTTTGAAATAATTAATCAATGTGAGACGTAAATCATTTTAATGACAAAGTTTGATCAAAGCAAATACTTAACTCAGCGACCATTCAATTTTTAATTTAAACGGATGTAATTAAACGGATAGTTCTCTGAGCTGCTTTTTATTATCAACATTACAATAAGCAGCTTCTAATATATTTAACTTAACAATATTTAATAAAATCTAGAGCTCGAAGTCGATAAAATTCGAGTCCACACGAGTCGACTTCGAGCTCTAATAAAATCCAGTTAAATTTAATGGAAAGTAAGGGATCAAGTCTGTAGCTCATGAATTCTTAGAACAAAGAAACTCCAAAGCTAGAATTAAAGCTAGGTTTACACTTAAACTAAGTTCCTAAACCATTAATCATTCATTCCTTTTAAACGAAGTTTCCTTTGACGTCGAAGTTCGATAAGCTAGTTCCCTCCTAATTGTCTTTCTAATGCCATCCATTTTAATCTTCGCTAAAGTAAATAGTACAGTTTAAATTTTCTAGCTCGACATAAACTTAGAAAATCCAGACAGCAGAGAAAAAATAAGAATTCTTTTGAAATCAGATCGAATCTTGATCACGTTTCAATTCGAATGACAGAAACTTTTCTATTCCAAGTTTATCACTTAAAATTATCTAGTTTCAACGTTCACGTTCACAAGTTGAATGACAAAAAAGTGCTCGAGTAAAATGAAACACAACGAACAAATTAAATATGCTGCGGCATGTTGACTTACAATTTTATCCATTGCTACTGTTCCGATGCATACAAGTGGATCCTTGAAATACGAGCAGACCTATTGAGATGAGAATGCAGGAATAGAAAAAGAGAAAAAAATTATAAATTTTGTTCTGACAAATTCAATTACGCTCATCATTAAAATAACAAAAAGTTTGAATACATTTCTCATACCTTTCTTGGAGCTTGACGATGTCTTCGTTGCAATTGACAACATAAACCTCTGTAATTATGTGCGGGTATAATAGAATTAAATTGAAAAGAAAAGTAAAAAAAAAAGTTACAAATTATCTTGACGAAATATTAATGACATGGAAATAAGTCTGCATTCGCGGAAGAAGTGGCTTTTTTACATTTTTTTCGTTGTCTCAATTAATTACCGAATTTTCAGTGCCGAAAAGAAAACAGTCGACAAGAATTGTACATGTACAGTTAATTAACATCGGCAACACAAAGAAATTCAAATTTGGATTAAGAAAATCGCAGATTATACAAACTTAATTTAGATCTACAAACTTTCTCTCTAATTTTGTTCAATTCTGTGCCACAAATGTCACAACTAGTAATCGAACAATTTCAACTTCTTCAGACACCAATTATAGAAATGACTATTTTTATTCCGTAAACTCAAAAATAACAACGATAGAAACTTTTCTACTTCCACTTACCTAGTTATGTCACAATCAGATGATGTGGAACAGTCTTCTGCGTATTGTTTCGCTACTGCCATTGGTGCTCGACAAACATTAGCACCTCCAGCTGCTGAAACGTCACATACTAATCCAGATTCACAATCTGCATCACGTCGACATAATTCACCCATTTTGCGACCGTACGCAAAAAGACAGTTCCCAAATGCTGCTTGAAATTTATAAAAAAAAAAAAATTGTTCACGTGATTTGTGGATGGAAATAATTTAATATAAAGTTTAAGGATTGACATTTAAACTCAAGGGAAATTGTTGAAAAAAAATAACTTTTATAAACTCAAAGTTTGAAGGATAAACTTTCAGAATGAAATTTTAAAAATAAATTGAATTCTCTAACGACGAGATTGTTTTGTAAAATGCAAATAATAGCTGGTTCTGAAGCATGATGAATATTTGTTTTGTTTCACTTCCGTGACTGTTAACAAATGATAGTTTGTGGAGTGAATCTTTGTGAATCTTGAAATAGAAATCTTGACCTTAAATTTGTCTGGATCAAACTGGAAACTTGTCTGTGGTTAAGCTACGACTGTTTTTTCTGGACTTGAATTTTATCTAAACCAGATTCATTTTAATTAGACAACGACAAAAACAACATAAATTCCATAAAAATTAATTCTATCCACAACTTTACTGTGCATGCTTCAACTATCAATCCAATTTTGGTCATGGTCACAGTTTAACCTTCCAAATCCAACAAAGTTCCACTTAGCCTTCGCAAAAAAATACAAATATCAATTTACAGTCCACAATTCTTCATAAATTGCTGCATTTGAAACCTTAATTTGAGTCAGAACTCGAAAAGCTTTTGTATTAAATTCCGCCTTTGAATCGCTATCTTAAGTACACATCTCCTTGACATTTAGAATGCTTGCTCCTTTTTTTTCGAAATTGATTGCTCGCCTTCTCAATTCAATTTTGTCAAATGTACTTCTTTATTTCTTCGGTAGCAAGTGGGAGAATTAATGAAAATATTGCTCAGTTGCTAGTCAAAAGATGAACGCAATTTTGAAATTTTCGAAAAGGATATGAAATCAAATAATGTAGAGAGTAGCAATGGGAATGGGAAATGAAAGATAAAAAGTTTATCCTTTAACACTGAATGTTGTTCTTATTACCCTTCTTACAGTCGTTACTGAAAAAAGATATCAAAAAATGTTTTTCATTCACAAAATTTTTTAGTCTAAAGTGTATGGATATAAGAATTTTATGGCATAACACAACATCTCTTTATCATCACTGTAGCTACCATTGTGGTCAAAAAAAGTTCATTTCCATGACAAGTTTTCAGTTATTTTTATCCTTTTTGTTGTGAGTATATTATTTTCAAGATTGGAGTGTATTTTGGTGGTTCTGAGGTTAAAGGTTTTGATTCCTTCTTAGATTCAAGTTTCTTTGATCGAATCAGTTCTCAATGGCGCTTCCTAGCTGCACTTCTGCTGCCATTCAGATTATTAAAATAATCAAAAATAATTCTCGTCAAGAACCCCTAAATTGGTACTTAAAACACACACGAATGTAGCATATGTGTGCATGTCAAAAAGACTGGCAATAAAAATAAGAAGGATCAGTGGTGTGAAAAAGACACAAAAAAATCTTCAAGCATGAAGAGCTAGAAAGAAGACAAGCTTTCTGCTTTAAAGTATAAATTTTATTGAAAACTCTTCTTTTATTACATACTAAGTCAATTTGATATAGCACTTATGCTTGTATGTTTCGCGTATGTCTTCATTGACATTTAAACTTTTTTATTTTCTTATTATAGACGCAAGGAATAACAGACAATATAAAAGGAATGTGAAGAAAATAAAGTAATTTTCAGTACCAAGAAAATGAGAAATCAGTGAAGCGAATGGCAAGGCAAATAGGGAAATCCAATGAAGCTTAAATTTTAATTTAAATTTATGAAAATTACACTTTCTTATTGGAGCGAGTTAGCGAGCAATATAAAGATTTGATCCTTATTGCCATTTCAAAAGATTTTCTTTTATTCTATTTTTACTTCATATACGCAAGGAAATGGAAGGAAAATGAAAACTTATGCCATAGCATATTATTAGGTTTTCTTTAATAGTAAAAGGAAATAACATAGAGCAGTCTCTTGTGATTACTGCTGTTAATAAATAGGATGAAGAAAAAGTGGGGAAGAACTTTCAATATTAATGAAAACTAAGTGAACGACCTCTTTTAGCAATTATCTACAATTCATAGGTTCAAATCCTAAAAAAGACTTTTCAACTCATATAATGTTTTTGACAAATAACAGACACTTTAAATTTTTCTTTTAAATTTGATACTCACTTGAAGCAGTCAACCTTTAATTAAACAATTAATTCCACATCCTTAAAAATACTTTTTTGTTGCTTTTCACGTAGGTAAAAAATTAAAATTTGCTGAACTTTTGAACATTCTCAATGCTCAATTCTAAATCGTTTACACATTTTTAATCGAAAAGGTTGAATGCTTCCTTTATATTCCACTTGATCGTGAATTTTTATACAATCAATACCAGAATTCGAGGAAATGAACAAAAAAAAATCACGACCTTCGTCAATCCTTTAACTTTTCATCTCCACAATACAATTATACAACTTTCACATAATTTAGTAACTTACCTCCATCAACATCAACACAGACGCTCCCTGGACAGCAATGCTCATTGGCTGTGCAGCGCTTTCCATAGCAAATTTCCTCTTCAATTATGGCTGGCTCCTCATCAATAAAATTTGTCTCGCCCTAATGAATCCCGGGTGGACACAGCCAGTTAAAGTCCATTATTGGACAATCATTTAATAGTCTTTTAACTTGTCGAAATATATACGATATAGAGAACTATACGTTAACTAGACTTTAACTGGACATTCATGCTAATCAATCAAGTGTTCGAAACTCAAAAATAATTTTCCTTACTTTTTTGACCATATACTTCACAAGCGCTTACAGAAATCACTTATATAAGGTCCACCAAAATTTGTATGAAACTTTTAAGTAAATATAAATGTTTCACGCGCAAGTGTTCGAGACTCAATTTTTACTAGAGATTTTTCATAAGTGATAGTGTACTTTAATTAATTAATTACACTAATACAATAATAAAATTTTACAAAAGAAAAAAATATGGAGAAAAAGACACGTGTTATTTATTTTATTTCGATTTTTTTGTAACTGGACATTAACTAGACATATTTGCAATTCCTATGTCCAGTTAAATGGAAAGCGCAAAATATGTCATTAGTCGTCCCTAAGTCTAGTTGCAAAGGCACGTCAATGGTTACTTACTCGCCGTGAAAAGGCAAGTCAATGGCAAGCTTTTAACTAGTACTTTGTCCACTCGGGAATGAATTGTTCATTAAATTCTAACAGTTTAATTCATTTATTTGCGGAGGTTATTGATTTTTTTATGCTATTCCTTTTTCGTTTTCTAGAGCATGAATGCATGTATTTTAAATTGAAGACATGATATGATTGAAGAGTAAAAGACCAAAGTTCAAGGAGAAAAAATATTGAATGACGAAAGAATTTCCAATGAGTTAAGGCCGTTCGTACATTAAGAGACTAATGTAGTGATTATTGGGGTTCATTGATAAATAATGTAACACTTTTGTGGAAAAAATTTATCTCGATGTGTCACTTTTATGCAAAAGAAATCAAATTTGATTAAAGAGTTGTGACAGAGAGAAGGATGGGGGTAATTTTACTATGTGACATCATTTGCCAACGACCCCAGTTGGGTTTTCTTTAAAAGATCTGATTATCGATTGTCATAACCTATTCGTATGACCTATAATAGTCATATCAATTAAAATACAATCTAATCATATTATTGAACTGCCTACATAGCACTGCTACTTTAAATCAATTAACCAGTGGTAACCAACCTTTTTTTGTATCATGACACACTTGATGGTAAGCCATGACCAAAACCGCATACAGTATACAGTTTGTTGGATATCAAAAAAAATCGCAGCTCACGGGTTGACCATCACTGCTTTAAACTATACATAGACACAACCTTAATAGCTATCATTCCCAACCACATTGCTCTATCTATTGCGAAATTCCATTCCATTTCAATTTTGATTAATCTCTGTCATTATTCAGATGATTGCAATCTACAAGACAAACTGAATAGCTAAGCAGACCATACATCCATGTCAAATGAATTCATTCAACCGAGAAAAATCGATCAATAATTCTAAAAAAGCTTTCATCTTTCATTTGAATTGAATTGGGATTTCCAGAAAGGAGAATGAGAAGAAGAGCTTTTTTTTTTGTCGATTGTAAATCATTTTAAATGACTTTTATGACCCAGCATAGGAGATAAAATCAAATGAGAATAAATGCCACGTGACTAGATAATGGAATTTGATGATAAAAGGATATAAAAAGCTTTCAAAGTCAAGATTTTATGGATATCCAATTGAAATATAGCAGAAAATATCCTTAAATTGTTATTGCCATTGGGTTAAATATTGTTGCTTTTATCCAGTAAATGAAGGTAAATAGAACAAGATGATGTTCCTTAATAAAAGCTTTTATCGGCTACCTTCAGTATTTGTTCAACAATAATAGAAGTTTTCCTGTACGATCGGAAATGAGAAAATATCATTAAATTACAGCCTTACAAAATGGCCATAAAATGATCTTGTTGCTCGAGGAGCTTACTATAAATCAATCAGTGTTGCATTCTGGCTATTTGTCTGGATCAGATAAATTCTGAGACAGAAATTTCTTCATAAAATCGATTCTACATGTAGAAAGAAAAAAACCATCTACATGTAGATTGTGTCTACATGTAGAATCTGTCTACATGTAGATTTAATGTAGATGTCTACGATTCTACATTCTTCTCTGATGTAGACCTGGAAAAAATGTAGAATTATAGACATCTACATCGAATCTACATGAAGACAGATTCTACATGTAGACACAATCTACATGTAGATGGTTTTTTTCTTTCTACATGTAGAATCGATCTTTACGAAGAAAGTTTCTTAGCTAGACAAAAACTATTGAAGAATCTACATTCTTCATCTAGTGTAGACATCTACATTTGCAACACTGAAATCAATAAATATGACATAATTTACAAAGGACATAGGAAAATTCCTATGATTACTTTATAGCCTTGATATGAAGATAGTTATGATGAAAATTATTGTTTTACGTCTAGTCATGTTTCTACTTAGATTATTTATGTATTGAAAGTTCATGGGCAGTTGAGAATGTTAGAGAATATCCTGAGATTGTTGGACATATTAAATTCAAATGAATTCTGCTTGATCAAGTTTGCTTTTTGGATAAATATCATGTTGGCTACATGTCTTAATGATCAAAGAGACTTTGTTTACTGACAGGCAAAGATTTTCCACAAAATGTACTCTAAATCTTTATTGCTTGAGCTACCTTAGGCACCTTACCTAGTCACAGTACTTGTTTCTTGAAGCTCTTCAAACCGACCCCTAATCTTACTTTAAATCATTGTTAATAAAATTATGATCTGTGATAAACTTTCTGGATTGTGTCATTGCAATTGTGGTACTAAAAGTTTGTTTGGGTCGAATGCAACAGAACATCAACTACCCCAAACACATTATTCAAAATTATTCCTTATCAATGAATACTTCCGCTATCAAAATTCAGGTTGAGTTTTTCCCCACGCAATTTATGTTAACTTCGCTATGCTCATGTACTTTATATGATTCATATTGAATTTCAGGAAAAGGAAGGTTTCATGTGAAGATAGGAATTCATTATAAAAAGACAAGGGAGTTATTCTCTTGTGACTCGAACACACATTTAGATTAAAAGCAAGTCGAGAGCTTCATGAGACTTTAGAGAGCATTAATACCCCCATATAACTCGATAACAGCAATTTAACCTGAATGATTAGGAATGCGAGTTGTATTAAATTTATTTTATATATCATCGAATCATCCTTACATCCTTACATCATTCACTTGAACTTTATGTCATTGTATACAGGAGAAAACAATGAGAACAATTGGTTCGCATCATTGGAGCATAAATGGAAGTACACGTGTGGCTGTATGATTTACCTGAAACAATGGTTGAGGGCGATATGAACTGCCTCCATGACTGCTTCCATAGCCCATATTACTTAACATCTCCGGTGAGAAACGATTGAAGAGACCACCCCAAGCGTGAACACGAGCACTGCCAATCCATAATATCAATCCACAAATCCATAATACTGGAAACTTCATGACGATTGACAAATGTTGTTTATTGATTTATGTCTGAAAATATATAAATAAGAAAAGAAAAATGGTTATAGATATCATTCGAGTAGATTTATATCCATCTGGCGTGTATTTTTGTCAGATTTTTAATAAGATTTTCTAGAAATAGAATTTTGTGTCGAAATAAAAAGAATCTCGTGCTTTTTTACGGATTTTCATGTGAAAATGGTTGATCGATTGACGAGTTTATAGGATCAAGATGCAATTATAGCTAGTATGACGGGTATCAGCTACTGTGAGCGCAAAAGACGCTTTAAACTTAGTAAATATTTAAATTTCTCTTGAAATCTCAACTTTATCTCAGCATTCTTATAAAATATTGACAATTTTCAACAGAACTAATGTAAAGTCAACAAGTTAAATTGTGAGAAAACAAATAAACACTTAATAAAGCTTATAGAGTGAACAAAGCTAGTGACCGAATTATAAATCACTTAAAATCTACTGTTAATGACTTTAATAAGGCGAGTAAATTTGTAACGCGTAAAACCGAACACTTTTGTTGCGCGTATTGTGAGTTTTTCACCTGTTTCTACGTTTAATTTATTTTTGTAACATCAACGAAATGTCAGAATTTATGACGGAGCAATAAATATATGACACAGGACAAGTAAAAGCATTATTATCATAATTTATCTTTAAGGTAAGTCCAACCCTATATTAATGTATTTTTAACCATCCTTACTTATTTTATGTGGGTTTGTTTTATGTATTTTTTATGTTATCATAATCTGTACGGTTCACGTCGTGTTAAAACATTCAATGGAAGCTAGTAAAATATTCATGAAACAAAGATTCAGTTTTCTATTCATAAATGAGCTAAAAATAATCAAATTATCATATTACATGCTGCAAAGACATATCAGCATGTAATGCGTTAAAGCAGTCAATGAAAATGTCTATGAATGGTGATTGTTCATTCATTAAAATATAAAATAAGAAGGAGTTGAAAGGTTTTGTTGGAAGAAGACATGACAAATAATGAATGAGATTGTAAGTCTGTAATTGCGAGTTATTTTCATCAATTGCAATAAACTTCGATGTTTCTGTGTGGGCTTGCTCATTCAGAATGATTAACATTATTCCTTAGAGCAATTAGAGATGTTTTGTGCCTTATGAGATACAAAGTTAAGTTGTTTGTTGATTTAAATGATGAGTCAGGGATTTTTCAATACTTTAAGGTACTTAAGAGTTTTAATTATGAACCATTTGAAATTCATTTGAAATAACCTGAAATAACGTATAAATTGCTGCCTTTGCCTATTTTAAGTCGCTCGTGTCTATGGTCCAGTGCTCTTAATAAAGACTTGCTGATACAATTTTTCGGTTGAAACCAGCAATATCATTAATAGATTGGTTTGAATCCCACGTTAATTCAAAGGACACAGCCACTTAGCTATAAGCTTAGCTTTTTAAATTATCACTATTACAAACAGCTTCCTACCAATTAAACCAGATAAGAAGCAAAACATATCAATTAATTATTCCACAAACTCTTGTGAAACTAATCAATAATTCAAATAATTAAATTATCATAATTGAAAGTTTATGTCCTTATTACCCGGACAGATTACAGCCACAATAATAATTATTTGCATTATGAACTTTGGTGTTTCAAGCAATTGTTTACATATCATTTCAATACAGCACTTCAATTAGCATAATTGCATCATTAAATGTAGCTGCTTTTCCTATTTAATGCATGAGTGCTCGCAATAATGTCCCAATTATAAAATCACCAGGGATTGTTCCGTCTATATTTATGCATTAGATTGTTTAATGAAATGACATGAAAATGTGCTTGAATGACGGTGAACTATGAACTATGGAAATGAAAGGATGTTTTATGGAAATTAACAGAGGGCGAAGTCGACTCGAAATTTGTATGAAGTCGAGTGAACTCAAGTCGACTTTTCCATACAAAATCCGAGTTGACTTCGCCCTCTGGAAATCAACTAAAACGGAGAACTTATGTTTGTGTAAATAAATGAGGATTGGGGTCGTTAATTAATGATGTTAAACTTTTTTGAAATTTGATATGGAAGTTTGACGAATGTAGAAATAATTGTGTGATAGAGAAAGTGGGGAAGGGGGGGGGTAAAATAATCTATTGTTGATAAACATCACTTGCAAATCACCCCGTTAAATAATGCCTTTTTCGTGTGATATACATTTGGCTGTAAAATGAGGAATTAACGATTTTTTATTCTAATATTTGTTGGGCTTACAAGCTAAAATAGTAAAACTGGCACATCTAAACATTTGATTGACTGAAAAATGAAATAGTAACAATTTAAAATCGGAACCAGTACATGTTGGTATGAGGAAGTAATTTTATACAATTCGTGTCGTTTACTCTTGTTCTATTCTTAAAGCTGTTAAAAATTGAGGTAAATTTCATTTATGACGGTGAATTCTGCTTTAAAATTGTTGAAGGTTTGTAATTGTGTGTTGTAGCAACTGAAAAGTTTGATAGAAACTGTGTCGATTTGATTGATGTGAAGAATATAAAAAAAAATGTGAGTAATTTGATGCTCAAAGGGGTAAGGGGGATGATTATTGTTTTTAAATTATCAATATTGAGTGGAATTCTATTTCCAAATTGCTTACTGAGTAGAAAATATCATTGAATTTAGCTCCACGCGAACATTACGTCAGCCTGGTTCCAATATGTTGAGAGTTTTTCATACCGTAAGCTATTCAACTCAACTTATTTTATTTCCTGAACCAAAAATCTTGCATCAATTACATAAATAATTTTCTCATTCTGAATAAGTCGCACTCAAATGTATGAACAGCACACCGCAATTTAATTTCATAAGACACACTTTTCTTGAAGTCTCAAATGAGAATAAAATTGCGAAAATGGGGAAGAACAAAAAGAAAACTTTTCTTATCCTACGTAAGCATTCTAAATTGAATTAGTGAGAAAGCCAGAATATGAACAGAAATGAACAGCTTTTAAAAGCTAAATGCGGAAAAAAAGATTTTTTATTTTTCTGAAATCATCAAACGAACGAGAAGTTTAATTGGATTTGGGAATGTAAAGCTCATGAAATATTTTATGTCATTCTGTGTGCTGACAATTAAGATAATTGATATAAAAAGTAGTAAAAATAGATTTTATTGTCTATCATTTGCCTCGTGAAATGCTTTATTTACGCTTGCCAAACATATTTTTTTTTGGTAAAGTTATGACAAATTTACAAAATAAATATTGGTATGTTGTTATTTATAGCTATGCTTATTTATGTTTCATAGAAGTGTGTTATGAAAAGAAGACTGTGTCTTTAAGTTTGGTTATAGCATTCGATTTTAAGGTTATTAATTTTGTTTGAAAATAGTGAGAGATAATTACCAATACTAGGAAATTGCTGTAATTAAGATTCAAGATTGATTATTTTTGCACTTTTGAGACTTAAATTATGTTTGAATATTAGCCAAAGTTAGTATCGGTATCCAGGACATCGTATTTTAGAATCCAACAATGATCCATAGACAAAAACTACTCTTTTGTAAAACAATTTACTGTTAAAATGGTCTTTATAGGTCTGTCAAGTACTATTAAATTCCCAACAGAACAACATCTATGTAAGTTTTCCATCAACAACACAAAAATGCTAAACATAAAAAATAAAACAAATAAATCATAAAGTCATAAAAATGTTTTCAAATAAACAAGCAAAAGTCACAAGTTTGTCTAATCAACTTGCTATTTTATTGCCCAAAAAAACTGAATAAGAGAAAAATGTTCATTCAACATGTGCTGTCGATCAATAAAAGAAAATTGACATTTTTAGTTCAATGCTCCGTTTGGGGATTACATCGAGTGTGTGAGGTTGTGCATTTATTCATGGAACAATCGATAAAAACATTATTTTTTTTTTGTGGAATGAATAAGTCAGGAAAAGAACACGTGTTAAGAACGTGCGTGAAAAATTATGAAATCAATAAATTTGCTCCAAAATGCGTGTTGAATTTAGTATCATACAAGTGGGCAGGAGTGATGAATAATTCATGCTTCATTTTATTTGAAATTTTCTGATTTTATCAGAATTGTCTATTTTGGGCCATGGATCACAATTGATCTGAACGTGTGTTTACATATATAAAGCGTGACACAGCTTCATCCCCGCACTCTCATTAGAAGTAAACGACCGTCATAACACCTCTGTAGCTCAATCAATATTCATAATGAAACACCAACAATCATTTCAAATTCATTGATATCATCAATTCTAAATTGAATTGAATAAAATTTCAATAATTCATAAATAGAATTTCATCTCACAAATCTATCGACACATCAGATGATGAATATTCAAAAAGCTTTTGATGCCTTTTGCAAAGCACATATAAAACTCATTAAATGAAATGCGATTCACACTGATAAAAATTCATTTCATTTAGATAAATTCTTGTTTTCCTCTCATTTTCTCATATTCCTTTGAATGTGCGCATGAATGAGAAATGTGAAAGGCACACCGAATTACATTTAGAATATCATTTGTTAGATTAAAATTAATGAATTAAGGAGAAGAAAAAAATAACTTTTTGGAGATGAATATGAATTTTTAATGATTGCGTCACGCAAATAAAAGAACCGAAAATTCAATAGAATTGTGATAAAAAGTTTTCCTTCTTTAACATTCAAGGAGAATTGAAAGAACGGAAGCAAAAAGTAGGAAGATCAGAATCTGAAAAGGAGGAAATTTTATGAAAATCTTAAAATGAAAAGATATGCAAATTAAAACATTATTTATGTGCAAGTATGTAAAATAAGAATTTATAACTCTACATGGGTGCCGAATGCTTGGTAGGAGATGGTTAAGGTGGTGCTGTAAAAATTTTATTAAATCATTCTTTTAACAATTGGAAGAACTTTTGATTTATTAAATGTTTATAAAATAAAGAAGTTAATATTAAGAAAAATGTCATAAAAAGACCTCAAAGAGTCATATACA